TAAGAATGGACCTCCGGAATGAATTAAGTACTTAACCCGAGGTACCACTGTATTTAGAGACTTATTGCACACATATAAAGACACTAGCAGGACTGAGATAAGACTCACTTCGTGGGAAGAATTAGCACTCTATTTAAGATAAAAGAGAGTGTTAAGACAAGTTAAGATAAATATAGGTTGGAGATGTTACAAATGTGCAAAATAAAATGTAACAGAAACAAACCAGAAAAAGGACAGTGGGAAGTTGTATGCTTGGTACAGCAAATGAGATAATGGCTGTTATGTTATGGTACTATATAATTGTTAAAATTTGAAAATCAATAAAAAATATGTGGTTTTTTTTTCAAAAAAAGAATCCACACAGTCCAGAACCAAAAATGTAGCCTTCTTTGCATCAAGGGGACAGGAATCTTTATTTAGATTCTGAAAAATGCAGCCTTATTGAGCCAAGGGCCTGCCCATTCTGTTCTTTAAAGCAAAACTCTCTAACACATACCTACAGAATGTGCATGTGTGTATGATACATGCAGTATCTTGGAAAAAGTTCTCTGCTATTTGACACCTTATCTCCTCCTCAAACCACCCCGGGGCATCTTAGAGCAGCAAGGAGTCCGGGAAAGACGCTGAGAGGAGGTAGCAAAGCAGAAAGATAAAGTGAGGGATGTTGGGTACAATTACACCCCACGGCCGGTGAAGGGACGTGTTCCTGCCTTTTGTTACTGCGTAATTTGGGCTTTACCACCAGACCTCGGAGTGGATTTATAATGACCTTTAGAAAGGCAATGTCCAAACCACTCATTGGATTTCTCTTAGCGGCAGCACATATGGTTGTAAGCCACACCATGGAAGGTCTTAGAAGGCACAAACTTGAATACTTGAATACAAGAGAGCCTAGCCTATTGCCCTTACAGAAAAGCTGGCGCACAAATCGAGGCTGGCAAAAGGAACAAAGAGCAAAGAGACGATTGCTGGAGAATGGCAGAGCTTGTTTCATTCACAAATACTCCTGAAAGCCAAATACAGTGGTACCTTGGGTTACATACGCTTCAGGTTACATACGCTTCAGGTTACAGACTCCGCTAACCCAGAAATAGTACCTCGGGTTAAGAACTTTGCTTCAGGATGAGAACAGAAATCATGCTCCAGCAGCGCAGCGGCAGCAGGAGGCCCCATTAGCTAAAGTGGTGCTTCAGGTTAAGAACAGTTTCAGGTTAAGAACGGACCTCTGGAACGAATTAAGTACTTAACCCAAGGTACCACTGTATCGGTTCCAACCATTTATACTGTTGTAGATCACATAAGAAGAACATGTTTTATAGATGGATACTCTTATAAGTTGTGGTGTATGTCCTGGAATACAGGCTTTCATAACATACGGTACTTTCTGGGGGTCTCCAGGGAAAACTGGGTTGGGTTGGGTTGGGTTGGGTTGGCTGGGCTGGGTATGGGCTACCTTTACTTCCAGTAACGAGGGTGAGCAGCTCTCTCTATCAGCTCCATCAGGCTCCCTCTCTGCTCAGCTGTTACCTAGGGGCAGCCATTCCATCAAGACTGCCTCAACAGGACAGATGCATACATACATACATCATATCAATCAACTGTCCCGGATATTTTGTCACCCCCCTCAGTGGTGACACCCAGGGCAGCCCGCCCACACTGCACCCCCTTCCTCTGCCCCTGGGTACACATATGTGATGATTCTGAAAACAATAAAATTAGGAGGAAAAAGAATGGCAGACTTGCACCACCCCTCTACCAGAAAGCCCACCTGCAACCTAAAATTTGAAAACAATATGTAATAAAGAATAAAAGTTTACACATCCGCTAAAACCAACCACCAGAAAAACCATGGGATTTTAGAGCTACATAAATTATAATTTATAAATTATAAATTATAATTAACATACTAGAATATAACTACAATCACAGTAGTTTAAACTCTGTCGCAGCGTTTGAATAACTTTAGTAGTAGATTTAAGAAAGATCTGAAACCTTAGATAAATCAATAATTAGTTAATTAGTCAATTTAAGACAAAAACGTATATTGGTAACAAACAATAGATAATTGAAATAAGGAATGGACGGGAGGTCGGGTCTATAGTCCAAGGACTGCTTTTTGTTTTATTGATTTGTAATTTATTGATTTGTAATTAATAATGTCCATATTATGGTTTGGTTTGTTTTTTTCTTTTTTGGTGTATCAAAAAGGGGGGAAAAAATATACACTGTACAGCAGGGGTGGGTGAATGTGGCCCTCCAGGCATCTCTATCTGGCCCTTGGGACTCTCACCAGGGAACACATCCATCCTTAGCATTGCCTCACACCCTCCTCTACTGGTTTTGTCTGACTGGAGTGTGCCCTCGCCCTGTGATAATACCTCTCGCTTGCCTGGGCTGAAGACGGAGAGAGATCCATGGGTGTAGAAACAGAAACCTCTGGATTCTGCAAGGCTCAAATGTCATCTACTGTGCAAAGGCAAGAGTTGCCTCGGTTGCTTCACTTACTTTTCGCCTCTGGCCCTTAAGGCAATCAGCATGCAGCCCTCAGAAATTTACTTGCGGGTGAAGTCAGCCCTTGTTCCCCCGTGCTTCTATGCAACATTTATAGGGCCGTAAGCGCAGTGGGAGAGCATCTGCCTTGCATAGAGAAGGTCCCAGCTTCAGTCCCCAGCATCTTCAGGTAGGGATGGGAACGTCCCTTACCTCAAAAACTTGGGAGAGCCACTGCCAGTCTGTTTGCAGAGAATAGCGGGCTAGATAGGCAAACTCTCTGACTCATGGATAAGGCGAGTTACTATGTTCCCACAGCTACACCAGGTGTTTCTGTTTACAATCGGCAGTTTCAATTTCTGTTTCTGGAAAATCACCACACCCATTTTTGTCTTTTGGGGGACACCTGTGTTCAAACCAAACTACCTGTGATGTTAAATGTGTCTTTGCAATTAGTGTGCATGTGTTATTGTTTTTTAATGCAAAAAGCAGTCATGGGGGGGCCTATAATTATCAGGACTGTAACTGGCAGGTAGGGGGTTTAACCCTTTCCACCCTGGCTTAGTGGGAAGGGGTTTTTCCTCCTACCTAATGCAAAGAGTTTTCCAGTAGTGATGTATGGAAGTGAAAGCTGGAGCATAAAAAGGCTGATCGTTGAAGAATTGTTGCTTTTGAATTATGGTGCTGGAGGAGACTCTTGAGAGTCCCATGGACTGCAAGCAGATCAAACCGATCCATCCTGAAGGAAATCAGCCCTGAGTGCTCACTGGAAGGACAGATTCTGAAGCTGAGACTCCAGTACTTTGGCCACCTCATGAGAAGAGAAGACTCCCTGGAAAAGACCCTGATGTTGGGAAAGATGGAGGGCACAAGGAGAAGGGGACGACAGAGGACGAGATGGTTGGACAGTTCTCGGAGCCACCAGCATGAGTTTGACCAAACTGCGGGAGGCAGTGGAAGACAGGAGTGCCTGGCGTGCTCTGGTCCATGGGGCATGAAGAGTTGGACACAACTAAACGACTAAACAACAACAAATGCAAAGAGTGGCTTCAAAGGAGCAAGTTTCATCAGCACTGTGTCAGAGGAGAAAAGGGTTAAACTCCCCTCCCTGCCTCCTGCAATCCCAGTGATCAGCCTTCCTCGAAAGAACTCATATACACGTTTTTTAAATTTAAAAATAAAAGGTGTTCTCTAATTACAAAGACTTGTTTAACATCTCCTGCCGTTTGGCCCTGAGTGGCTAAAGTAAGGAGTGACATCTAGTGTCTGTGAAATGCGTTTCCTAACAATGCATAGCTGTACTTAGCTACCCAGATGTATTTCTTTCATCTTGTCCATTCTTTAGCTCTAGGAGGGTGAAGAATGGGTGAAGAAACAGCACACTTTCAAATAATGAAACACACAATTTCATAAAACACAGGCTATCCCAAAACAAGGCAGCTGAGATCAATTGCTCAGCTGGTAGAACATGAGACTCTTGATCTCAAGTCTGAACTCCAGCCCCACATTGGACAAAAAGATTCCTGCCTTACAGGGGGGTTGGGCTAGATGACCCTCGTGATCCCTTCCAACTCTACAATTCTATGGTTCTGTGGTTTTATGATTACATAGTGGGGAGAGGATCACGGCTGAAAAACGCTTTTCTGGCTTGTCCACTGCAGAGATTTAAATTTCCCGATCAAACAACGCAATCTCTGCACAGTGCTAGCTAATGAACCCAGCTTTGCAGAGGAGATTATACACTATTTTATTATTTTTGTAATTGTGTTTTCCCTCCTCCAGTTTTAACATGTGTGTGTGCACACGCGCACCAGCGCCACATCATGTGACCCATTATGCAGGGTGGGGCTTACCTGGGCCCCCAATATTTTTTTATTGTTGGCACCCCTGATACGGTAGCAATAAACAGGGTGGTGAATATGTGCCAACAGAGGCATTTTCAGACTCAAAGAACAGTCCAGGGGCCGGGAGCGAATCCTGCGTGAAATCCCAGAAAGCTGCTGCTGCCAACAATTGTCAACAAAACTTAACTAGATGAATTTGTGGACTGACTCGGTAGAAAGCAGCATCCCGTGCTCATCCATCTATCGCTATATACTTGTTGGTTATAATATACTGAGCGGTATTCAACTGAGGTTCCCTCAGAGTAAACCTACTGAAATCAATGAGCCTAACATGTTCATTAATTTCAGTGGGTCTTGGTCCGAGTAAAAGTTAGTTGCTTACCACTCACTGAAAACTGTTACACACAGTTTTCTTTTCTGGGGGTACACAGGGGTACACATATCCCAAAACATTTTTTGAATCTTCAGACTATTGTCCATTTGCTGTATTTATTTTTCCTGATTTGAACTAAAAAAAGGTGGTTTTCTTGAGTCAAAATGAGAGTACCCCTAAACATTTTTTTTAAAGAAAAAAGCAGTGTGTGTGTGTGTGTGTGTGTGTGTGTGTGTGTGTCTAATAGAAATATGGAGCAGGGGGCAAGGGACCGTCCTCCTTGCATGGCTTACCTTTCAGAAAGCCTGCCATCCGGACACAACCGAAAATCTGGGAGTCGAAGCCTCAAAAGCCCCAGAAACGTGGCGTCTCCTGATGAGCTGCTGCCACCCAGTCGCCAGCCCAGAGTCGGCAGGTGGAGAAATTGCAGCTTACATTAAGCATCCTGAGTCCCCTTGTCTGAACTGAGTGGGGAGTGGTGGTGGGGGGGCTAAAGATGTCTGATGCTGCCTACCGGCATCGAGTGCTGTCTGTCCCCCCCGGCCCACCTGGAAAAACAATGGCTGCTCTCCAGACTCTCTTGACAACTGTTGCTTCCCCTTCAGTCCCTGCTGGGCAGGCGCAGCCAGTGCCAGCTCTCAAGCAGTAAATAATGAGAGACAATGAGGCTGCCAAAGAGGACCAAGAGGGATTTCTTCCAACCCTGTCAGGCTTGCCTGCCACCAAGTTAGGGTGGCCAGAAATCCGGCTTGAAATACCCAAAATACAACCTCCTTCCCCACAGACCCCTCAGGTGCTGAGGTCAACAGGGCCCCCCCTCTTGGCAGTTCCTCCACCTCAGAGGCTTATCTGTGGTGGCCCAGGAAAGGGCCTTCACTGTGGTGGCCCCTAAGCAGTTTAAGTCCCCACAGAGGTCTGGCACCTTTGCTATACAGCTTCTGGCAAATACGGATGGCACCCTTTTTTGCCCTGAGGTGTCTGGTTTTAGGACCCTCCTTATAATAGGTTGTTTTTAAACCGGTTTTAATATGATTTATTTCAGCATCGTCACATGCCCTCTTTTTCACAGGTAGAGTCGTCACAGTGATCCATAGTTAAAAGCAGAAGCCGGCAAATGAGTTCTCTTTCTCGCTCTTCAAAATACGGCAACACTAATTTATCGTAACAGCTTTAATTTTGCCCAAGGCGACCCAAAGAGTCTTACAACCAACCAACTAAAAGAACAGTATCGTCTTCCCAGGATAAAATGTAATAGCTCGAAGAATGGTTGAGCTGCACCCAAAATACTACTCGGCCCCTTTTTTTGCCTCTCTCGCGTTAAATTGTTTTATTTCTTCGTTTTATATCGAAATTCAAAAGAGAGAAAAGTTGCAAGTGAAGATCTTGGCACACACCATGGATACCGACTGACGCAAGCCAGGCTGACTAGGCCCGTTGCCATGGTTTTTTTCTCCTCAGAATAGGCATTGTGCGCGATAAGGGAATGGCCGTCACACCTAGTGACAGGGATGAAGCTCCCAAGTAGATACCAAGCACCCTGCAGAGCCTTTGAACAACTGCTTGTCCTTTCAATATCCCTACTGCCCCACAAATCACTGTTTTTGGCCAAACAAGCCCACCACGACCTGCCATGTCCCCCACCCACAGAACTTGCCAAAGCTGACTTGCCCGACTCCTCAAGTTACTGGGGTGGGGGACCTTTTTCCCCATCTTGAGGGCCACATTCCCTTCAGGGGAGACGTCTGGGGGCCACATGCCAGAGCAGAATCAGAGGCAAAAGGGGGGGGGAGCAATGAATGTGAACTCTTTTATTTTTTAGTTTCTATACATACTGGGACAACGGACCACGCTCTGCCCAGATAAGCAAGGGCCGTTCTTGTGAGTTCAAGGACACATTCCAGCCAGGCAAAAACCACTTAGGGTGTGAAACTGGGCCGGTGAGGGGTAGGGGCTGGGGGCAGTTCTGAGGACCAGATAGAGATCCCCGGAGGGCCACATTTGGCCCCCAGGGCCTGGGAGATACCCCCACTCCTGCTCTAGTAGGTTAAGAAATATAGATTGAGTTGCCAAATTGCTTGGGTTCATTATGGAACTTCACATCCGGACATCTAGGCTGGAGACGACAGACTCCATAAACTGGGGAAGGAGGTGGTGATTTAGCACCCCAATGTGGTGCCAGCACTGGCCCTTTCTCTGGAATGGCCATCTTTTTGCTCACTCGCTTTTTAGCTGTTGCTAAATCTTTGTTTCTTTCCATCTTTCTCGAGGCCCAATTAGTGGTGAATTTATGCCGTTAATTTTTATCCTATTTTTTTGGCGGTAAAATGCAACACCAGTACCGCTTTGTTCAGTGCAGACTGGCAAAGAACTATTGAGGCTTTTTTTTTGCAAGGCTGTTGTATCTTTTAATTTAAATTCCCTCCTTGCTCGTATGTGGTCTCTCTCCCCCCCCCCCATTTGAACCAGCTCCAGGAATGTACCTTTTTAGAAAAGGTGTCCTAGGTAACAAAAGCCCCACTGAACTCATTAGGACTCATTGAACTCAGTGGGACTTTTTAAAAAAATAAGCGAAGCCACCTTCAAATATCTCAAGGACTGTCATATGGAAGATTGAACAAGTTTGTTTTCTCCAGCTCGGGGGTTAGGACCCAAACCAGTAGCTTCAAGTTACAAGAAAAGAGATTCCGGCTCAATATCGGCTCTACAATTCTGCAGTTTAGTGGATATCTGGCGCCTTAGACATCCACTTGAGAAACAATTCACCTTCCACTCAGAACCTAACCAATCACTCTCACGAATAGACCAGATTTGGATCTCAAAAGAATTATGTCCAAGAGTTAAACTTATAGAAATAAGACCGAAAGTAATATCAGACCATAACCCATTAGAGATAGAACTAGAAAGCTTAGAGACAAGAACCTTTAGATGGAGACTAAAAGACTATTTGTTAGATGATCAGAAAGTGGTGGAAATGGCAAAGAAAAAATTGACAGAGTACTTTAAGGATAATTGTGACAAAGGAACAAAAGAGAACGTAATTTGGGATGCAAGTAAGGCGGTAATAAGAGGGTACTTTATTCAACAGAATGCAATCAAAAATAGGAACAGAGAGAAAAATAAAGAAGAAATCCTAAGACAGATAATGGTAAATGAACAAAAATTAGTCCAAAAGCCCAATTGCTCAAAAACAAAAGAAAAAAATAAAAATTCTGCAAACCCAGTTTGCTACAATAATAAACAGAGAGGTAGAGTGGAACATTAAAAGATTAAGGCAAAGAAACTTCGAATTTGCGAACAAACCAGGCAAATGGCTTGCCCGGCAAATCAAAAAAAGGAAAGAGCAAGGGATAATCAATAAAATAACAACAGACGGGGTAGAAAGAACTGACCCCAAAGGAATAAGGAGCGAGTTTCTTAACTATTACAGAAATTTGTATAAAGATCAAGAGAGAGTCGGCCCAAGGAAGATAGAAAGATTTTTGAAGGACAAAGGGGGACAAAAAATCCCAGTAGAAGGGAAACAAAGATTGAATACTCCAATTGAAAATGAGGAAATAGAGGAAGTAATTAGAGATCTAAAGAGGGGCAAAGCACCAGGCCCCGACGGATTTACTGCCGGATATTACAAAGAAATGAAATCCATTCTGGTGGGACCCCTGAAAAAGACTATGAATATTATCTTAAAGGAAGGAGAAATCCCAGAAACCTGGAAGGAGGCATATATCACGTTTCTCCCCAAACAAGATGCGGATTTAACCCAAGTTAAAAATTATAGACCAATCTCACTGCTGAACATAGATTATAAGATATTTGCAGGAATTCTGGCAAGAAGGTTAAAAAATGTGTTAGCAGATATTATCCATACGGACCAGGCAGGATTCCTGCCAGGCCGGCAGATGAGAGACAATACAAGATATATCATTGACATGTTAGAATTCCTGTCTGTCAGGATTGATAAACAAGTTATAATGATGTTTATTGACGCCGAAAAGGCGTTTGATAATGTGATATGGAACTTTATGTTGAGAAATCTAGAATATATGGATGTAGGCAATGACTTCTTTAACGGGGTAAGGGCAATATATACTGAACAAAAGGCCAAACTGATTGTAAATGGTATGGTAACGGAAGAGATAAAGATAAGGAAGGGTACAAGACAGGGATGTCCACTCTCCCCGTTACTATTTATAACGGTGCTAGAAGTGCTCTGATACTCTATAAGACAAAACGGAAACATAAAAGGAGTGACGTTAGGACAGAATGTGTATAAAACCAAGGCCTTTGCTGATGACTTGGTAGTGATGACAGAAGACCCAATAACCTCAGTAGGAGAAATATTGAAGGAAATAGAATCATTTGGAGAAGTGGCTGGGTTCAAGCTAAATAAGAAAAAAACAAAAATGATATATAAAAATGTAGATCTAAGGACAATAGAATCAATCCAACAGCAATCACAGATAGAGACGGTCAAAAAGGTCAAATACCTCGGCATCTGGCTAACATCTAAAAATATAGACCTATATAAAAACAACTATGAGCCGATGTGGAGGGAAATAAAGAGAGATTTAGAAAAATGGGGACGGTTAAAATTGTCAATGTGGGGAAGGATGAATATAATTAAGATGAATGTTCTATCAAGATTAATGTTCCTGTTTCAGTCTATACCTATAATAAAAGGGTGCAGGATTTTCAAAGAATGGCAGAGGACAGTTTCGAGATTCATATGGCAGGGCAAAAAAACCCAGAATTCAATTTAAATTACTAACAGATGTAAAGGAAAGGGGGGGCTTTGCCCTGCCAGATCTGAAACTATACTATGAGGCATCATGCCTAAGTTGGTTAAAAGATTGGGTTAAATTGGAAAATACGGAGCTCCTCGATTTGGAGGGCTTTGATAACTACTTTGGCTGGCATGCCTATTTATGGAAGAACAAAATGAAAGCACACAAGGGGTTTGGTAATCATATTTTCAGAGGGCCGTTAATTGAAGTGTGGGAAAGATACAAAAACGTGTTAGAACCGAAAACACCACACTGGTTATCACCCCTTGAAATAACAAGTATAAAAACGATCAATATGAGAAGCAACTGGGCAACATACAACCAGTTAGTTACTAAAGTAGATGGGAAATGGAGAACAAAACCTTACGAACAGATAAAAGAATATGTCTATGACTGGCTTCATCACCAACAGATTAACCAGATGCTTAGCAAAGATATCAAAGAAAGAGGCTATGCGGACAAAGACTCGAAATTCCAGACGGAAATAATAAATAATAAAGTGAAAAATATATCCAAGTTGTATAGGATGCTGTTAGATTGGAATTTAGGCGACGAGGAAGTTAAATCAGTGACGATCCGCTGGGCAAAAGACATAGGTCATAGTATACAATTCGAGGACTGGGAAAGATTATGGAGAGACGGGTTGAACTTTACGGCGTGTACTGCGATAAAGGAAAACGTCATGAAGATGGTTTATAGGTGGCACTTGACACCTATGAAACTTTCAAAAATGTATAAGGTGGATAACAAGTGCTGGAGGTGTAAAGATGTAGAGGGCTCCTTCTACCACATGTGGTGGGAGTGTGGAAGGGTAAAACAGTTCTGGGAGAAGGTATATACCGAACTAAAAAAGATATTAAAGTACACGTTCATAAAGAAACCAGAAATTTTCCTACTAGGGATATTAAGACAAGAGATAAAAAAGGAGGATCGTAGACTGGTATACTATGCGGTTACAGCAGCAAGGGTTCTAATAGCCCAGAGGTGGAAACAGCAGGAAACCCCAACAGTGGAGGAGTGGAGATCTAAATTATCAGAGTATGCAGAGCTCGATAAATTAACGGGGAAAATTAGATATATAAAAGACCAAGTGTTCATTAAGGATTGGGGAAAATACGTAGATTATCTGGAAGGTATCAGTGATGGACAAATAACGCTAAAGGGATTTAAAGATGTACTGTGATGGATCATGGGTTATTGTGTAAGGAAAATAGAGAACAAAATTGGAGACAATGACAATATAGACGATGAAACGTGTAACCTTATTTATTGCTTCGAATGATTTGCGGCCAAGCTGAAGGAAGTCCTGAAAGAAATAGTTATGTTATAGGAGAGCTGTGAAAACAATAATTATGTGTATTTTTTACTTATTTCTTTGTATGTTTTTTCTTCTGTGTGTTTCTTTTCTGCTATTTGTGTGTTAATTTTTGTTTTGGAATAATCAATAAAAAGAATTAAAAAAAAAATCGGCTCTACAATTCTATGATTCTATTCTGAAATTCTTCAGGAAAGAACTAGTAAAAATGGAAAAATTGCTACTGCGAGTCCAGAAGGCCACATATCAGCCTCTGCTGAGCAAAACAAAGTCACAATAGTTTTCGAGATAAGATTGGCAATGCCCTTTTGTGATGAGCTAGTTGCACTTAGGAGACGTCCTACTGAGGAAGATCTATGGATCCCAGAACCCTGTGTAGATCACCATGGAAAGAAGCACACAATTCAGCAGGATCTTCTACTTGTTACGGTGACACCTGAGCTGTAAGAACAGCTGCCAGGTCAAGCTATTTTGGGAACTGCCTGGGCTCAGGGCATCTACAGATCTCTGCAGAAAACTCTGGAGAAACAGATACGCTTTTGCTACAAGCCAGTGTGGTGTAGCAATTAAAGTTATGGACTTTGACCCCAGAGACCCAGGTTCAAATCCTCATTCAGCGGCCGGTCTCAGGCTGGTCACATCCTCTCAGCCTAGGCTACCAAGCAAGGTTGTTGCACAGGTCAAAGGGGGCGAGGAATACCTATGCTGCGGGCTTACATTTTAAAACTAAACAGTTTGTGGAAAAATGCATCGCCCAGGAGTATTTCCGAAGTAAGTACAGTACAGGGAACTTACGGATTGTGGCTGAAGTCACGTGCACCCCGCCTCAAACACGAGTTGCGGGAGCTTCACTGAAACTGGAGTAAACGGTACATTGCACCCAGCCTCAGCTCCAAATCCTATAACCCAGACCCCTGCTCTCTCAACCTCCCTCACAGAGTTGGTGCAGAGCTAAAACAGAGCAAGGGCAAATTTGAAGGACTTGCAAACCGCTTTGAGCTTCTCGGAGGAGCGGCTAGCTAGCTACATTAGAAATGGAACAAAAATTAAACATAAGCCCTGGAGCATCAGAAAAGCTGGGAGCGAACGAGAAGACGGAGCCCCACCTCCATTAGCAAAGTGACCCATTGCTGTGAAAAATGGATTGGATGACACAATTTAATAACCCCCTCGAGTCGCTCACCTGGGCCGGAACGGCAGCAGCTCCACTCGTACTGCAGCTGCACCCTGGAGACATCCTTTGCAGCGGGGATGCCCTCGCTGTCCCCCAAAACCTGGGGGAAGCTGAGCTTCCAGCTGGCGCCTGCTGACGGCTAGGTGATGCCTCTCCTGAGCCTACAGCGCCATGTTTGCTGCGAGGCTCTTGCCGGCTACAGTGGGCCCATGCATATTTGATGACTCCTATTCTTCTCACCTGTGCCTGGGAGGGGAAGAAACAGCTCTCTTCTACTGGGGGCCGGGGATTATTTGCAAGCTATCAGCAACTCGGGAAGAAGTAGTGTGCGTGTACACAGAAGTCTTCTCAGACTTCTGCAAGAGAATCAGAGATAGCAAAGCTATCACTAGCTCTCAGGCTAGCCCACCTCGCAGGGTTGTCAGGAGGATAGAACGGAGGGAGAAAGTCATGGAGTTTTCCGGAGGAAACTCGTGATATTAAATGTAATAAAGGTAAGAAAAATAAACCTTGGTGTGTTAGACTTCACAGTCTGAACAAATTCCCACTTACCACTGAAAAGGTTGACTGTAACAAGACAGATGCAAGCTTTTTATGAGTCTAGTCTGGGTGCCTGCTTAGCGTCAGAAACTTGCAACTACAGAAGCCTTGCCAACCTGGTGTTGGCTGGATGGGAGGTTTTCTGGAGGGAACCCGATTGACAGAAACTTCTTCCCGTATGATCCTACCCAAACTCTGCAATCGTCATCTGAGGCCCTTCTTGGTAGGCCCCTACACGGGAAACCTAGAGGGTGGAAACATGAGATCAGACCTTTTTGGTGGTGGCCCCTTGCTTGTGGAATGCTCTCCCCAGGGAGGCTCACCTCTTGCCCTTTCATAGCTTTCAGCACCAGTCACAAACATTTCCTTTTTGCCAGGCTTTTGGCCATTAATTATCTGTGGCCTCCTTGGTATACATTGTTGTTGTTAAATAAATCTCTATGCCTATACCATACTTCTACCATGTCACCACCTACTCAACTTTTCTCTCATCTAAAAAGTCCCAAATACCGCAACCTCTCCTAAGAGGGGAGTTTCTCCATCCCTTTGATCATTTTGGTTGCCTTTTTCTGAACCTCTTCCAACTCTACAATATCCTACAAATACATTCTACAAATATAGGCCATGGAAGTTCTGAAATATAAACTCTCTCCCTTAATGCAACAGTTTTTCTATCTGCCATGTGAGCCCAGACACGCATAAGAGAACCCTGGGCAGAACGGGAGCAGCCAGAACACCACCTAAGCCCTGGCAGATTTCCAAATTGTAAAAACGTACTGTTAAGAAGAAAAGCCAAATAGAAGTTCAAAATAAGCTGTTAAAAGCGGGCAGGACCAGCCCTACAGTGGAGGAAAAGAAAAGCTGCAGCCTCAGGAACAAGAGCATAAAAAGAACCACTGGAAATATTTCACAGCAGTTAGAAAATGATACTTCACAACTTTGACATTATAGGAGTTCTAAAGAGAAACGAGAATCATTCTTTATTTCAGTTGAAGGACAAATGGCTTCTGGTGGGTCTGGAGTAAATTTCTCGAGCAGAGCTGCAGGAGCAGCAGGTGTGCTGTTTCTTGGTTGCCGTCTTGCCAAACGGGGTGATATGGGAGAGGGAGGAGATGGCCTCGTTTCCGTTACCCCAATGGAAGTTATCGACACCACCCCTCTTAGCCAGAAAATGGGTGGAAATGAACTTCTACAGGGCACTCTGTGAACGTGATGAAGCAATCCACCTGAAAACAAATCCTTGCGTTGCCTGGAATCGTTTTTGTCCAAGTGGAAGTGCTGATTTTTGAACAGGGCTGTTTGTTTGAAGGGAGGAAGAACAGGCGGAGGATGGATGGTTCTTTTCCTGTGTTTTTCGGCTCATGGATCCAAGGCCACTTTTCTGGGCAGCTGTCAAGTCACAACCAAACCCGCTCCGAGCATCTTAAAGGCACCCAAGACCATGCTATTGAAAGGTGCCCCTTAAGCATGTCAGTGTGTAAGACAAGAACCTCTCTTCTCCATGTCCCTAACCTGCAAGAAGTTCCACAGTAGTCTCTTATCTCCGTGGAAGCTTCATGGAAGCTTATGAGCAGCTGAAGGAAAAACCTCCCATTACAGACAGAGGATTTTCTTCTTCTTTTTGGCTTTTAGACAGTTTTCTGCCGAGTCGCGTTGAAAATACTGCAGAGCAGAGCAGGGCGCGGGACCAGCGGCGAGGATTATTTCTTGACAACCTGGATGACGTCTTCATGTTCCATCAAGTGGCTGAGTCCTACTCGTTGGGGGCTGTACTTGGTGCTGGTTCCCTTGAAAGCCAAAAAACAACAGAGTTTCACCAGCCCTGGTTTGGGGGTCTCTCTGGCAAGAAGAGAGGGAGGTGCCCCTACCACTGCCCAATGCCACTTGCCAATGGATTGCCAATGTCTCCAAGAAAGGGGTCCCTTCTGAGCACTCCCGCCCCCGGGACGGGCAGGGAAAGCAAACCTATGGCCTTCCTGATGCTGCGGGACTCCAACTCCCATCAGCCCCTGCCAGCATGGCCAAGGGTCAGGGGTGATGGGAGCTTGAGTCCAGCAATAACTGGAGGGCTACGGGTTCTCTATCCCGGGCCTAATGGATTCAACAGCCGCAGCAGGGGTGAGCCTTCTTTTCCCTCTTGAGAGAAGGTGGGGAAGACCACCCCTGTTTTCCTTTCGACTTTTCGCCACCTCTTTTCCCTGTTCCCCCACCCCTTGTTGAAATCAGAGCACATGAAATTGAGCAGGGTGTGGGGGGGGGCCTAGGGCCAAAGGCTGTCCCCCTTTGAGCTATGGGATGCTGTGATGGACACCTCAGCTTGTCCCTTGAGGCTGCCACCCTATCTTTCCATGCATTCATCCCCACCTCAGTTCTCTACTTGTTGCAAAGGTCAGCCCCAATCTGGCTATGCAAGAACACCCCAGCTGGAGGAGACTACAGAGCCAACAAGATCCAGCTACTAGTTTGGTAGCCCATGGGAGCCTTCATGATGCTGCTGGACCACAACTCCCATCATTCCTGGCTATGCTGGCAGGGGCTGATGGGAGTTGAAGTCCAACACCACCTGGAGGGCACTATGACATCTGAAAGAAGCCCTATATAGGGAAGTTTTTTAATGCTTAATGTTTAGGTAAAGGTAAAGGGACCCCTGAATGTTAGGGTCCAGTCGCGGACAACTCTGGGGTTGTGGCGCTCATCTCACTTTAGTGGCTGAGGGAGCCGGCGTACAGCTTCTGGGTCATGTGGCCAGCATGACTAAGCCACTTCTGGCAAACCAGAGCAGTGCACAGAAACACTGTTTACCTTCCAGCCGGAGTGGTACCTATTTATCTACTTGCACTGCATGCTTTCGAACCGCTAGGTTGGTAGTTACTAGTGGAGTACAAATAAATTATTATTACTATTATTATTATTATTATTATTATTATTATTATTATTACTTGACAATATCTGTGGGAAGCCCACCAGTGAAGCATAATAAAAGAAAGAGTCCTCGCTGGCCGTGAGATATTCTTACTCTGTACATGGAGGTTCTACAGAGCTGCTGTTAATAGTGCATTTGTCAAACTTCCTTTTAAAAAAGCCACTAAAAGCTTCCTCTATATTTCCTGCCTATATCACTAATACTTGGCAAAGACACCCGAGCCCTCTGCTCCACCCCACTTTCTTGTCATAGCACACTTACCCAAACCAATGCATACTTGAACTGGCTTGCTAACGTCCGGTGAATTCGATGGCACTGAAGGGAAAAAAAGGTTCAGATGTAGCAGGTGAGGCCTTGCAATCTCAGCTCCCTAAGTTTTACTTACTGTACTCCTTGCAGATGACACCCCTTATCCCCTTCCAAAGTCATATCGCAGAGGTTCTGAAGTGGAGCTGCTCTTAAAAATGAGCCTGGCATTAAATACCCAATTCCAAAGTGGCAACTTCACGCTCACGGCTGTCTGCAGAACAGCTTCTCCCTTCCCCCCAAAATGGTTCTCTTCCCCACAATCCCCAAACCTGAAGGCACCACCGGACGATGGCTACCCTATTTCCCAGCTCAGGACATTGAAGCAATTAAGGCAACAACTGCTCCTGAAGCAGAGCTGTAGCCAAAAGGCAGAGGGTAGCTAAGGCAATGCAATCTTCCTGGACTCAATCTCCCATGAAGCCCCAGGCGGTACAGTCAATGGGTAGGGGGCTGATCCAGGGGGCCACAGGTTAGCCACCCCTGCCCTAGTGTGTTTTCAAAGAAGAAGACTGAATCTCCGGCTGGATGGTTTCAGCCTGGGAAGAGCTGGCAGTGCAGAGTGTGTGGAGAAAATAGCGGGGGGGGGCACTTCTGCAGCTCAAAAATTCAATGCTTACCACATGCTCCACAGATGCCCCTTTCCGTACGATGATGGCATCTGAAAAGTCTGGTCTCTCTGTCCGGGACCGAGAAAAGAGAGAAAAAATAGCAAGGTCACTAAGGCATGAGAATTTCGGATCCTCCCTCCTCCCCTGAAGCCCGTATTCATTTTCAGATCTAGTTCCATCCAGTCCTGCTGGCCTGCTTGTGCTACTCACGGCCTCTTTTCTTGGTGTAGATGCAGGTAAGGGCCAGGTATTCCCACAGCATCTCCAGCAGGTAGTCCAAGTTCAATTTCATGCCGCAGCTAGAGAGAGGCGGACACACACAAAGTGGGTGGCAGGGTGATAAGGACACAGAAAAGGCTTGGGCAGTGGAATCTCCTCCTCAAAGAGGCTTGCCTGGCACCTTAATGTCATTTCAAAACCAGGGAAATACCTTCCTCCTCTCTCCCAGGCCTTTAAAACCTTTACATCATTTGAAACATCTTTTTTCTATTTTGGTTCCCATTTCTCTGTTAATCAAACAGGGATCATTTTCTTGGAGACTAGGGGTGGGGTGGGAGAAGATATTCAGCCTGTTTGGCTTGCTGCAAATAGTTGTCTTGTTCACACTGAGATTTTTAAAAAATGTGCACATTTTCTAGAGTGGTGCTGCTCAAAGTGGTGTCTGTCTGCAAGATGTTGGTGGGCTGCTTCAGGGACCAAGTACGGTAGTGGTTCCTGGCACATTGGGCCGGGTGGGGAGAGGGGGGTACACACTGCTTCATCCCATCACATAATTAGAGATGCACTTGCCCATAGGCTTCAGCTTCTAGCGAGAATAAATCTAGTAAGTATTAATTACAAAAGGTATACAGGGAGAACAGAAGCCAAAGATGACTCTTCTTCCAAAGGGCTCTTCGTACCACGTGCTCTGGAGATTAAGCCAACCGCATGCTGGCCACAAGACACAGGGCTGGGGAGGTTCACCTTACCTGATCACAACGCTGTGGGGTTTCCGAGCCAGGCGATCTACCTCCTCCATGGAGATCTGATCGACTTTGTTATAAACCTAATCCAAAATGTGGTGGTGGGGAAAGGAATATTAATGGTGCAAGGAGGCAGTTTCCCCCTTCTCTGTTCAGCTAAATTGAGGGCTGGTGCTAACAGGAGTTGTAGTTTGAAACAGCTGGAGGGCACCAAGTTGGGGAAGCCCCATTTGGAGCGTAAGCCTCTTGGGGCAGGGACATGCCTGATGGTGCTACATTAAAAAGTAACAGGCTTCATAAGAAACTACATGCAGCAGCTATCCTTTGTAGCTTTCCGACGATTTTGTTTCCACTGCAAAAGTTTATAACAGTAATCCGTCTCCAATCCAGTATCCAACAAGGCAGGGAAGGCAACTGGTGGTTTGCTTATTTGTTTGGAAAACAGGCTAATTCTTCTAAAGCTTTACAGCCCTTTCCCCCAAGATGGTTTTTGGCCACCCTTTTCAGAGAGAGAAGGCTCTGTCTGCACAATGTCTCCATGACCATAGGGGCTATGAACTTGGATTGGTTCAATTTTTTGAATGAACTTTATTCTCAGGTTAACTGACAATTTCATGGAAATGCAGATTGCACACAGTACAGACTGCAGGCATATTGTGCTTGCTTCCTCCTCAATCCCTTTTTTGCCTTCCTCCAATCCCTTTTTTGCCTTGTGCATCAAGTTTGCTTTGATTGTGGGCTGGAGAGCAGGGAGCATCTTAATACTGATCTTTGTGTGACCCTCTGAGAGCCTGTCTGGCTAAAGGTTGGAGTACAAATACCATAAACAAACAAGCTTAACTACATGAGGAGTGGATGCTTTCTGGATATGGGATTCTGTCTTAGAATGCCAAAGATCTGGATATTAAGCTTATTCAAATCAATGCATAATTCACTCAGAATACCTAGATGAGAGCTTATAGGTAGAATTAATAATAATAATAATAATAATAATAATAATAATAATAATAATAATACAGTGGTACCTGCAAAATAATAATAATAATACAGAGGTTCTGGAGCCCCGTTCGCATCCAGAAGCAAACGTAACTAGCAACGGCACGTCTGTGCACACGCGCGGCGCTTTTCGCAGCTTCTGCGCATGACGTCATTTTGAGCGTCTGCTCATGCGCAAGTGAAACCCAGAAGTAACGTGCTCTGTTACTTCCGGGTTGCCACGGAGCGCAACTTGAACGCGCTCAACATGAAGCATATAATAATTATTTATTATTTATAACCCGCCCATCTGGCTGAGTTTCCCCAGCCACTCTGGGCGGCTTCCAACAAAAGATTAAAAACACATTAAAATACATTAAAACATCAGTCATTAAAAACTTCCCTAAACAGGGCTGCCTTCAGATGTCTTCTAAATGTCAGATAGCTGTTTATTGCTTTGACATCTGATGGGAGGACATTCCACAGGGGTGTTTGAGAACTTAAGCAAAGCCTGGAGAGTCAGACCAAAGGTCTATCTAGTCCAGCATTCTGTCCCCACAGCAGTAAAAGAGATGCCCATGGGAAGCTCACAAGCAGGGCAGGAAAGCAATCGCTCTCCCCCACCGCCACTTGTCTTCCTCAGAAACTTGTTCCCTGAAAAGAAACCCTTGCTTATGGTGAAATACAGCCCCCCATCGCATTCTGTTAAAAGTACAAAACTTCTCACAAGGTACTCACGTAAAGGCAGGGCATGTAGACCCGGTTGCCAACAATCACGTCAATGAACTCGTCAGGTGTGCAGTCTTCCCTGAACAGAACCTCCGCATTAAATATTTCTTAGGTGAGCAGAGTTAAGGTTAAACACTTTTGTGTTTGTTAAGAGAGCCAGTGTGTTGTGCTGTTACGAGCATCCAGCTTGGGTTGGTGAAACTCAAGGAGAAATCCCCATTCGGCAACAAAGCTGGCCAGGTAATCTTAGGCCAGGCACAATCTTGCAGCCAAACCTACCCCGAAGGGTTGCTGCAAGAAAATACGCCTGATAGAGTCCAGTATTGTCAACACTGATTGGCAGTGCCTCTCCAGGATCGTCCTCATTCTCGGTCTGAGCCTACTGCTTCGCTCCTGAGCCCAGCGATATCTCAGGACCAGGACATTATGACGATGATTAAATATATTTCTATCCCGCCTTTCTCCCAAGTTGGGATTCAAGGTGGCTTACAACATTTGCAAAATTATAAAATGCAGAATAAAAACAAACTAATTCAAATACTGGTTTTCCCAGTAGTGATGTATGGAAGTGAGAGCTGGACCATAAAGAAGGCTGATCACCGAAGAATTCATGCTTTTGAATTCCAGTACTGGAGGAGACTCTTGAGAGTCCCATGGACTGCAAGAAGATCAAACCGATCCATTCTGAAGGAAATCAGCCTTGAGTGCTCACTGGAAGGACAGATCCTGAAGCTGAGGCTCCAAGACTTTGGTCACCTCATGAGAAGAGAAGACTCCCTGGAAAAGATCCTGATGTTGGGAAAGATGGAGGGCACAAGGAGAAGGGGATGACATGGCTGGACAGTGTTCTCGAAGCTACCAGCATGAGTTTGACCAAACTGCGGGAGGCAGTGGAAGACAAGAGTGCCTGGCGTGCTCTGGTCCATGGGGTCACGAAGAGTTGGACACGACTAAAGCCCAAAAAAATTCAAATACATCAAAACACATTTAGAACCAGCAATTACAGAACAATTTGCTCTGACAGCAGCCTAGATATCAGCATCATCTGCATCTCAGTTTCCAAATGCCTGTCTGGGCAGGAAGGTCTTAGCCTGCCAGCGGAAGGATAACAAGGAAGGAGCCAGGCTAAGCTTTCTTGGGAGGGAATTCTGTAACTTGGGAGCAACCACAGAAAAGGCTCTGTCTCCTGCGTCACAACCAACAGTTCTTCTGATGTTGATGGGACCAAGAGAAGGTGCTCACCCGAGAATCTCAGCACCCAGGCAGGGAGATAGGATCTTTCAGGTCGCCTGGGTCCAAACCACCCACCCTCAACTGCTCAGGGCATTACCAATAACACTACAAGGCACTTTTACTGCTGGTGCCCCGAATCGCTTTGCTGAGAAATGTAGCCACCAAGAATCTCCGTGAAAAAGGATACTGTACTCGTGGAGGATGAGCTGCACCAGCTTCTCGGAGCACTGAGTCAGCGTCACCATTGAATTGAAGGAGATGCCCCCTCCCTTTTTGGGCTGGAAGACAGAAAAGAGGCTTTGTCAAGATGATTCAGCAAAAATTAATATTTTGAGTATACTGGACACCACAACGTTTGCATAGGATGGCACTGCCTAATGCAGACAGAGGTGAAAGGTGAACTGCTGAGAATGCCCCTTTGGTATATCCCATGATATATTCACTTTGGTCTAAAGTGGTCACTCACATCAATTTTGCACGGGCTAAATCCTTTTGACATTTGCAGATGTTTGTGTACTTTGAAACTACATTCCTGGAGTGTTAGTAAGAGTAGTAATAGTAGTAGCAGTAATAATAATAATAATAATAAATAATGATGTGATTAATGGCTGGGCAGCAAAAGTGCAAGCCCTTGTGGCGACTTCAGCAGTTCCTGCAGTTTGCAGATATGCTCATGGGCCCAAAAAGTTTGGTGACCTTTACATTACGTGACCAAATGGGGGCAGATGTGGCAGACTAGCATGTGTGAATCACTAGACTGGAACACGATTGTTCTGGGTTCAAATCCAACTCAGAGGAATGGTCAGAGAGCGGCTTGCAAGAGGCCTGGACTGCTTCAGGATATTGATTTATTCAATTTCTATCCTGCCCTTCCTCCCGAAGGAGCCTGGGTCCAGCTTTCGTTTTATTTACTATTAATTTCTAAAAGAGAGGGAGAACCCCTTTTTTAGCATAAGGGCCTTATTCTCTCATATGCAACCTTCCAGGGGCCGCATGCCAGGGGCAGGCATGACCAGATGTAAAAGCGAGAAGAGCCAAGTGTGAGTACCTTTGTACAGCACTAGTGTACATTCCAGCCATGCAAATATGTTAGTGGCTTCTTCTCTCACACCCCTCTGAGCAGGAGGCATCATCAGAGCTCAAGGACATATCCTAGCCAGGCAAAACCACTCAAGCGGGTGCAGAGCAGGACTGGTGAGGGGCATGGGCTGGGGACAAACCTGAGGGCCACATAAAGAGTCCTGGAAGGCCACATTTGGCCGCTGGCCCTGAAGTTCCCCACCAACCCTATTCCAGTCCTTTCTGCTTGCAAACAATGAAAAGCACATGGGCAGAATTTGACCCAGCTGCTCACTTAAGCAGCAATACACTTAAATAAGCCAAAGCATCTTTATTTTAAGCAAGAACCTTTGCAGCTCTCCTGCAAATGGTTTCCCCGGCCCGCTTCACCACCACATTTCAAGTGACAGACCCAACCCATTTGAGGAGCCGATTTCGAGAAGCGGGGGGTGATCTCACAAAGCTGGATAATTCCTACACACAGCCAAGGAATATTTCCTGTGGGGTGGAAGGAAGGTGGAGAAGAGTGGGAGGCTAGTCTTCCCTACCGTCTGTCCTGTCTCCCAGGTGTGAGGTTTATTTATTGATCACAAATAAGTCAACTCGGTGCCCAAATGTTCTTGGACCACAGCTCCATCATCTCTGACCACAGGCAACCTGGATGCAGCTGATGGGTTTGGGGACCCCAGCAATACCTGGAGGGCACCAAGCTGGCGATTGCTGTATTTATGTGTTTTGTACGGGAGGAGCTGTCAGTCCTACGATTCGCCCACCTGCGGTGCCTCACCTTGAAGTAGATGTTGGGCTTGACTTTATTCAGCCGGATTCCTACTGATTCCAGTTCCTTTTCTAACAGAGCTCTGCAGGAGGGAGGGAGGATGTGGTCATAAAGAGCCGCCAAGCCATTACCCAAATAAACCCAGTAAGGTAAAGGTAAAGGTACCCCTGCCCGTACGGGCCAGTCTTGCCAGACTCTAGGGTTGTGCGCCCATCTCACTCTATAGGCCGGGGGCCAGCGCTGTCCGCAGACACTTCTGGGTCACGTGGCCAGCGTGACAAGCTGCATCTGGCGAGCCAGCGCAGCACACGGAAACACCGTTTACCTTCCCGCTGGTAAGCGGTCCCTATTTATCTACTTGCACCCGGGGGTGCTTTCGAACTGCTAGGTTGGCAGGCGCTGGGACCCAGCAACGGGAGCGCACCCCGCCGCGGGGATTCGAACCGCTGACCTTTCGATCGGCAAGTCCTAGGCGCTGAGGCTTTAACCCACAGCGCCACCCACATCCCTTAAACCCAGTAAAATGAGCGCCAAAACCCTCTTCCAGGGTTTCAGGAAGAGATATACAGCCCTACCCGAAAATGCCAGGGGTTGCACCCAGGACAGGGGTCAGCAAAGGTTTACCAGCCATAGGCCGGATCACTCCCACGGAGATCGTCGGTGGGCCGGACTGGCACAGCGCGACGCCGTAAATTATGTCTACGGCACCAGAAATTGTTTCTGCACATGCCCAGACGCTGAAAATCTGCCTGCGCAGGCACGATTTTCGGTGTCTGGACATGTGCAGACGTGATTTCCAGTATCTGAGTGTGCGCAGACGAAATTTCCGGTGCTGCTCGGCGAGTCCCTGTGCTGCGCCGATTTAGCTTGCTGAACGGACGGCTCGGTTCAGGGGTGGTTCGTGGGCTAGTAAAACGGTCTTCGTGTGCCGCATCTGGCCCATGGGGCGCACGTTGCCTACCCCTGACCTAGGACCTTCTGCATGAAAAGCAGAGACTCAACCACTGAGCCACGACCCTTTCCCTTCCAGTCCAGAAAAGAGCCAAATCCTCAGGCAGATCTGCACATAATTCAACCCACACATGGATGCTTTGCCCTCTAGGTGCTAACCTCTGCACTTCCCCCTTTGTAGCGTCCAGCATCATGATAACGACGTCAGAAGTCCGGGCTACGGCAATCACTTGGCGCCCTCGGCCTTTTCCTGTGAAGGAAAGGAGAAAATGGGAGTTACTTGCCATGACAGCAGGAGAGCAAGAAGCTGTGTAGCAGAAGCAATAGCAGAATCTCTGCTTTTTTGCATCATGCAAACAAGGAATTGCTTTCCACCCTGTCTTTTGATGCAGAAGGCTTCCCAAAGAGGCTTATTTTAAAAAATACAGCTCCATTAGTGCTGCTCCCCACTCTTTCAAACACAGGGTAGTGCTCGGGTAGCATCTTCTTCTCACCCTCCCCAGGCTAGTTCTCATTAGACAACTATCCCCCCCCCTTTCCCATGCAGAAAATGGCTGCAATTCAGCAGCTCCTGGGAGAAGGATGCTTGGCTGCATCCTTCTCCCAGGAGCATCCCCCAAGGAACACGAGACTTTTCACTGTCCAAGGACAGGGAGGGAGGAGGCAGGCCTAGCTACATGATTAACCTGCCTGCCAATCAAAGTGGGAGGAACACTTCTTAATACAAAGGGATGATGCTGCACAGAGCCAGGGTCAAAAGCAGGTGGAGCTGGCAAGATCAAAAAGGGGTTTTAACTCCCGTTCTAGTTCCAGCTCGCCCATTCTATACACAAGAGGATGTGATTCACCGGGGGGGGGGGGGTTGCTGCTGTTGTTTGTATTTTTATTGTTAGGCCTCATTATTTGTGTTGGGCCTGTAAGACAGAGCTATTCCGCCTGGCTTTCCTTCCCTCCCCCTCCCCTTTTAATGAAGATTACCCGCTCTGGAATCCCACAGCTAATTCTCCCCTGGTCTCCTCGCTGGCCCAAATAGGACTAATTTAGCCAGCTAGCCCTGGTGATCATCTAATGTTTATTGGATGGATTTCCCCCCTAAATAGATTTTTGAATTCTGAATTTATTGTTATTCATGTTTTATACTGTATTTTATGCTGTTTTTTGTTGCATCAATTAAGTGTTTTAAATTTGTTGTTAGCCGCCCTGAGCCCAGTTTTATGAACCGGGAAGGGCAGGGTATAAATAAAATTATTTTATTATTATTATTATTTCTGAATATTTACTGAGATGCTTCCATTAGGTTAGAGTTTAGGGATATTAATATTCTTCTACAATTTTGTAACCGTCAGAATAAACTATGTACATATTTTGATGCTGTTAAGTCACCTTAGGCATGGCTTAACTGCAGAAAGGTGCCGGACACAGAACAAGGATGTGTTGCTTTGCTCACTTTTGCCCCTGGTCCCCACACACCATGAGGGAACAGCTTCTGGGAGGCTGCCCAGGAGTGAATGTGCTCCACCAAGCTGAAGAAAAGGTCCCTTGTCACTGTGCAAAAGTGCTACTGCCCTGGGAACGTCAATGCAGCTCTGGGCAGAATGAGACACAGGCGACAATCCCCACCTACCTTGAGCAGCACCTTCGATGATCCCAGGCAGATCGAGAAGCTGGATGTTGGCTCCTTTGTACTGTCAAAAGACGAAAGAGAAGACCATGAAGTGGCACATGGAGGGAGGGGGTGGTTATAATGATACCCCCCCACCCAGGTTTTGGTATCCTAAGCTTACAGGTCACCTCACCTTTTTAGCATTCTCGTGTATGTTCAAAGAATGCAGCAGCTAGACTGGTGACTGGGAGTGGCCGCCGAGACCACATAACACCAGTCCTGAGAGATATGCATTGGCTCCCAGTATGTTTCCGAGCACAATTCAAAGTGTTGGTGCTGACCTTTAAAGCCCTAAATGGCCTCAGTCCTGTATACCTGAAGGAGTGTCTCCACCCCCAACGTCCAGCCAGGACACTGAGGTCCTGCGCCGAGGGCTTTCTGGCGGTTCCCTCATTGCGAGAAGTGAGGTTACAGGGAACCAGACAGAGGGCCTTCTCGGTAGTGGTGCCCACCCTGTGGAATGCCCTCCCATCAGGTGTCAAGGAAATAAGCAGCTATCTTATTTTTAAAAGACATCTGAAGCCCTGTTTAGGGAAGTTTTTAATATAGAATGCTGTATTTAACACTCGATTGAGAGCCGCCCAGAGTGGCTGGGGAAACTCAGCCAGATGGGTGGGGTATAAATAAATAAATAAATAATAATAATTAGAAACACACACACACACTTAATCAGGGGATCTACTGGTTTATTTAGAACTGCACAGCCTGCTTTTTTTGCTCAGAGACCACAGGGACAGTTCCTTGGATGAGTGAAAACAATCATCTAAAACTTGTTCATCCAAAAAATGAGGAAGAGGATTGGCTTTTTTTTAAATCCAAAGTAGCGAGTGGGACCAGAGGCAAAAACAGACAGAACAATTAATGTAAATTTTACCTTTCTGCAGCAGACTAGTTTCTACACCCATCCCTCTCCATCCTCCATAAAGAGGAGCAAGAGACAATGTGAGACTTCAAAGGCACATTGGGGGTACGAAACTGGACCTATGGGGGGACGTCCTGAGGAGAGGGGTGTGTGGCCTTAGCCTGAGGTCACCCACCACCCTGAGTAGCTGTAAATTCTGGCCTGCTGTCAGTGTGACAACCTTCCATTTCCACAGCCCCAGGCAGGCAGCTAAACCAGGGCATTTATCGAGTCTCTGGTGGCTATCAGAACACAGCTGGTGGGCCTCCAATCTACTCTAGGTGCATTCTTGGAGAGAGAACCCAACGTTAAGGCATTGGCTTCCTAGTTTTAACATCCGGCAAACCACAGAAGGCAAACTGAAATACATGGAGCCTCCCATTCTAAAAAAACAGAATTCAACAGCCCCCAACCCTTGCATTCACATAAAACCGCAGTGCGGTTTCATTCCTGCCCCAGCAGATGGCAATCCAATGGAACTGCGCTAACCTCTATGACTCCAGGAATACATGTCAATGTGGTGAATTCGTAGGAAGCCGCCTCACTCGCCGTGGAAGTCATCAAACTCAGAAAGGTGGACTGAAAGGGAAGATGAGTGTGTTAGCAGTGGCAGAGGAAAGCCACCCACTTGTGACAAATCAGCAGCCGTGCTGACGTGAACCTTCCATGTAAAAACATACTTTATTGTATTGTTTGTTTGCATTTACATCCCAAGTTTTCCTCCAAAGAACTCAAGGCGGTGTACTTGGTTGTCCCATTTAATCCCCACCATGACCCTGCAAGAGCAGTCTTGCCCCAAAATGGCAACTAAACATTCTGTTTTGGTGGTTATAATCTTGGTTTAAGGAGCCATTTGGTGCCTAGCTTGTATATCTGAGTTTCTAACACTGCTGGGGAGAGTCCCAAATGCTAGACAGAGAGGTCTGCTCGAACAGATTTAGCCCCTGGATAAAGGTTCCCATGCTAGAGGAAGATTTTCCACTGGTGGCAGATGACAGAGACTGTGACTCCATGAGACAGGTGTAAAACCAAATTAAATAAAGGTTTTATTTCAAAACAACAAACAGCAAAGCTTGTGGGTGTTTTTCCTGCAGGCAAAGTTCAAACTGCAGCTTTTCTCCTTTTGTAGTCATGTCCAGCTGCAAACAATCAGCCCAGAGCTCACAAAAACGGTTCTTAAACGTACAAACATCTTTACTGTTTCTGTGCAGAATGACTCTCAACATCCCGACCCCTGAATTATAAACTTGAGGGTGAGACTTCATTTAAAGCAAGGGTGGGGAGCCTGTAGCCCTCCAGACTACAGACACCCATCGTTTCTGAATCCTGGCGATGCTGGCTGGGGTTGATGGGAAGTGCAGCCCAGCAACATCTGGAAGGCCACAGGTTCACCACACCTGCTTTAAAAGGAAGCACACCAAGTCACAGACACAGGAATAGGAATTCTCCAAGTGTCACTGACCTTACCCACAGAGGGGAAACCAATCAGCGCCACCCGGGCATCTCCAGATTTCATCACATCGAAGCCTTCGCCTTTGCCCGCCGCCGATTTGGAAGGCTCCAAAAGCTGAGCTCTGTACTTTGCAAGCTTTGCCTTCAGCAAGCCAAGATGGTACTCGGTGGCTAGAGCAGAAATAGAAAAAGTAACACACACATACACAACTAGGAAACAAAATCAAGTGACCGATGAGTTAGTGCACCTGTACTCTCCCAATGGCTCCTTCTCTGTCCCTCTTGCCTAGCTCTCCAACCTGGTCAACCAGAGCTACCGTTCCCCCTTTCTAAAGGCAAAAAGCACCTCCGGCTGTATTTCTGTCAATTACTCAGCTGGGCTGGGGAAAGGGATAAAGAGCCAGATTTCACTGCACACTAGGTATGAACTTTAAGAAAACGAAGAGCTTCAGGCTTTTAACTGTTCCCCTGCGATAGTTTCTGGTTTGTTTACTTTTATTATGTATTTTGTGTTCTTATTCTGTGTTTTTATGTTGTGAAGAGACCTGAAATCAGTAACAAAAAAATTCAGTGTTACGAAGCTCCATGCACCGTCCTATTCCCCCGCTTTTTAAAGTCCCCTAGCTACCTTGCAACCGCACTTGTTTTGCCTCCCCAAATGTATTTATACCGAAGGGGGACACAGAAAGTGTTGGAGCAAAATTGCGATAACGAAAAGACAGTCCTGGGCAAACAAATGCAGCACACTTGGTACACAAACTTTGCATGCAGGTGCTGTAGGAGCCCATCTGAAGAGCCGCCCACCCCCAACCCTGCAGTTCATTCCCTCCCTTAATAAATCTAATAAATAAAATAAATCCACACCCTGCAGACCCCGCAAAAACAGCCTCAACCCTCTGCCATTGCCCAGCCCAGGGCCTTAGAGCTCCTATTATTGTTTTTAACCCTCTCGGGGCAAAAACTCAGCAGGCGAAGCTTTTCAACCGAGAAAAGCCACACCTGCCGAACTTCTGCCTGCCGAGCAGGCGCTTCAAAGGCCCCAGTCAAGGGGTAGCCTCTTCCATTCAGCCGGCGCGTCCTAAGGAGGAGCCAAACCTTTGTTCTTCTGCGTCCGGGCGATCTCCTTCTCGATCTCCGCGATCTTCTCCAGGATCCCCATCGTGGCACTCCGGGACGGGAAGCGCAGCTGGCCAGGGAGAGCAGAGAGGGAGCGCTAACCCGGAAGTGGTTGCAGTCAGCCGCCCCTCCCACAGGAAGTGATCCCGGAGCGGTGCGACGCGCCTTCTTGTCCCCTGCGGCAACCGAAGCCGGCGACTTTTCCGTTCCGCGCGTCGAAGTGGGAGAGCGATAGTTAGTTTACACCATCGGTAGGCAAACTAAGGCCTGGGGGCCGGATCCGGCCCAATCGCCTTCTCAATCCGGCCCGCGGACGGTGCGGGAATCAGCGTGTTTTTACATGAGTAGAATGTGTCCTTTTATTTAAAATGTATCTCTGGGTTATTTGTGGGGCATAGGAATTCGTTCATTATTATTCGTTCATTTCCCCCCCTTCAAAATATAGTCCGGCCCCCCACAAGGTCTCAGGGACAGTGGACCGGCCCCCCTGCTGAAAAAGTTTGCTGACCCCTGCCCTATCCCATGGGTAGGCAAACTAAGGCCCGGGGGCCGGATCTGGCCCAATCGCCTTCTAAATCCGGCCTGTGGATGGCCTGGGAATCAGTGTGTTTTTACATGAGTGGAATGTGTCCTTTTATTTAAAATGCATCTCTCGGTTATTTGTGGGGCCTGCCTGGTGTTTCTACATGAGTAGAATGTGTGTTTTTATTTAAAATGCATCTCTAGACGGGTTATTTGTGGGGCATAGGGATTCGTTCATTATTATTCGTCCATTTCCCCCCCCCTTCAAAATGTAGTCCGGCCCCCCACAAGGTCTGAGGGACAGTGAACCGGCCCCCTGCTGAAAAAGTTTGCTGATCCCTGGTTTACACTTACAGGAACTGAGAAGGGCACCGCATCTGTGTGGAAGGAGCTGCGGAGCCCAAGACTGGACTACCTTGCAGGGCTGTTGTTGGCTGCCTCTCCCTCAGCTGGTCTTGCTGTGCATCTCAGGGCTGCTGTTGGTCCTCTCCCTCACCCTGGGCTAGGCGAAAGGGCCGGGTGGGTGAATGCTCCTGTCTCCCCACTCACCAAAGAGAGAGACAGACTTCGTGGAAAACTTTCCCAAACCTTCCGGGAAAAAAGTCTAAGAGGGAGTGTCAAAAACATAGTTTTTTAAAAAGCTGCAGTAGAGGATCAGACTCCTAATCGCAAGGTCATGGTTTGGAGGCTCACTCTGGGCAAGAGATTCCTGCATTGCGGAGGGTTGGACTAGATGCCCCTCGTGGTGTCTTCCAACTCTACAATTCTGTGGTACAATTATCAGCTCACCGCTCCCCGGCAAAAAAAGAGAAAACACCGACTGGGGCTGTCATACCCTCCAACATTTCTCCAATGAAAAGAGGGATGTCCCATTCCATAATGATAATTTTACTATTTACTACACATCTGTGTTGTCCCAGCCACTCTGGGCGGCTTCCAACATATATATAAAACATCATTAAACATAAAAAACCTTCCCTATACTGTACAGGATTACCTTCAGACGGCTCGGGGGTTAGATAACTCCATACCCTCTAACATTTATCCAATGAAAATAGGGCCATCCTACAGAAAAGTGGGGCATTCCGGGATCAAATAAGAAACCAGTTATGGCTTCTCTAAATTACAGACATACCTGGAAAATAGGGACACTTGGGAAGGCCTGTGCTGTTGTAAGACAACCACCCCACTCCACCCTCTCAGGCTCACCTCTCTTCACCTGCGGCATAGGTAACAGTTATATAGGATTTATTTATCCCTTTCTAACCCAGGAAGCACCTATAAGACCTTTACGCCTCCACCCCTCCAAAGAAACCCACCACCGCACCCTAGTATGGCACGTTGGCCATAAACACTGATGGGAGTCCTTTATGGGCAGCCAGGAAACTGGTGAGAATGAAGCAGTCACCAAAGGGCTTGTTTGTGGCCAGAGCAACTGTACATCAGTTAAGGCTAGCAACATAATTATTAAGTTTCAAAGCCTCATCAGTATAGGGCATGATAGGGCCTGGCAGGTGTCTGTAGGTCAAAAGGCAATGCTCTGCTGAGAGCCCCATGTTGATCTGTGACCTAATTTAGTTATGATACAGACCTATGCAACAGATGGGCAGGGGAAGAACAGGGTGCAGTACAGGCTTCAGTGTCCAACATACTTCTGATTGCCTTTGAAGGTAGGATTGGCCCAACATACTTCCCTGCCTACAGAATTAGAATTACGCAAGAACTGCAGATACAGGTTCTAGTTTTCCTTGGTCAGTTTTTGCCTTTCTTAAAAAAGCACACAACCCCCACACCCCTGCCCTGCCATAGTTCCCTTGCAGCAGCAGCAGCAAAGAGAGGACAGTGAGAAACATCACACAACACATCCTTGTTAAATTCATGTTTTTAATTTGGACACTGATAACTCTGGAAAAACTTCCTTTTCTGCAATTTGTCTATAAATACTCTTTAATACTCTGATTTACAAGATAGCTTTATAAAACCTTTTCAGTAAGACTTGGAAGATTCCACCCTCGGAAGCCACGCTGCCTGGGACAAGCCCCAGCCTGTTAGTCTTCTCTACAAGCACAATGCAACCATGCTTCATACTCTCATTTCTTTTAGCATCTGACAGTTTATAAGGGAAAGGTGTGTTGCTTGCTTGTGTGTGTGGAGAATGCAAGTCAAGCCAACCTGGGGCGGGGGGCGTGTTAAGTGCTAAATAATAAAGCAATTTCTAAAATGCTTGTTCCTTCCTGTGTCCTTTTAAGCTGCCCGTGGTACCTGTGGCCTTCCAGATTTTACTGGATTCAAACTCCCATCAACCCCAGCCAGCAAAGCCAGTAACAAAGCATGAAGGGAGTTGTAGTGCTGCAGCCACTCCCCATCACTTTTTAAAATGCAAGGACTTGTAGGTGGTCTTGTACAGAAGCATTTGCCAAATTAAGAGTAGACCTCAGAACGAATGCAGCCCTTTCCAAGTATCAAATTAAAGGCTGTTTTCTATGAAATGCCAAGTTTGCATAACACAAATGCAGAAACTGTTGACACAACATGGACTACAGTACATTATTATTCTGAAATGATTTTGAAATCCTGTTTTGGAAGGGTGAATTACAGCAGGTAATCTTTCTGTCCATCTCTGAATAAATATTTTAGCATTTAAAAGGTAAGAAGCTTGCAATTAAAATCAAGCTGTCTGCCAGCTGATGAGAACCTGTGCTTCACACACACCCCTTTATGGATTTTGGACTCCAAGCCCTCCCTCTCCCGTTTTGTGCTATTAGCCTAAACTGCTTTCGACAACTCCCTTCAACTTAAGACCACTTTGCTATGCAGCACAGAGCGCTACTGTCCTATAGATCTATAGTAATATAAGTCTATAGGCCCAAAGCCCTCCTGGGAATGTGGAACTGGCAATTGCATGTGCTGGATCCTGGCCACTTGCAGTGGATTGTGCATCACAATACAGGGGACAGAATTAAATTGCTAGTATTGGCCTTGCACTGTACTTCTTGCAGGCAAAGCTTTGCAAAAGTGAAATGAGGACCATGGTGCTTTGCTGTCAGGAGACGCTCTCCTTCACCCTAACCCCTTCGTGGGCTATGCTGGAGATGCCTTGCCTTCCTGCGTTCTTAACACACAAGGTGGTTTCAATTGGCCTGGAGTTACCTCTGGAGACTCTATTTCCTCCTGAAATAGGCTGAGGAAAGGACTGCTTTTCCCAAGCAAGTTGTGCCCCCCTATCTTAAAGCAAAGCAAAGGCACAGTTAATTCCTAGTCTCCAAGTGCGAGATCTTCTTAGGCATAAGATGAGAGAGAAGCCTAAGCGAAGGAGCAGCTGTTTGTACAGCCTGGGATATTTGCCCCAAAGCACTCAAAGAACCTCCATTACTGTGCATAGACAGTCAACTCGTGGATCAAAACTGGAGGGGGGTAGGGTGGAAAAGCAGTGAAGAGGTTCACAAACCCAGCCATACTCTCCCCCATCCACTTCCCTATCAGCATCCAAGCTTGCACTCTTCTGTGTCAGGCTAACAGACGTATCTGGATGTCATATTACGTCCTGCGGCCATGCAAAGCACTTCAGATCCGTCTCCTTTGAAGGTGAAGAGGAAAACCCCCACTGCCATTCAGATCCATTGGAATACATTTCCAACCTCAGTCTACAGGATCAGTGCCAGCCGAAGCCCATTTGCCACATTTCCTCAAGCTCTTCATATCTCTCCCGTCCCCCAGAAAATAGCAGGCAGCTTCTTAAGACTGCTCTGATTTGCAGGGGAGGGAAGGGAGAAATTGGCCTCTCTGCCATGTTTGTCTCCATGAAAGGGTGTCCTGCGTGGTTAATGTGAGCACTCCCACACACTCCTGTTAAGGCTTCAGTTAGCAAATCTGCCACTGCAATGTACAGTACATAGTTGGGGGGGAAGAGCAAGCCTGAACTAAGGGGGAAAAAATGATTCAACCCTATTCCGTTAAGGGGCTTTGCTTTCTCTCCTGTACATTGTATGCAAAAAATACTCTTTAAAATGCTCAATAACTTGTTTCAGAAGATACAGGACAGGCAGGGCTATGTGTACACTGCTCTAAATGTATTAGAACTCTGTATCCTGGCAATCTAAATTCTGCACCAAGACAGACAAAAGTTCTGCAGTCTGCACAGCAGATGTCAATTGAGCAAGCATGCACACCATTTCTTTTCTTTTGCACAATATATTCTGCCTTTGTTGGCTGAGGAGGAAATAAGGAACTACATATAGCACTACCCCACCACTAGTCCTACCCTAAATCCACCCCCTCCTCCTCTCAACCACTGAAACCTTGTACAACTCTGTCTTCCAAACCGTCCCTAGGCATTTCCCGCACTTTCAAACATATCAAAGCCATGGGGGCTAGAAATTCGCTCTTGAACTACTGAAAGCCACATGGCTTACAACAATCTGCACTTTCTCCTGTGCTCCCTCATTATTGCAGAGCACACAGAGCCCTGCATGTAGAGAGGAGAGAAATTATCTCTCAGCCCCAAGTGCCATTACTATTTTCTGAAATCCAAGCCACTATGAATGACAGCAATGCCACAGGACAAGAGCAGATCCCAAATGGGGCAGCCACTGTAAGTCTTAACTTTGGGCAGACTCCCAGGAAAGGTACCAGTACCTTCCTTGCACACAGACCTGCTTTAAGCTGCCTTGTAAATCCTACAAGTGCCTACAAAGGCATAAAGGAAAAACTGAAAAGAGCTGGGCATTTTTCTGCAAAAGGCTCAGCTGCACAACAGTCTTGATCTACCAAGTGACAGGGTAGTTGCCTCCGTCTCCTGGCCCAGCCAATGGTACATATAATCAAGACGATTCTGGGAAAACCCTCTGCGGATGAGTGCCATGTTAAGCAGGCCAGCAACTTTTAGACTCACTCACTCTCACACGTATTAGACCACCACAAACACACAAGCTCCACACAAAATTTGGCACACAAGCCTTATGTTTCCGAACATTTTCAAGTCCTTGGAGAGCAGTTTATTTTAATGGAGAGTTAGGAGGTTTTTCCCTGATAGAAATCATAGCAAACATCAAATGTTTCCTGTAGCATGAGAAACGGGAGCATGTGCATGGAGCTGAATATTCACACCACCGCTAAGCGATTACGCTGGGATATGCGGGTGTCAACACTGCTGGATTGTTGCACAGAGAGATCACCACCATCAACCAACACTGACTTTTCACTGCTTTCACCATGAGGGGGTTCAGGGAAAGCAGCCATGGTAAAAATGTAATGAGAGACAATTTGCATATACCATTGAGTCTTTTTGAGGGGGGATGGCCATAAAAATAGCTCTCTGTCTCTCTTTTTTTGTACGAAGTCCTTAAAGTTTTTCCTTTAAGATCTGAGACTTTGCATAAGCATCATTATGTTTCCCACTATGATGGCCTGTTAGCCATTCCCCCCTTGGTGCAATCCAAGACAACGGCTTACGCCTCTGTGACTGGCTAGCGTTCCTGAGAGATGCAGCCTTGCTAGCCAACAGGAACGGGCAATTTGCTAGGCCCTCCTCCTCTTGGCCAACTGTTTCCCGTAGTGGATGCCGCAGCTGGGTGTGATGCACACAGGAGCCTCATGCAATGCTGAGGCTTGAAAGGAAAGGGCATCTGTGGATGACTTGCTCTTAAGTAGAACCCATGAGCTACAGCAAAGTGCGGAGAGACATAAGCCGGCAGCAGCTTACGTTTCCTCTACTCTAAGGAAATCCAGCTGGGCGCAGCCATTTCCTCCTCCGAAAGGGGCAGAAGAGTTTTCAGTGGTAAAGAGACTAGCTGTGCAATAAGAAAAGTGCATTTGAATGGTAGCTTTAAAACCAGATTAAAGTATCAAGTTTGCCACGCAGCTGGAGGAAGGGTCAGGCTCCGGCAGCCTCAGGCTTCACATTCACGCCCTCACACCAGTCCGGTAGCCCGACAGGAGAAGAGCCTGGAGTCTCCTGTCCTGACAGGGACATCGCAGTTGTCCTAACAGAGCATGCTCTCTCTCTCTCTCTCTCTCCCCCTGGCCCCACTGGCCATCTCTCGGCGCCACTCTTGGTATCGCTGTCACCGGAATTCGTAAATGGGTGCGCTGTACTCTGGGACATGAGTCAAATTCAGAGACTGATACCTGAGGGGAAAAGCAAAGAGGATTTTAATGATATAATCTACCCCTTATTCTGCTTAATGAGGTCAACAGTTTTCAAACCCGGGAACTTGTTGCCACACTGCAGACCCCTGCTCATCAGCCCCAGCACTCTTGCCTAGTTTTAACATACTGGCTTATTCAGAAGATGGTAACCATGGGTTCCTGGTTTCATTGCTTGCACCATGAAGGAAGGAGCACCAAGTGCAGGCAAGAGGCTCATTCCTATCCCAGCTTATTAGGCCAATGTGGGATTGTCTGAACATGACCAATGTGTAGATTGCCTTGGCACAGTGTCTTAAGCGGTCCCAGTTCAGCTGAGCAAAGCAGTAAAGTTGCAGTGAGCAACTTTCAGCTGGTGAGCCCCAATTAAGCATGGGCCACACTGAAGAGGAAGAATTGGGTGAACTCTCCAAGTGCACTCCCAATTCTTCATTTCCAGCACTAGTAGAATCTGTTGCCCTTTTCTCCTCTTGCCTGTTTCATTAAGATCTGCCTTTACTGAGCTGCGTTTACAAGGAATGCCCTCAGCTGTGCCGGATGGGCATTATAACAAGTTCCCATACGCAGATAGACTCTGTATGTGGGCAACCACAGGTAGAAGACATTCTTTATTATTTATTATACTTCCCGTTTTACACAGAACCTAGGAGATGTTTCTAACTCCCCTGTTTGTTCAAGAAAGCAGTCTCTCCTTGGTGGAGACGGTTCAGTGGCTGTTGTCTAATGCTTAAGTGTCGCATAAAGTGACTCTTTTTGCATTGGCAGCAAGAAAGTTTAGGAGGAGGAATAGGACAAAATAGCAGTAAATTGTAAGGAAGATTCAGAGGTCTAAATTGAAATGCACTGTATGTGGTTGTGGAGGCTCCTCATTTATAGGCTCGCTTGCAATACATGATTCTAGTTGTTTAAGCAAAGTTGTTTAAGCAATAACAATATTGTATTTTATATTGTCTGTGTCATGGCCTTCGGCTACCACAATAAAGTTATTGAGCTTAGTGCCCTTTTCTCTTGCCCTGCAGAATAAAAGAAAGTCCTCCAGCCAGTGCTCCACAGAGGCAGCCCCTTACCATTCTGAACTCCTGTGATAGTAATAGCCTTCTATAGATGCTGCAGATTTCTGGAAGCATATGTAATAGAATCCAGCAAAGGAAGCACCGCTGATGTCTTTGATGGTGTGATCAGGGACCAGGAACTGTTCCTGCACAAGAGTTAACAAAATTTTGAAAAGCTAGAAGGGATAGTTTTTTTCACTGCAGCAAGCATCTGCTGGAAATTTTTCTACAGAAAAATAGAAACCCCCCCCGGGACTGGTCTGCTATAGCTTTCATTGGGCACCAGCCCCTAGTTAAGTGTTTGCATGCACACACAGTACAGCTCACACTGAACTGCCAGTAATAAAGATATTCACAAATATTCCAATATAAATAATTTCAAAGTAAATGGCATTTAACACACATTAAGTATTACTTTACTATATTTTTTTCATCAAATATTTCTGTTCATCTACTTTTAACTATGAACAAAAATTTGAGATATTGGTACAGCAAGTGAAAGCACAATGTATTTTTGTAGCTTTGTTTACTCCACAAAAAAAGTCCGGAAAAATTCTGGGGAAATTTCAGGTTCAAACTCCACAAATTTTCTTCACGGGACACTACAACCCTGCAGCCTGACTGCATCAAAGGGGGCATAAGAGTGCTGCTGCTCTGCTCTTGTTTTCTGCAGTGCTCTGGACGTGGAACCAAGAGAGAACAAGGACTACACTGGAGGTGCAGGGGGCTTCTTCCTTCCTTGTAGGGTCCTGTGCAAGAAGCCTGACTCTAAAACAAGCTGATTCCTGTACTGAAAGGGTTGGATTGGATGATTCTCCCTCTCCAACTCTATAATTCTATACTGCATGCTGTCACTGCACACTATACTGAGGAATTTCAGAGATGTTTGCCCTCCCTGCTGGATGTGGAGGAGGAAGGAAACCTTGTGTTATCCTTCCATCCTGCCTGCAGCAACCCAATTAGGCAGCAAGACCAAATAAGATAGATTACCCTACACCTCCTAGGGGTGTGCCTGCGCTAAGTGACAGTTAGACTGTCACACAGGCCCTCTAGCAACACACCCTATGTGAATGCACATGAAGAACTTACCTTCCACCTCATAAAGACAAAGTCATCGTTCTTCAGATCCTCATAATCAAAGTCATCAGAGTTAAATGTTTTTGCGTACTGGTAAAAGGCCGGGAACTTCCCCTAGAAGCAAAAGGGACACACAGTGCTTAAAATTCCGGAGGAAAAATGTGTGCTGCATGACTCCAAACAAGTTCAAATACCTCCCAAGCTAATCACAACCAGCCAGACCCTGGATGCCACCCACTAAAGGAATCGATTTCCAGAGAAGGATGCCAAAGTTCCCTCTTCCCTGTCCACCCTCTCTATTTGCTGATCATGGCAGAATTGAAATCTTTCCCACAAAACCCAGCCTTCGGCGTGCAGCTACAAACTCAGCCTCAGTCACGCCAAACAGCTGGGATGCAGCGACATCACAGCCTTCCTCAAGAAGGCAGCCAGTAAGAAGAAAAAATAACACTAAAATGAGAGCTATGTAATTATGTGTCATTTCTTTTAAGAGTTGTTCTTTGTCAATTTCCTTCTGTGTTCGGCTAGCGCAGACGCATCTGGTAAGAAGCTGTCCAGAACCTGCTGCCAATTCCTACCCTAGAGACCGGAGGCAAAAAAACAAACAAACCACCAACCAAAGTCACCAAGAGTAGTTCCTCACTTGAAGTCCTAATTCAGCTAAACTAAGGCCCAACACTGTCCAGATGGGTGTAGTTCTCACTGAGCTGGTAAACCTGTGCTTGAAGTATACCACCTCAGACTACCAGGGACTCTACCCTTAAAACACATTCCTTCTTGTAGAAACGGAACAAATAAGGGAGAAGACTAAATTAGAACCCTTCTTTCCAGCGCCTAGACGGAGGGAATTTGCCAACTATGTGAGCCTGCACCTGCAGCCTGAAGTGGCACAGCCCAGGCACATAGCTAGGCCCAAGGAACTCACCCAATGTTTACGATCCACGTCTTCATCTGCGTCCCACTTCCGCGTTAAAAACGGGTGCTTTTTACTAATTATTTCCCCTTCAAAGAAAGTTGTAAGGGTTGGATATTCCTGCAAGTGAACAAAGCAAGAACATGATGAGCACGTACAACCGTCCCAGGCAAGTTTCCTTACCTTTGCAAGGAAGTTAGGAGAGGGCTTTGTAAAGGAATGAAACACACAGAACATCAGTTTTGGCCTAAAATACTCTGCCTCAAGCACGTACCTCCGTAAGGCCTTTAATCTTCAAGTATCCACAGAGATAGGAGTTCTCCATGTCCACGTGCTGGAAGACAAAGCAGAAAACCACCCATGACTTTGTGACCAGTTAAAGAACAATCAGCACACCAACAAACTCAAGTGGTACTAATGCACCACTTGCTGTTCCTAGTGTCTCAATGTGAAGACTAATCGGAACTGAGGGAAGGTAATAGGAGTTTCTTTTATCTATGCACCCTATTTTCCACAGTGGCCATCTCCAGAAAGCCCACAAACAGCACTTGCAGGCAACATCCCTTCTCCTTTGTTACTCTCCATCAGCTGGTATTCAGAGGTATCCTGCCCCTGCACAGCTCTCATGTCCCACATCTATGGATACATCTAATTCCAAGCATGTATCCAATTCAAATTTGGGTCATAGGATACAAGTTGCTGGTTGCTCCTACAGAACCACTGGGATCCCCCACTCAAAGGAACCCTCCAGAACGAGAGAACAGTGAAGTCTCTCAGCCAGCTTTCTAAAGGCAATTTTTGAACAGTACTACTTGTTTCCAAGCAACAGCAGGTTAGGATTCATTTTCATTTGCTTGGGAACCATCCCTACAAGGACAGGGAGGCCAAGTGTTCTGAATATGAGCATCAGCTTTCTAGGTACCCAGGAAATTTCCAGCCCTACTTTGAGATGCCACAGCACTAAAACCAGTTATCCTGCTTCCCCATGCTCCCTGGCTTTCATTAATCTGGAAAAGGAGAATGGGGTAGAGGACGGTTCTTTGGCTTCCAAGGGAATGGCAGCAGAGTTAGGAAACTGACTCATTCTACTGATTTACAGGCTGCCACGCCAACTACACAGACTCACTGAGATGGCTCAGGAAAAGGATGAGTCAACGCAAGAGCTTGAGACACTTCACTGTCCTCTCCACTCAGTCTTGCAAGTTCTTGCCTTCGAAAGTGTCTATTAACTTGACCCTTCCATTCAGCTTTTTGCTCCTTGTCTCTGCCTCTCAAAATGGACAGGGGGCTGGAGCAGACCTCCTGTGATGAAATATTACAATATTTGGAGCTTTTTAGTTTAGAAAAAAAAGTTTGGGTGGACATGATAGAGGAGTAAGGATCATTGCTGTGACGTTTTGGGCATCCCTTTCAGACCTTTTTATGCTGAGAGGTCTATTCAGCTTAATTGTTTTCAAGATGATGAATCATTTTGTACTGTTTTTAATGTTTTACTTTGCCTGTATATGTTGTTGTACATCACCTTGATGTTATATGAGAGGGCAGTTCATAATTTTTTTTAAATCAATAAGCCATAGCAGCAACAGAACTGGAAAGTACCAAGCATAAAAGCATAATTTGACCTGTCGACAAATATAGCACTGGATGCAATGAAAAACAATGACCAGTGGGTGCTATTAGCGGCGCCTGACCTTAAGACTGTGACATTGTTTGTCTGTGCTTAGCCCCCCACCCCACCCCCTTGACAGCAGTCTGAAGTCACACTACCACAGCTCTCTAGCTGAAACAATAGCATTGTTTGTCTGGTTCTAAGCACTACCCATGAGACACATACAGTCATACTTCAAACGCTTTGGAGGAAGAGAACGGCACATGTGTAATCTAAAAACAGAAGAACTGAATCTCCTGGATCAGACCAAAGGATCACTAGGCCTAGCATTCCATTTTTAACAGCGGCAAGCCAGAGAACTCTAGGAAACTCACAAGCAGAGTTTGACCATCCCCAGTTTGAGCCTGATGGCTTGTACAGAGACACAAACTGTGTGGAGTTGTGGATATGTGACAGAAATTCAGAAAGGCCAAAGTAGATTCTTCCAGAGAATCATTGTGGGTGGTGATACCAGGCCCTAAGAGTAATTTTGTCCTGGCAACATGCTACCGTCCCCTTGATCATTCAACTTCAAAAGAGGAAACTTCCCCAAAATGAGGGGATTGGGGAAAAAGAAATTGAATGGGAAGTCAAGAGGGTCAAATTACCCCAAATGTTTGGGAGTTGTTTAAGACCACAATATTATAAGCTCATCTATACCACAGATCAAGAAATGTATCACCCAGGGCCAAGAGAATGCCTGCGTGTTTAATGAGCAATGCTAAAAAAGCTAGTAGAGGCAGGAATGTGTCCTTTAGAACATGGAAGCTTTGTTCAAATGAAGAGGCTAGAAAGGAATACAAACTTTGGCGAAATAAATACAAGCAGATAATAAGGGATGCAAAAGAAGAGGAAAGAATTTGAGGAGCACATTCCTATGTAGGTGTTTATAAGATAATGCTAGGTGCCTCTGAGTCAAGATGAGCAAGTGTGTCTTCTACAAAGGTTAAGTCATGTCTCACTAACCTTTTAGAGTTCTTTAAGAGTGTCAACAAGCACACAGATGATCCAGTTGACACTGCAAACTTTCAAAAAGCTTTTGACAAAGTACTTCACGAAAGACACTCGAGTAAGCTTGGCAGGCACTGAATTAGAAGAGAAGAGGTCTTCTTGAGGATGAGTAACTGGTTAAGAAATAGGAATCAGAGAGTAGGAATAAATGGATAGATCTCCTAATGGGGTATATATAACATGGAATCCCTCAAGGATTGCTATTGGGACCTGTGATTTTTAATTTGTTCAGGAAAAAATCTAGAATCAGAAGTGAGTTTGCAGATTATACCAAATTGTCTGTGGTGGTTAAAACAAGAAGGAATTGCAGATAACTCCAATAGGATATTTCCAAACTGAGTGAATGGGCAGTAAAACAGTAAAAGCAATTCCATGTAAAAAAAGCAAATTGGGGCAAAAATCCCTTCATTTGACATATAATGCCAGTGCCACTACGCAAAATATATGATGATGCAGCCATACTTGGAATACTGTGTACAGTTCTGGTCATCTCACCTCAAGAAGGATATTGTAGAACTGGAAAAGGTTCAGAAATGGACAACCAAAATGATCAATGGGATGGAGTGACCCCCTTCTGAGGAATGGTTCCAACACTAGGGGATCTTTAGTTTTGAGAAAAGGTGATTAAGAAGAGACATGACAGAAGCGTATAAAATTATGCATGGCATTGAGAAATTAGATAGAGGTAATACTAACACCCAGGAATATCCAAGAAAGCCAAATGTTGGGAGATTCAGGACAGACAAAAGGATGTAATTTTTCCACATAGTAAACTATGAAATTCACTCACACAAAGGCAGTGAGGGCCACATTGTGGATGGTTTTAAAAGAGGATTAGACAAATTAATGAAGCATAAGACTATCAGTGGTACTAGACACAATGGCTGGGTTTTGCCTCCACTGTTGAAGGCAGCATTTCTCTGAATACCAGCTGTTAGAAATCACAGGCAGGGACAGGGGTGTTACACTCAGTTCCTGCTTTCAGGCTTCCCATGGAGATTTGGTTGGTCACTGTGAGAACAGGATGCTGGACTAGGTGGGCTACTGGCCGGATCTTATTATTTGGGAAGGTGAGAAATAAAACAAAAGCCACTCTCATAAATACTCATTTACACACCACTTTTGAGCATTCAAAGTGATTACTGTGAATTAATTATTACAACAACCAGAAATTATAGGTCAGGATCATCCCCATTTTTGAAACAGGGATCTTTCCCTGTAAAGAAGTTACAGGGATTGAATCTGGGGTCTCTTCCATGCAGAACATAGCTTTATTACAGGCAGCCCCCCATTTACTATGTTCCAAGGCTCTGTGTGTAACAGTGAAATCACGTATAACTGGAACCCCCTGAAAAAGTATGCAAATGCCCTGCCCTTTTAAGTGACGTTTCAGTGACATCTTTACAACATGTCTGGGTCACTTTGGGTTTGGTGTGATGAACATATACACAGGTGACACACATACTGAACATGTGTAAATGGGGGGGGGGGGAGCTAACTGTACTGTACTATGGCCCATCCTCTAGAAATGAAGATTTAATTCCTCATGGAACGTATGGAAGTCAGATCTGGTCCACGTCCACCGAGCTCAGCAATATCTGCACTGACTGGGTGTGGCTCTCCAGGATTTCAGACAGGGGTTTTTCACAGCCCTACCTAGAGATGCTGGGTATTGAATCTGGGTGCCTTTACACACAGAACATGTGCCCTGCCACTTAGCTGCAGGCTCAGAGAGAACCAGCTCTTACTTACCACCACCTAGTGAGCATATAGCAAGAACCAGACGCAAGGCAAAAGATTTGTAGCTCACAGTGTATGTAGTCTTATACACGTCTACTCAGAAGTTAAGTTCCACTGACTTCACTGGAACCCAAAGGTGACATGTGGCAGTATGTGGGTGGGTGGCCAGGGCCGCATGCCAGTGAGTATAGCCTAAAGTGAGAATGGGTAAGGGCTATTCACACATCTTGTCACTGGAGAAACAGAGAGCTTATTTATTTTATTTCAACAATTTATATATTGCTTAATACCACGATCTCCAGGTGAGGTACAAGGTTACCAAAAAGAGAGAGAACAGAACAGAGATAAAATTAACCATTAAAACTCCAAGCCATGGAGGACTACTAGAGTGGCTTCCTTGAAGAATGCATTTATTGGGCAGTGCTTTAGATATTCCAAGTTAAATGTGTAATGAGTACCCTAGCATCACTTCCAGCCCCATTACTCTTTCAACTACTTCCTCACCCAGTTTACCTCTTGCAGTACCAAGTGACAAAGACCTTTTCAAGCTCCCTGAGATTAATTAATCTCAAATTCAGTGAGAGGGAGAAGACTGCCCCTCTACCCATCCTAGTAGCAGCAAAATACTGTAGAATTTCCAGAAGGAAGACATAGGGCTGACACACCTTTCTTTAAAAACCTGGTCTACAACTGTATGCTTGGGAGCAAGCACTCCCACTGAGACCTGCTCCTGGGCAAGCCTGTCTGTGAACGATGGCAGCCCACCTCCTAAGATCAGAGGGAGAGGCTCTGTATTTCATGCAGCGAGGGCAGGAGAGAGTACAGCTGGGTGGGGCCAGAAGAAGGGTCCTTCAGTGGCTACACCCAAATTATGGGGCAATTCATCTTGCAAAGTGTGTCCGCCCTCCTTTCCTGTTTTTGTCAACCACTGAAGACATTTTTATTCTGACAGGATTTTATTTTATGAAGCTTTAGGATTTTTAAAACTGTTGACCCCATCTTTGGGGGATTTTAAAAAACAAAATCATAAGATGTTGCAAGCCACCCTGAATGGAAGATAACTGGAAGCATTATAGGCAGATTGAACTGCAAGTCATTTGGGAGCACAATATTCTTGCTAGCATATGAAGCTATATTACAGTGGTACCTCGGGTTAAGTACTTAATTCGTTCCGGAGGTCCGTACTTAACCTGAAACTGTTCTTAACCTGAAGCACCACTTTAGCTAATGGGGCCTCCTGCTGCTGCCGCGCCGCCGGGAGCACGATTTCTGTTCTGAAGCAAAGTTCTTAACCTGAAGCACTATTTCTGGGTTAGCGGAGTCTGTAACCTGAAGCGTATGTAACCTGAAGCGTATGTAACCCAAGGTACCACTGTATATTATTACTATATGTATGTGGGTAATCGTCTTTTGTAAGCTACTGGGGGTACGGGCTTTGCCCTGGAAAATGGCATATAAATACAATAAATAGTGATGTGTGCATTTGTACTACATGGGCAGAATAAAAATAAAATGCTTTAAAAAAACTGAAAAATAAACCACCACCACACCAGCAGAGCTGCTGTGGTGAGAGGGAGGTTTCATTCTTTCAGATGTGGAAGAGGGCAGTAGGTGCATCACAGCTGCGCTAGTGACATGTGAGCAGCCCTCCTGAATCAGACCAAAGTTGCATTGTATCTGGCTCCTGTTTCTCACAGTGACCAACCAGATGCCTCTGGGAAGCCCACAAGAGTGAGCACAACCGTACACTCTCCCCAATCATGTTCCTCAGCACTCTGAACTTAATGACACATCTCTTCTGATACCGGAGATAGTACACAGTCATAAGCAATAGCCACTGACAGCCTTAATCTCCACCAACTTATCCAAGCCACTGCCTAAACCATGCAAAATAGTGGCAATCACTACATCTTGTGGGAGCAGATCCCAGTCTAACAATGCGCTGTGTGACCAAGTCCTTCCTTTCATCTGTCCTGAATCTTCAAACATTCTGTTCCAACGGAGGACCGCACTCAGTCCCAACGTATTTCTATTTAGCACTCAGCTTTGCTTCTGCCTCTGTGAAAAAGCTATTGCAGGCAGTGAGAGCAGGAAAGCTGCTCATGAAGAAATCTGTTAGAGGCAGCTGAGCTCGATAATATGCAAGCCATGCAAAGTGACAAAAACTCAAAGCACGGATGCATCAGGCCAGTGGCCCATCTAGTCCAGCATCCTATTCTCGCAGTAGCTAAGAAGAGGTCTATAAGAAGCCTGCAAGGAGAGCCTAAATGCCGGAGCACTCTCCCCATCGGCGATTCCCAGCCGCTCGTACTGAGACACACTGCCTTCAACAGCAGAGGCAGAACATTTTGGACAATGCCCATTGACAAGCCTTATCCTCCTTCCTATGTGCACCTAGCCTCCTTTCAAACGCCACCCAGGCTGTCAGCTGTCAAGGCAACCTGTGGCAGTGAGTTCACCAGCTAAAGTCTACGGCTCCTGCTGCATGAAGAAACCCTTCCTCCCATCTGCCACAAGCCATCCATTTGAAGAAGCCGGTTGCCAAGTCCTAAGAACGCCAAGAAGAGCCTGCAGCGCAGCTAGTCCTCAGCGCCCTGTCCTTGTACAGAAGAAGAGCCAGAGGCACACCAAGTCTCCAGCATCCCATGGACCAAGTAGATGCCCATTACAGGGAAGACCACAAGCAGGACCCCAGCGCATGAGCCCCTCCTGCAGCTGGTATTTGCAAGCATTTGCTGACATGGATAGCCATGGTGGCTAGTAGTCACCAATGACTCCTCTCCTCCGTGAATCTGCGCGACCCTCTTTCAAAGCCAGAGAAGGGAAGCAGGTGCAGGGGGCGAGACTACTATGGCAGGGCTGTCAACTTGAAAAAAATATAAATGGGGGGTCCCCCTCCCAGATAAGCCTTGCCCCACATAACCCACCACACACACCATTTGAATGAATTTCGGGGGGCTTAGCTCCCTCAACTCTTATGTGGGGGGGGGGCGAATGGACCTCGGCCCCCTAGGCATTCTCCTCAAACAACCACACAGGGCTGGCGAAGCGAGCCCCGTCCTCGGCCTGGTGGCTGCCACTGCCTCCTGAGGCAGGGAGTTCCGCAGTCCTAGTGTGTGGGTGGGGGGTGGGGAGGGAGAGAGGCGTGGGGGGTTTGGGCGGCGCTGCCTGCCTGCCTCTCTCCGGCCGCGCTGCTGACCTGGACGACCACCTCCACCTCGTAGGCGTTGCCCTTGGAGCGCTGCTGCCCGCGGAACTTGGCGCCGCTGTAGAGGCGGCTGGTGCTGACGCCGGGCTGCGCCGTGTTGATGGGCGGCGGCGGCTCGAGGCGGGCGGCGGACGAGGCTCCTCCCGGGGCCTCCGGAGGGCAGCGGCAGGCGCTCCGCACCGGCATCTCGGGCGGGTCCCCCGGCGCCAGCGCGGCGCGGGCAGCGAGCACCGTCCTCGCCTTCCTCCCCTCGCCCGGCCGGCCTGCCTCCGACGCGGCTCGGCCTGGCTCGGCCTCTGTTTTCCCCTCACAGCCCTTTCCTCCCCCTCAGCGGCGTCGCCGCCGCCTCCTCTTCCTCCCGCCGCTCATGATTGGCCCGCCGTGCGGCGGCGCTCGAACCCCATTGGGTGCCCGGCGTCACGTGGGGGGTAGGAGGGCGGGGGAGGGAAAGGGATTTTTTTTTTTTTTTAAGGAAGGCAAGACGCCGCCGGGCTTTTCTCTTTCCACTCCCTCAGTCGCTCCTCGCTCGCTCCGCCGCGTCGCGGGGAGATGGCGCGACGCAGGGGACAAAACGCGTTTGTGATGCTGATTGGCCGCGTCTGGTAGCTCCTCCCCCGCGCTCCCCCCTGACATAGAAAGATGGCGGCGCCCATGAGCGTGGGTGAATAAGGAAGTGGGCGGGCGAGCAAAAAAAAGGAAGATTTTGAGGGTGGAAAGGAAGAGGGTTTTTAAAATTATTGTTACTTATTTTAACCTTTATTGAGTTGGCTTCGGGGGCTTCTCATTTGTACTGCTAGGGAAATCTCACTATAATTCCTTTGGAGCCAAGAGAGGGTCTACATTAGGGGCTGTCCTTGGGTCCCACGACATAAATTTCCCCTAGCGCAGCCTGCTGCCGAGACCTCCTTTTATCCTCTCCCTTTTAAAAACAACCCCCCCACAATACCCTCCAGGCCTCTTCCCATGTTTAGAGAGCCTAGCTCTAGTTTGCTGTGTCCTTAAAATATACGTTTATAAACTTAGGTCAGCTTTTTATGATGATACCTGTATCCATAACACATAAGGAAAGGCGGAGCTACTTCTGAAGAATCGCTCATAGTTACTTGGTCCCTTTCTTTGACCTCATTGCCCCAAGTTATTATTATTATTATTATTTATTAAATTTACCAAATACCAGAATGTGGTGGGGTGGTTTACAGCGCCTGTCATCAAGACACTCCCTTGTGGTCGGACGTCTCTGGCCATCTGTCTTCGTTCGTGGTCCAGTGTTATTGCAAGTGGAGTCAAGACAACCCTACACACCGCAGGCAGGTAAGAATTAAGGTTGCAGGCTGATCCTGGGTTTGATGTGGTTGGGATTCATACTTTTTGATAGCTAGGATTGGAATGCAGGAAACGCAGCATTGAGGCAGCGCATTGTTACATGTAGCTCAGTGCCATTTATGGTGCCTGGCAGCTGCTAACAATAAAGTATTTCAGTTGGGTCTTTCTTAATTTTATCTGGAGTTGCTGGGAATTCAAAATGGAATGAGATTTTGCATCTAAAGTATGGCATGTGTTCTACCTCGGAGCTATAGCCTTTCTTAAATTAGGAACAGGTAATGTTTTTGGGCCAAGGGCTACATGGTCTCCTTGGTCAGTTCCCTCAGACCTGTATGCCAGAAGTAGGGGTGGCCAGAAGAGGCTGCGTGCAAAGAAACTGCTAACCCATGCAGAAGTCTACTTTATGTGCCATGCCTATTTTAATTCTTTTTTCTTATCACTGCTACTGAAGATTGGTGGGGGAGAAAATTGTGGAGTTTGGAACTGACAGGGTTAAAACTCACTGGTGTCCTGTATCTGGATCTGGGAGGAGCTGGGAGGAGCTCGATGCAGAGAAGTGTGTCACAGGATGTTGTTCTGACGCTCTTCAGATCTGTCTCTGCAACGGACAGAGAAGCAGCTCAGTTTAGAAGCTGCTGTGAGAGTGCTTTTGGAAAGCACAGAGAAATGGCCGAAGTTTCCGATGGAGTCTGATGGATTTATTACTCTGTAAATAAAGCTACTAGAGATAAGAACGAACACGGAAGCAGGGCCGTTGTTGCTACTCTGCTATCCTGCCAGGTCATTTTTCCCAGCAGAGTCCACACAGGGAAGAGTGACTGGACGGCAATTTATTTTCACCCGAAGAAAAATTTGTGGGGGGGGCGGGCTGCAACAGAACCTCAGACGGGGATTTAGCTACCCCAGCTTTAAATCTTTCTCCACCCCCACCCCCTGAAAAAAGTGTATGTTATAGTTTTCAGGTGTCATTTTCTCACAGTAGCAAACAGAATGCCTCTAGGATGCCCACAAGTTGGTCATAAAATAGATAATAAAGATAATAGGCTTCCCTCATTGTTGCTGCTGAGTGTGCAGTGGGTTGCGTGTGTGATCTGATCTGGTTTTAAGCCTTTCACAGAATCTTAAGAGTTGATAAAGTCTTAGGACCTGGATGGTTTTTTGATCTCCCTTCGCACTGATGACAATTATCCTGCTGTATTGATCTTCAAGACAGAGCCATGTTACTTATAAGTTTGGTTTCTCTGTTTCGTGAAGGCTTAAATGTACCCTCCTTGATAACAAATGATGTCTTTAGAAGACTTTAGAACTCAGCATGTGCTTTCTACAAACAATTAACAGCAGCTTACTATCGGTGGTTTGAGATGCAGAAGTTCTTTTTTTTCTTTTGCAGCTAGAGGGAGCTCTCTTTCAATCTGATGGCATCTAACATCTGCAGGCAGTGCATTCTGGGAGATGTAATTCACTGAGAAAATGGGCTGGACAAAGTCATTAAAATGATGTTGGTTGGCAGCTGATAGGCAGAAAGTCAATGGAAAGAGTGGCAGCTCCTCTGGGGTGCTTGGCTCCACTCGCTTACATTTTAGACAGTGAGCTACACCATGTATTGTATGTAAAATACATTGACCATTTATTACAGTATCTTATCCCAAAGATTGTTTTCTAAGAGATGCATTTAAAATTGGAGGTTCTTGAGCTACCTACACTCTCTTTTCTTTTATCTGTGGTACTTCACTGCCTCTGCAAAACATATACTGGCACATCTAAATGCATATTAAAAATTAGATTGCTAGCAGTTAAGCAATGGATGAAAAGAAGAAAAACCTAACTGTGTAAAGATCATCATAGATAGTTGAAAACCATGGTGGGAGGGTCAAGCATTCCAGAGTGCTGACTGTTGTGTATCTTTGAACAGAAAGATTCATATTGATTAGAATCATAGAATCATAGAGTTGGAATAGACCACAAGGGCCATTGAGTCCAACCCCCTACCAAGCAGGAAACACCATCAGAGCACTCCTGACATATGGTTGTCAAGCCTCTGCTTAAAGACCTCCAAAGAAGGAGACTCCACCACACTCCTTGGCAGCAAATTCCACTGTCGAACAGCTCTTACTGTCAGGAAGTTCTTCCTAATGTTTAGGTGGAATCTTCTTTCTTGTAGTTTGGATCCATTGCTCCGTGTCCTCTTCTCTGGAGCAGCAGAAAACAACCTTTCTCCCTCCTCTATATGACATCCTTTTATATATTTGAACATGGCTGTCATATCACCCCTTAACCTCCTCTTCTCCAGGCTAAACATGCCCAGCTCCCTTAGCCGTTCCTCATAAGGCATCGTTTCCAGGCCTTTGACCATTTTGGTTGCCCTCCTCTGGACACGTTCCAGTTTGCCAGTGTCCTTCTTGAACTGTGGTGCCCAGAACTGGACACAGTACTCCAGGTGAGGTCTGACCAGAGCAGAATACAGTGGCACTATTACTTCCCTTGATCTAGATTCAGTAATTGCAGGAGTGGGGAAAGAAACCAGTACAATGTAAAGAAAGAACATAAGAAGAATGTGCTGGATCAGGCCAACAGCCCATATAGTCCAGCATCCTGTTCTCACAGTGGCCAACCAGATGCCCGTGGGAAACCCTCAAGCATGATCTGATCCCAAGAGCACTCTTTCCTCCTATGTTCTCAAGCAACTGCTATTCAGAAGCATTACTACCCCTGGGCCTTATTGATTTCAATGGATCTGGACATATCTACATTTGTCTGGATTGTGAACATTGGATATGTACATATTTTATTTATTTCTTAAATAGAGATATGTATTTTTCTTGCAGAAAGGAAAAGGTTCTACCAGAATGTCAGCATCTCCCAAGGTGAAGGTGAGCACCTCTGTGTACTGGTAGTAGTTTGTCTGTCGTGCAGATGTTTAGAACAGGCTCATCTGGACGTCTTCTCCATCCCAGCTCAAGGTTATGTTAAGGTGAAAGGCAGAGACTTTGCCAAGGTGAGCTTTGTGGTGGAACAGGTGGAGCCACGCCTTCCACGCTGGCTCCTGTGTGTTGCAAAAGATTCTAATGCACCTAGAAGAGGGATATTGCAACACATTCAGGTAAAGTTTTACTCAGGCTTTGGCAAATCTTTGGTGGAAGAGAGTTCTGTTTGTGAGGTGGCTGTAGAAAACTTTGATACCTTCATATGTGGCTCCAATGTCAGGATGTTTTCGCTGCAGTTGAAAGCACACATGTTTACACTGGTATTTCTCTGACCATTCATATAATTTTGCTGTCACTGCTTGACCTTCTTTTATTGAAACATTTTGTTTTTCTTATGTTTGTTTTGGACCACCTTGGTATTGTTTGCTGAAATTGAAGGGTGGGGGAAATTAAATCAATAAATGAAGTGTTTAGTTATTGTTAAGAAAGCTATTTACTGGTTTTCAGCGATAGGGTATGAGTAGGACAGTGTTTCTCAAACTTGGGTCCCCAACTTGTTGGACTACAACTCCCATCATCCCTAGCTAGCAAGACCAGTTGTCTGGGATGATGGGAGTGGTAGTCCAACAACAGTTGGGGACCCGAAGTTTGAGAAACACTGGAGTAAGAACTTCCATCACGGCACCATTCAAGAATTTAATATTGGATGCAGAATTCGTCACTGTGAGACTCTCAACTTCTCAAATAAATGAAACCCATCACAAGCCACTGGTCCTTAAAACTGCAAAGAGTGACTGGACAGTGTGAAGATAGTGTCCAGCAGAATCTCAAAAGCTGCAGGCTTAGTGGGTTTTTCTTAACCTTTCTTCTTCAGGTGGCTTTGAAATCAACTTGGACCACCGAAAACTGAAAACCCCCCAAGCCAAGCTCTTCACGGTGCCAAGCGAGACTCTGGCTCTGGCTGTGGCGACCGAATGGGACTCTCAGCAGGACACCATCAAGTTCTACACAATGCACCTGGTGTGTGAAGGAGAGGGTGGGGCATGTGAACAAGCAAATGGAGGGTTGAGATTGCAGCCAATCTGTTCTCTTTGAGTTGTTAGGCAGAGCAGGATGTGCCCCTGGTAGCTAATGTAGGCTAATGTTTGACTGAACTGTATAAATCAGATTGCAGGTGGGAGATACAGTTTTGAGTACTCCACTCAACTATGTCTGCATGTAGTGCTTTGTGTTTTTTAAGACCCTACAAAGTGGCATGTTGGGATAGATGGCCCATCCAGCTCCACATTGTGCTATTTTTCTGCATTTCACCTTTTGCAACCTGGTGCCCTCCAGATATTTTGAACTACAATGGTACCTCGGTTTAAGAACAGTCCTGTTTATGAACTATTTGGTTTTGCAAAACCAGAAGTAGTGCCCCGGTTTGTGAAATTTACCTTGGTCTAACAACAGTGGAAGGGCGCTGGCAGCAGGAGGCCTCATTAGGGAAATTGTGCCTTGGTTTAAGAATGGTTTCGGTTTAAGAACGGACTTCTGGGACAGATTAAGTTTGTAAACCGAGGTAGCACTGTATAGCTTTCATCAGCCTCTACCAAAATTGTTGTGCTGGTTGGAGCTAATGGGAATTGTGGTCCAAAACAGAAAGGCAACAGGTTGGAGAAGGTGGCCGTTGCAAGGACTTCTGTACAGGGAATATGACTGTATTGATACAAGCTGTTTTACAACTTCAAAGCTTGTGGGGAGACTTAAATGGGGAATTGCTCATTGTTCATTGCTTCAGCTGTGTCACTCTGCTAGTCTAGCTCTCGATTTCTGTAGCTTCTTTCTTGCCTTTCAGACAACCTTGTGCAACACAGCTTTGGACAACCCGTCGCAGCGAAGCAAAGATCAGCTCATCAAGGCAGCTGTGAAATTCTTGGAGACAGGACACAGTTTGGTAGAAATGCATTCTGGGAAGGGGCTCCCTTAGAAGCTGGATCTTAAAAAAATTATCTGATCAGGGGATGAGAAAACCCACCATCACCTTGGCTTGGCTGGCAGGGGGAGGGGAATTATTGGAGAACTTGAGAGAGACACCCCACACTTGCTTTTACTCAGGAAGGACCATGAGTAACAGTACCATGCCACAGCTGGGACAGCATAGTCAACTTGAAAATTTTAGAGTGCATTTGTGTGTGTGATAAAATTGGGATTCACAGCTTTTTTTGTCAGGAATTGGAAAAGCAGGATTGAATCTTGGGAGGTGCTAGGCACAGGTGCAAGCTTAGCTGCGTGGAACCTAATCCTGTTGTGCTTGATGGTCTTTTTTTCTTTTCTTTTTTTTTTTTTTTTTTTTTGCTTTGCTTCCATGGTATTCCAGCTACCGGGTGGAAGAGCCACCTGCCTTGGTGGAACTGCAGAAGAATGAGTGGGATCCCATAATCGAGTGGGCAGAGAAAAGGTAAGTGCAAGCAAAAAGTCAGTGCCAGGGAAATGCTGATGATGCACAGACACACCCTTGTCCCCAGAGGATGCTTGTGGCTCAGGGCACGAAAGTTAAACTGTGTTGGTTGCGGAGCTATTTAGATTTCTTAGGCCCATTTTTGAGCCTTCCTAGGGAAGACTGGAGAGGAGAAAGGAATTCAACACTCTTCCTCCTCCAAATATATGTTGCCAACTTCCTCCTCCAAATATATGTTGAAGGACTATCACTTTCTAAACTTCTGTTAGCTAGATAGGTTTTGTTTTTGTGTGTGCCCTAGATTAAATCTGGAGGTGCATTTGCTCTTACAATGGCAACAGGCTTATTTTTTAGAGGGTTTGTTTCTATCCATCCCCAAGTTTCCTGTATGAGTACCTAATCTTGAGTGCCCACAAAAAATCTACATACACACAGAGACTTTGCATAGGCTGCATGTGGCTTTGGAGGGATGTTTTTGAGGTTCTTGGATGTGACAGGATTCCTTTGTATATCTATCTCAACTTTTTACAAATGTATTTATGGTGACTTCATATATATATATATATATATATGCAGGTTTTGGTGTCCTCGGGTGTCTTCCCGTGTAAAAGTTGGGGTGTCTAGGCGACGTTTCGACGAGGTCTCACTCGTCATCTTCAGGCTGGTGCTTTCGGCTTCTTGTTACTGGAACAGAGCAGGATCTCAGTGTTTGAGTTCCTATAAATACTGTTGAGGGGGTGTGGTGTATAGCCTCCAATGTTCTGGGCAGAGAGGAAGTTCCCAGGCTAGTGTGCCTTTTCTTCTTTTGTTCCTTAATTACTTGAGGGATATCTTGAGTGATTTCTTGAGTGATATTCTGAGTACCACTTAGGTGGGTCATTAGGTGTGGATTAGTTGCTCAAGCCTTCGTGTCTTGACCTCTTGAACTTTGTGAAAAGTTTTTCTGAGAAGATGGCTGTACTGCACTTAGTTGTGCTCTGGCTTGGCTTCGGGTATAGGGGCGAGCTGTGGTTTTGTGCCCTGTGCCAGCCAGATCTGTGTAGGGATTGCAGGGGGGTGCAGCATCCGGAGGTGCCACCATGGTTTGGCTACTGGATGGTGTCTGTAATTTATCTGTGGAGAGGGTCTGGGTTTGGGTCTGGTGTGGTTGATTGGTGATGGCGTTCTGTGTGCCTCTGGATCTGGTGTCGGTTTTTGTGGGGAGGGCTAATTTCCAGATGTCTGGCAGGCGGGACGTGTCGTCACGCTTGTTCATGTTGTGAGGGTGTTTCTCTATCTCGATGGCTTCCATGATTATTCTCTTGTGGTGATGTTCCATGTTAAAGAGCAATTTGGAATCTGCAAAATTGATTTCGTGTCCTGTTTCTTTCATGTGTTGGAAAAGATCCCTACACAGATCTGACTGGCACAGGGCACAAAACCACAGCTCGCCCCTATACCCGAAGCCAAGCCAGAGCACAACTAAGTGCAGTACAGCCATCTTCTCAGAAAAACTTTTCACAAAGTTCAAGAGGTCAAGACACGAAGGCTTGAGCAACTAATCCACACCTAATGACCCACCTAAATGGTACTCAGAATATCACTCAAGAAATCACTCAAGATATCCCTCAAGTAATTAAGGAACAAAAGAAGAATAGGCACACTAGCCTGGGAACTTCCTCTCTGCCCAGAACATTGGAGGCTATACACCACACCCCCTCAACAGTATTTATAGGAACTCAAACACTGAGATCCTGCTCTGTTCCAGTAACAAGAAGCCGAAAGCACCAGCCTGAAGATGACGAGTGAGACCTCGTCGAAACGTCGCCTAGACACCCCAACTTTTACACGGGAAGACACCCGAGGACACCAAAACCTGCATTCCTGTACCCGTGAAAATCTACGAAAGCATATATATATATATGCACATACACATACAGAGCCCTCTCCAAATAAATAAATAAAAATCAGCCTCGCAACAAAATTGACCAGAAACCCAGAGGCTAAAAAACAGCCAGAGATACTTTTCTCAATGAAGACGTTCTGGGTTTGCTCAAGAGTGTGGCCTATCTAAGCTCTGCTCTGCTTGCAGGTACAATGTTGTGATTGGCTCATCAACAAGCATCATGGGTCCCAGCATCCCGCAGAGCACGAAGGACACCTTTGTCAGCCACCTGGCATCGTATAACAGCTGGGCCCTTCAAGGTAAAAGGAGGGCTGTGTCCTGGGACTGTGTCTGCTGTCAGTCCTACGCCATACCCTGCATCTGCCGGTTTTCTGCTTTAGCTAGAAATGTATTTTGAGGTTAAGAATTCCTTGGTTGCTTTCCCACCATGTGAGATCAAGCGGGAGAGGCACACTGGGGGATCTTTCTGCATTTTTAAGAGAGACTTATTTTTTTTTTAAAGATGAGCCCTGCAGGATATGGTTCAGCATCCTGCTTCCCACAGTGGCCAGTTAGTGGCCTCTGAGAAGCCCACAAGCTGGATGTAGAGGCAACAGCCCCCTCCTGTTTATCCCCAGCAATGAGTATTCAGGGACAGACTGCCTCTGAATATGGAAGTTGCATTTAGATGGCTGTGAACAGGCCTCTTCCTTCTCCATGTCCAATCTGATGTGAGCACAACAGTAAAAAAATGTGGGATACGAATCTAAAAAAACAAAATAATTGTTATTTTGAAGCTGTTTAAGCAGGGCCGTCTTAAGCATATCCGGCGCCTAGGTGCAAAGATCCCTCCGGCATAGCCGCCCCCCTGCCCCCCAGTTTCCCAGAGTTGTCGACCTTTTCCCAAGCCTTCTGCAGGGATCACTCTCCTCCCGCGGAGGCTTGGGAAGCTGCACCTCCGCCAGCCCTATGGTTGATGGGGCACAGCTGGCAGGCGTGCAGGGAAAGGGGAGGCACCCCTGAGAGGCCAGCACCCTGGCGCAGCGCGCCAGTAAGCCCAATAGGAAAGACAGCTCTGTGTTTAAGCAGCGGTGGCCCTCAGCATGTTTTGTGGAGGCAAATTCCATAGATTAAATTATGTGTCCCGTGAATAAACTTTCTTTGGCTGGTCCTGAATCTACAGCCCTCAGTTTTAATCCAGGTACAGTGGTACTTCTGGTTACGTACTTAATTTGTTCCGGAGGTCCATTCTTAACCTGAAACTGTTCTTAACCTGAAGCACCACTTTAGCTAATGGGGCCTCCCGCTGCTGCTGTGCCATCGCTGTGTGATTTCTGTTCTCATCCTGAAGCAAAGTTCTTAACCCGAGGTACTATTTCTGAGTTAGCGGAGTCTGTAATCTGAAGGGTATGTAACCTGAAGCGTATGTAACCCAAGGTACCACTGTATTACGAGGGAAGCAGAAAAAAATATACCGTATTTTCCCGTGTATAACATGCCCCCCTGTATAAGACGCCCCCTAATTTTGGGGACTCAAAATTAAGAAAAAGGGGGGAGATTGCCCAGATTATAGAGTTTTTTTAGAGTTGTAGAGTCTGTCCCCGCGCCGGCAGAAGCCACCAAACACACCACCCTATTCACGCAGTGACAGCCAATCCACACCAGCCCTTGCGGCAGCCACCAATAACACGCCAAAATAGCCGCGGACAAACTCCAACTCGCAGCAGCAACCAATCCCACGTCCCCCCTATGCACTAACCCCGAATTTTAAACATAATACTTTAATAAAAAAACACCTCGTCTTATACACGGAAAAGTACGGTATCTTTTTTCAGGTGCTAACAAAATGTCTGCTGTGTCCATTTGAGCCACCTTTGTTTTCCTACATGGTCTCCAGTAAAGGAAAGAGAGATACCTGAATTCTGCAGCCTAATAGGTCCTATTTTCTTACGCAGGAATAATGGGGCATTAGGTGTCTCCTCACCTTTTCTTGACTGCTCTTCTTGTCGCCCAAGATTAATTTGCACATGAAAATGACAGGTTTCCTTCCCTCCTTCTTTCTGGTTTGGGGTGTTTCCCCCTCCGGCTAGGCATAGAATACATGATCACCCAGCTGAAGTCTCTGGTTCTCTCGATGAGTCTGCTTGACAAGCACCTCACGGTTGAGCAAGCTGTCCTGCTATCTCGTCTAGAGGAAGAATTCCAGGTAAACCTCGTTGTGACAGAGATCTGGGGCTTTGGGGCCAAGTTAATTTAGGGACCGTCTGCTCCCATTATGCACTTGCCTGCCAGATAAGACCAGCCTGTGACTCTGAAAAAATGTTTATGACACTGATGGATTCAGTTCTGTATCGCACCTTTTAACAAAAACAGCTAAGGTGACTTTTCTAAAAATAAATACCTAATGAAATAAAGGCCCTCCCCCAATAAAATCAGTGTTGCAACAAAATCAAGCACAGCAATAGATCCCAGAGGCTGAAAATGGTTTACAGGAAGTTTTGTGAAGAAATAAGTATTAGAAACGTTGTAAAAAAGGGAACAAGGGAATAGGTTTATTTAAAATAAAAGGCAATGTTAAATTTAGAATTGCGGATAGAAGATTAGAAAACGGAAGATGCGCGGATGAGCTGAAGGAAGCCAAAATATGTATCTGTGACAATATTAAAAATGTATGTTTAAAACTTTATATTGGAAACTGAATAAAAATAAATTTTAAAAAAAGATCCCAGAGGCTGAAAACAGCAGCAGTTACATAATAAATCAAGGTATTCTGGGTTTGCTCAAGAGCGTGGCAAATCTTTTTTAAAATAATAATAAGATTTTATTAAAGCTTTTTCATAATACAGTAAGATAAAATAAATTAATCTAAATAAAAACAAAAACAGCAAGAGAGAGAAAAGAAAAAGAGAAACATGTGGCAAATCTAAGCTCTGTTTTGCCCCCAGCTATGGTGTTGTGATCTATTTCCAGTGAGGGTCTGATTATTCTTCTCATCTTCCTTCAGATCCAGCACTGGGGGAACGTTGAGTGGGCCCACGACTATGACATGTACGAACTTCGGGCCCGCACAGCTGCTGCTGCCCTTTTTGTTCAGCTTTGCTTAGAGAATTCCACGGTCAAGCACAAGCTGCTGCAGGACTGAGACTCTGCGGCGGACAAGGAACGGGCGCCGGTGGCACTGGACAGACCTGTAGAACATCCAGGCCCGACTGAGTGGCGGGTGGAGAAGGTGGAGAAGAGAGGGAACTGGTGTTGGTGGGGTGATGGAATCGCACTACTCGTCCAAGGCTGACCTGGTGATAGCGGTGATGCTGATGGTCCTTAGACTGACTGGGTGTGGCGATTCTCCCTGAACGAGGGGGCAGGAATGCCTGGCATCCGTTTCCTTCTGTTCATCCTGAACCTAGCCCTTGGCACATCCAAGCAGACTTCCCTTCCTCATACTACACACCCTGTCCTCCAACCCTTCCAGGCTGAGAGTCCTGGCCTTCTGCCAGGACCCTTAGATGCCCCCAAGCTGTGAATTCCAAGGAGGAAATCTGTTCATTCCTGAAAGTGACAGGCACCATCCAGCTGCGACTATTTTGTACCATTGTGGCCCCTATTCTCCTTGATTCCCTGGCTCACTAGCAGCAGCCCAGTTTGAGTTTTCCAGCAGGGTGCACATTTTCCACGGGGAGGCAAGCCTCTTAAGCACAGCTGCTGCAGGATGTTCATTTCGGCTGGGCTGATGCTGCCCACCACCCAGCTTGATTGGAATCTGGACCAGTCAGTGGTGTGCAGTTGTGGCGCAGCCTCACCTCTTACCCAAGGTGGTGGCTCACTAGGGGCTCCTGGCAAATGGTACTTTGGACAGCATGGAGGGGCGTAGGCACCTATTTGACCTCTCAGCAGGCGAATCACAGCTGCTTTTATAGCAAACGTGGTATAGTGAAAATCTGGTGCATTTGCACTGTCCTGCCCTCCTCGCTGTCTCTCCCCTCTCCTTGCATTAAGCTGCAGCAGCAAGTTATCTGCAGTTGGAGGGGGCTGAAACCTAGACCAGAACCAGAGTTAAGTCTCCCTATATCCCCCTAACCATTGCATGTCCTCCCATAGTTTCATAGCAGGCATTTGTGTCTCCAAAGAAGCCAGAGCCTGCTATGGCGGTTGTTTTCACCCCTTTGTGTACCCAGCAGAGAAAAAAGCATTCTTCTCCCCTCCCTTACAATTTGATTAAATATTCCTGTTTGGTGCCTCTACATGCAATATGGATTTGTGTGTGTGCATTTGTTTGTTTAAAAGGAGTTGGTTTCAGTGCCAGAGCTCTCTGGCCCAAACATTTACTTTGCATCTACTCCAAGTTCAGCTAAAGTGAAAAGATTTTGGGTTGCAGAGTTGGACCCCTGGAGAGCTAATCTGGGTAAAGACCATTCTAGGCAAAGCTGGTCTGAACCTGATTTCTGGGCTTAGGTTGACCTATAAGAGAATGCAGTGAGAGAGCAGGACTGTGTGGAGGGGGCCGGCCAAGGGAGCTGTGGTCAAAACCCTGTAGGTTCTGGCCATTCTCAGACCTGGGGGTTATCAGCTTTGTCCACTGGTTGATGGATACACCTGCCTTTAGGAAAACAGGAATGGGAATTTTACAGAAATAATGGCAAAGTCCAAGCACATGACAACGAGGATGATATGATTTTTAAGGAAAAAGTTCAAGGTCCCCCCTAAAGAATTGGGGCTGTGATTCTGCCCAGCTGTTCTGCAGTCTGCTTCTTCATTGGGGAGGGAATTCTGAGCTTTTCAGGAGACACAGCAGTACCCCTTGTTGGCTGTCAACCACATGAAAAGTTAGAAGCACTCCACACCCCTACAAATTGGCCTGGGTTGAAAATAGCTGCAACCACCCTTTATTTCCTCTGTTGGTGTGGAAAGGAAAATTGTGATTCTTTGCCTTTTACATTCATGGCACAGGTGCAAAGCTGCAAAGCTGGGAAATTTAAATAGGAACAAACCTTAACTAACAATAGTACTAAACCATCTCTGGCAATGCCTTGGACTCGGTTTTAAGATGTGAGCTGTTTTGTGGAGGCCATATGTGGTACCTTGGCCAGCTCCCTCATTCTCCCAAGGGCTCCTTCATCTTGAAACAAACTTCCTTGCACACAGAAAGCTAGCATGTCAAGAAGTAGTCTTGGCCAGTAGCCTGACATATCCATTTTCTCTGTTCACGGAGGGGAACTTTGGCCACCTGAAGCAGCCTCCTTCACATTGTTTCCTGGTCTTATTACCTATTTTGTCTGCTGGTTATCTGCCTTCTGAAGGTGGAAAATGTCCTTTGTAGGAGCCTAGATTTGGAGAAGCTGGTCCCACGTTCATTTAACAGCTGAGCGTCTTATGGAGAGAGATTCTGCTCAGGGATGGGCTTGGAGCTGCAGTACAGGAGGGCTCTCCCTTTGTATACATTATGCAAGAATACATTGAACACGCTTCCTAAACCATAGCATGCATGCTAATCCTAATTTCCCCCTGAGATGCCCAGCTGCCAAAGGAGTGTCAGTGTGTTCCAGGTCATCCTTTCATTCCAAATGGAGCGTCAGTAAGGCTCAGTGGGCTGGCGCAAGCCCCCACATAAGCCCAAGAACTATATCTGGAAATGTTCTGGCTGGGGAGAGGCTCCTCTGCGCAGTGCAGATGTTCTGCCCTCCCTGAGTAGACCCTCTCCCCTCTTCTTAGGCCTTTCACCACTGGCCAGTCACTTGCCCCATCTATGGGTTCCATTCATGCTGTGAAATGAGGGTCCAATCAATGTCAGAGCCAACCATTTTTTAGACAGCGCACCAATGCTAATTGGGTCTTCTAATCAGGGGTTTACCGTATTTTTCGCCCCATAGGACGCACTTTTCCTCCTCCAAAAATGAAGGGGAAATGTGTGTGCGTCCTATGGGGCGAATGCAGGCTTTCGCTGAAGCCTGGAGAGCGAGAGGCATCGGTGCGCACCGACCCCTCTCGCTCTCCAAGCTTCAGGAAGCTATCCGCAAGCCTTGCAAGCCCGGCGGGAGTTCCCGAGGGCTTACAAGGCTTGTGGGCTGCAGCCCGAAGCACGGGGCGCCCTCCGGAGGGCACCCCGTGCTTCGGGCAGGTGTGCGCAAGGCTTGGGGCGGCAGCCGCGGCTGGGGGGGGAAATAATTTTTTTTATTCATTCCCCCCCCCCAAAAAAAAACGAGGTGCGTCTTATGGGCCGGTGTGTCCTATAGGACGGAAAATATGGTAATTTGTTCATTAGCCTACAATTTTTGAAGGTTCAACTACCTATGTAATTGAAATTAATGCAAAAGATGGAACTGACCCACTTCCTGTATAATTGCTTTATAACTACAAGGCACCAATTTAAGCCAACTCCTTTTGCTTTTAAATGCCTTACTGTCTGCTTTAGTCTACTTGTTTTGATCATCAAACGTTGGAGGGGCAGAGGATTCATTCCAGTAAGGAAGGAATATTTTTAGGGTGTCTTTTCAGTAGGTAGGAGACCTCCAGGCGGATTCACTTCCCAAGCAGAAAGTCACAGATCCCCAAATGGGGGGGCAGGGGCAGTTCAGTGTCGAAAGCCAGCTACGTCTCCAGAATGTCCATGTTGTCCAGCTCACTGCGGAGATGGTCAACGTATTGGTTAATTTCCAACACACGACTTCGGTTTCTTTGAATTTCAGTCTTGTGAACCTGCAGGGATTGAAACAGTTGGTCCAGTTCACACTTAGCGCTAAGCCGCGGTTTGTTTAACAGACCACAAGTTAGCCATAGATTGCCCCACAGACGGTCAAACAAATCATGGTTTGTTTCTGTAAAGTGTTTTGTTTTGGAGTTTTTTCCCCCTAGCTGTGCTTGCCTCGTGCATAGCTGTCAACGTTTCCCTTTTCTTGCAAGGAATCCTATTCAGAATAAAGGAATTTCCCTTCAGAAAAGGGAAACGTTGACAGCTATGGTCTCGTGCCTTTGTAGCTTGTTGAGTGCCTGGGGGGAATGTTAAAACAAACCATGGTTAAGGAAGGATGTTGGGTTTGCACATAACGCCAATCCACACAGAGGGCTGGGAGGGAAGGAAATTGACTGAGTATGCATGCACATTCAATTGTCTTAATAATGTCCCCATCACCCAGAAGATTGCAAGCACAGGGATAAGAAAAAAATAGTTGTTGTCTGGAGAGGTCACTTCCTGGTTTGTATAGAGAAGCCATTTTCAACAGAGCTCAGTGATGGAAGCGGGCAGCACCGGGTGTTGAAATTTTGTGCCCCTAACAATTTTGCACCCGGGGCAACTGCCCCGACCCCCCCTCCCCAATATGCCACTGCCACCAGCTACCTTGTTAACAATAAGATGAAAGCGCTCATGTCCTTAATGCTGGTTATTTCCTTCTGTGAGAAGGTCTCCTGCAGAGGGGCAATGGGACTCTTCACTTACATTCTCAACCAGTGTGGAAGCCCAGCCATTGGCTTTAGTGATAATTTCGTCTTCTCGGTTGTCAATCTTCAGCAGGTGAATGTCGTGAGAGGCGTTGACGGCGTTGACAATGGTGTCTTTGTCCACGAAAAGCTAGGAAGGAAACCAGGTGAGAGGAGGGCCATTTATTTTGGCTGTAGACAAACCACCATCCCACAAAGGGTCATCTCTTACTGATGAGTCACGCCAAGAGGGTTTTGCCTGTTCTGGCGAAAGGGGAGGAAGAGGAGGAGTTGGATCTCACCATACGAACGTCATCCGGCATCTCCTCATCAAACTCGCTCTTCACTATTTTCTCCAGTGTGTTGACGGATATCTCCAGGAGCTTCTCGTGGTGCTGGTTCTCTAGATCCCGGCACTGAGCCATCGTAGGAGAAAAGGTTAAGAAGCAAAGAACAGGGATGCCTTTCAGCAACCCTTTCCTACTGTCCAGTGTTTGAACAAAAGGAGGCAGGGAAAGCTGGTCGAGAGGATGGAAACTAAGGTCGTGCACACATTGCCAGCTTAAAAAACAGTTCTCTCAATTCAGATCTAAGCTGGCTTGGGGGGAAGAACGCATCAAAACACAGTGGCTGGATCTACACTCACTTTTTAAACATCATTTGAACGATATTAAACATGTTCTAAAACGTCAAGATATTTGTTTCTCCTCTGCTTCCTTTTCTGCAAGGTCTACCCGGTTTCTGGAAGGGGAGAGCTCTGCTATGAGCTATGCCATGCAGGGCCACCCAAGATGGACAGGTCATAGTGGAGAGTTTTGACCAAACATGATCCACCTGGATCAGGAACCGGCAAGCCACTCCAGTATCCCTACCAATAAACTCCATGGAGAAGACAGGAGTGCCTGGTGTGCTCTGGTCCATGGGGTCACGAAGAGTCGGACACGACTAAACGACTAAACAACAACATATTCTATGGTATGGTATACTCTACCATACTCTATGGTATCGCATTTTAATAATGCATTATTAACGTTTAAGAAGAACGTCACGTGGCTATATGGTTATCAGAACCATTTTAAAACTCATTTTTAGCATTAAAAACCATGAGTGTAGATCCATTCAGTATTTCATAAGATGCGATGGGTAGGTCCAGGAGAGACAAGGATCATGACATTGTGAGTGCACCGATTCCCAAACCATCCGCACACTGGATGCGGAGCACATGAGAATGTGCACCCAGCCTCAGTTTGTGTTCATTGTGATAGCAAGGACTCAGCCCTTCATGGCCCAACAAAGGTCCTCGAGTTAAATGCACTCCCCAGGGATGCTGCTTGGACACCCCAGCCCCAGTTTCCAAGCTTCTTGTACTTCTGGTTGGCAGGAGTGGTCCCATGACAACAGAACTTCCTTTAAGGGGTGGAAGTGTAGAAGCTCGCCACCCTTGCTTCTCAGGGTTGTCCTCCAGGAAAGCTAAAATGCTAGCCCAAGATTTTAGGTGGAAATGCTGCTATTACATCAAGTATTATACCGCAGCAGCTCTTCAGACAGGTCTTGGCACAAAGAGTGAATGGAGAGAAAAGCCCTGCGGTTCTTAGGGGCCTGAGAAATGCTTCCAAAACTGAAATCAATCCCGGCTCTACCGCACAGTATTGAGAAGCAATCGAATGCCATACAGTGTGGACAAGCCAGCTCTGTTGATCCGAAGCAAAGCGCCCACCACAATTATTTGCAGCTCTGTGCAAGCGACAACAAAAGGATATATTCCTTGTTCGTTTTCTATAAAGTTCGACACCAGGTCAGCGATGTTCCTTTCGAAATCCTTTATCACTTCCTTAGCAAGAAAAGAAAAGGGGTGGGAAGTTAGAGGGCAAAACTGAGTTTGACTCAAAACAGTTTGACTCCCACAAGTTTTGGAAATCGGGCCTGAAACACACAGGAGAATCTACTTTCCTGTCATTTTTGCTGACTATTTAATTTATTTGTTTTTATTAATGTAGTTAACCAAATATATATATAGATAACGCTTTAATATAAGAAAAACTCACAGCGGTTTACAAAAATAGAAAACGAAGCATTAAGATTCTCAGCAAAAACCAGGTTGCAGCAGGCATTTAAAAACATTCAAAAGATGGTTGAAATCAGCTTTAGCTAAAAAGACATAAAACACATGTAACTTCCACATGTCCGGACAGGCTCACCTAAACAAAAATGTTTTAAGTAGACTCCAAAAAGAATATGGTGAAGGCACCTGCCTGATGTCAACCAGCAGGAAGTTCCAAAGCTGCCATCACACCAAAACATCGATTTCTTACAAGTGTGGGACAGGTATGTGACACCTTTAACAGCGCCAGTTCCACAGATCCAAGTGGTTGAGCAGGTACATATGGGGGAAAGTGATCCTGCAAGTAAACTGCTCCCACACGATTAATGGCTTTTTGCACTAACAGCAGCACTTGAACTTGGGCTGGGATCAAATGGGCAAAGCCAGTGCAGGTCTCCTGCCAGCAACCACGCTAACTGCAGCTTCTGATCCAGCACAGGGAGGCCCCACACAGAGTGCAGTACAGTAATCCAGCCTTGGAGTCCCCAACACCCGAGCGTCCAGCTCTGCCAGGTTCATACCTCCAGCTGATCAACCAGCAGCATCTCCTCAGTCATCAGCACGTCCGAGAGCTTTGTGATTTCATAGTTGTATTCAGCCAGTTTGATCTCTATAACTTGGTTGTCGCTGAGGTTCTGAATCATATCTATCACCTGTGTGCTCAGCAAGAGACAGAAGGTTAGCAGCTGTTGCCCCGTGGCAGAAATAATTCATTTTATTCATTATTGGTGGTGGTGGTGATACTCTGGTGCACACAATGGGAATGTGAAGCAGTGACTAAGTTGTTAGAATTCCTGCTCCATGATTGCAGTCATAGGATTGTTGTCTTTCACATGACGGTGTATGTTTTGAAGTGGGAAGTGACGGAGACAGGATGTTTGTGTTACTGTGTTCTGTGAAGTGGGTCTATTGTCCTTGTTCTTTTTCTCTTTGCTGTCTGATGCTAGAGAGAGAGGGAGTCATGTTGCAGTGCTCCGTGTGTATTTATATGTAAATAGATTAGCCAAAATGCTGAGTTGCTGAGGTCTGTGACGCAAGCTGCAAAGACTCTGCAGATCCCTAAGTGTGCCGGTGTCGGTTGGCATCAGTCGCTGTGCTGTTCGGGCTGAAGAAAGCTTTTGAAGCTCCCCAACGATCGACCAGGAGGGAGAGAACATGCCAGTCGGGCATGTGTCTCTGCCAGGGTCCTACTCGAGTGTAGGCCGAGCTCCTGACATAAGTTCCCACAGGGATTTTCAAACTGTATTCTATGAAAGCCAGACGTTCCTTCTGAAGCTTATAAAGAGTTCCTCAATGTGACCATGGTCCTGGGAAGGGTTTCTGCACAAGCCACAGGCTCCCACTTGGCTGTTATTTCACTTATGTGTGCGGGGAATGTGACCCCTGGGGTATAGTGTGCTTTGACTGGCTTAAATCTAGCTAAAAGTGTTTAGGATTAGGTACAAGTCAATTGAAAACAAAATACATCAATTTAAACAGTTTGTTGCCTTGGTTTAAGTCAGCACCTGATGGTACTTTCAGGATGTGATCCTTTGCACAGTCAAGGGGAACAGTTACTAATGACATTCTATCCTGCCTCCCCACTGTCCCCCAGCAGTTCAGGATGGTATACATGACCCCCCATTAAGTTCTCACAACCATCCTGTGAGGTAGGTCAAGCATAGCGAGAAGGATTAAGAAGTAACATCCCATCTCGAGGATGTAGCTTCCTCATCAGACTGTGGGGCTGGCTCCCCTATAGCTTTGCCTGCCCAAAAGGTTTAAGCCCTTGCTACAGTATTGACCAGGGACGCGGGTGGCGCTGTGGTCTAAACCACAGAGCCTAGGGCTTGCCGATCGGAAGGTCGGCAGTTCGAATCCCCGTGACAGGGTGAGCTCCCGTTGCTTGGTCCCTGCTCCTGCCCACCTAGCAGTTCAAAAGCACAAAGTGCAAGTAAATAAATAGGTACCGCTCCGGTGGGAAGGTAAACAGCGTTTCCGTGCACTGCTCTGGTTCGCCAGAAGCGGCTTAGCCATGCTGGCCACATGAACCAGAAGCTGTCTGCGGACAAACACTGGCTCCCTCGGCCTATAGAGCGAGATGAGCGCGCAACCCCAGAGTCGTCCACGACTGGACCTAATGGTCAGGGGTACCTTTACCTTTACAGTATTGACCTGTAAAAAATCAAAACTAAATGGCTGCGGTGGAGCGATCCCGGTTTTAATCAAAGATGGCTCGGTTTTCTAATCACTTACAAGTGGCAAACCTATGGTCCTCCGGAGGTTGTGGGACTCCAACTCCCATCATCCGCCTTATGCTCACTGGGGCTGATGGAAGTTGCGAGTCCAACTGCGTTCCCCATCCCTGACCCGAGGTCCCTTGTGTACCCCATGATTCTTCTCTTCAAAGTCCCGCAGGATTTTGGAACACTGCTGGTGGTTGTCTTCCAGGGCTTCGTTGAGGCACTCATAGAAGAGGGCGACCTCAGCCTCTCGCTTCTCGTATTGCTTCAGGCCGTACTCAAACAGGTTCTCGCAAATGGCCACAAATTTAGACTTGTATGTGAAGTCGGAGTCAAGGAGAGAACTGAGTTATGTTTGAAAAGGAAAGGAAAAAGGCTTGTGTCTGCTTCCGCTGCCTTGTTTGGGCTGTTGCCTCCTGTTGTTGGAGATCACTATGACTCACAGTAGCCCTCATAACAAACAAGAAACCCCACTCCAGAGAACATCCCATTCTCAAGGTTTATCACCAGTTCTGTCCCAAAGCAGAAAGGATGTATCTCAAAAATTTATAAAACTTGTTACTGGCGTGGCAGACCAAAGATGAGATGGCAAAGGTGACAATGACAAAATGGGCCATAGATATCAGTTACAACATAGAATTGTCTGTATGGGAAAAATTATGGGCTGAAACCATGAATTTCTCTGCCTGTTATGTTATTAAGGAAAACCTACAAAAGATCATGTACTTGACACCTAGCACATTAGTGAAAATGTATTTAAAAGGGTCTAATTTATGCTGGAAATGCCACGAGGTGGAGGGAACCCCGATTCATATGTGGAAGTCATGTAAATACATTAGAGAGTATTGGGAAATGTTCCGCACAGAATTAAAAAAAGATTCTAAAACTCACATTTCCCAAAAGACCAGAGGCCTTTCTATTAGGGATAATAGGTGATGCCATTCCAAAAAAGGCACCCAATATCTTTCTGTATGCAGCCGCTTCAGCTAGAATAGTATATGCGGAAGAAGAGATACTCACTAAGGAAATTTGGCAGAACAAATTGATAGAATACATAGAATTAGTAGCCATGATCGCGAAACTAAAGAATAAGGATTAGTTAAAGATAAGAGAAGAGTGGAGGTGTTTGGGAGATTATCTTAGAGGGTACGATATACAATTTAACCTACAAGGAGGGGTTAACATATGAGCAGCAGGTAACATCAAAAAAGGAAGACTTGAAATGGTAATAGGTGAAATATCAGGGTATGCAGCCGATCAAGATTCCCCTAGTGTGCCACAGAGAGATGGATTGGGAAGTCTTAGGAAAAGAGATGGGCGATGAATACTGTATGATGTGTGTATAAAAACTGTTAAATTTTTTTTAAAAAAAGTTGTGTGGTTGTTGTTTTTTAAAAAGGATATATCTCCAGTAGCTCTGGCACTCCAGGGAGGTAGAGCAGTTTGGCTGCTTCAGGATCGTCTGCAAACATGCTGTCAAAGAGGAAGCTTCCATTCAGATACTCCACGTAAGCGCGCTGGAGAGCGAAGCAAGGAGGCAGAAGGGAAAGAACAGGAGTGAGCTGGCAGTCCATCGCACCAAGCAAGCCGGAGTTAACTCTTCATTAGCACAGGTGTGTCAGGCCTAATGAGCGCAGCAACTCAGATCTTGCCCCCATGAAGTGGTTGCCACGACTAAAGGTCCCTGTCTCCCCACAAGTGTCTAGGTTCCCTTCTCTCCAGGGCTTTCCCACAGCAATTGGAGGCTGCACATGCATGAAGGAAACCTCTCCTTCACACTTTTCATGCCTCTTCTGGTTCTGGGAGGGGAGCTTGTCACAGCAGAAGAGGGAGACACCCGTGACTCTTCCCCAGCCTGACTCATCTCTGCCTCTTGATCTCTCTCCTCTCCTGCTTCAGCTTCTGCCTCTGATTCTGGGCTTCTCTCTGTCACAGACTCTCTCTGCTCACTAAGCTCTGTTACCTCTTCAGCTTCTGACACCTCCTACGCCCTGTCTTCTACCTTTGACCACTCCCTAGACTCTGGGTCTTCTTCCCTTGGGGGTTCCCCAGCTGGTTCCTCCCACCATTCTTCTGCATCCAACCAGTCAATGACAGGGAATCAGAAGAAGATAGTTGCCCAAAGGAAATGGGGAGAATCTTATGCCTTAAATTCAGATGGTTCTGTGAGATGGTAAGAAGAAAAATAAAAGGGCCGGGGTCCCTTAAAATAAATAGCAGACCAGTTAACACAACGAAGAAATGCATATTGTGGAATATTTACGAAAAGAACCACCTGTTTTCCAAAAATAACAAAATAAACAATGTATTCTTTCACAGTTCATCAACCCTCAGCAGACCATATTGACCTTGAGAGCTGGTCATTTGAGGACAAGAGAGCCAATGTGGTACAGTGGTACCTCGGGTTAAGAACTTAATTCGTTCTAGAGGTTTCTTCTTAACCTGAAACTGTTCTTAACCTGAAGCACCACTTTAGCTAATGTGGCCTCCTGCTGCCGCTGCGCCGCCGGAGCACGATTTCTGTTCTCATCCTGAAGCAAAGTTCTTAACCTGAAGCACTATTTCTGGGTTAGCGGAGTCTGTAACCTGAAGCGTATGTAACCTGAAGCGTATATAACCAGAGGTACCACTGTATAGTGGTTAGAGTGTCCATCTAGCAGCTGGGAGACCAGGGTTCAAATCCCCACTCGGCCATGAAGCTCACTGGGTGACTTTGGGTCAGTAGCTGCCTCTCTCTACTTCACAAGGCTGCTGTGGGTTAAAAATTGGGGGGTGGAGGGAGAACTATGTATGCCACCTTGAGCTCCCTGGAGGAAATGTGAGAGGCAATATGAGACAAACATACATAGGTAAAACCAGAGGTTGGAGAGCTTCAGGTGAACAGAAGAGAAGTTCAAACAGATGTGAAGTTCAAAGAAGGCCTTTTAGATCGCTCTCTGCCCCAGCCCCTGCCACCTCAGCCCCTGCCTCTTTCCTTAAAGGGAGTCTCCAGGCCTTGAACCGCACACTCAGTCTCTTCCATCTCCCCTCTAGGAGGTTCCTGTTCTCAGCTAAACACCTGCCCAAGTGGGGGTCAAGACATCCAGGCATCTATAAATCTCCCCATGATTCCCTCTTGCCAACTGAAGTCTTGTCAACAAGGTAGAAACTGATAATATTAACAGCAAGGAGCTATCGAGAATGGCTCCAAAATTACAGAACCTTTCCTCTCTTTGGTTAGCTTTCCGGAGACAACCTCTTTCAAGCCATTAATTAATTAATTGAATTTATATACCCGGAGGTCTCAGGGCAGTTCACAGAAAAGATCACAATATAGAAAATCAAAATAAAAACAACCCAATAACACATGCACCCTCCAAAAAAGAGCCACATTTTGAAAGGGTATAGGATGTCAATCAGGTCAGCCAAAGGCCTGGTTAAAAAGGAACGTTTTTGCCTGGTGCCTGAAGGTGTATAATGAAGGCGCCAGGCGAACTTCCCTGGGGAAAGCATTCCACAGATGGGGAGCCACTGCAGAGAAGGCCCCGTTCTCGTGTATGAACTGTTTTGTACGAACTGTTTGGTTTAGCTTTCCACTTTGTGTCTGTTGAATCCACAACCGTTTTCTTACTGGTTCTTATTTCATATATCAGTGTTCAGAGACCAACACCTATTCAGGAGGCTGAAAGAGAATCTGTTGCGTTCTCTCAACATCCCTGCGATCTACATTCCTGCATTGCAGGGGTTTGGACTACAACTCTATGATTCCACAGACGACCCAAAAGGAACATACCTTGTGATATTCCACCTGTTTCTGTTGGGCATCCAGAACCTGCTGCTTAGCCATGGCCAGAGTCTCCCCATGTCTCATCTCCTCGATGGCATACTGGTATTTTATCAGGGCCATCTCTCGCTGTGAAAAGAAAACAGGGACAGGCAGCTCAGAATCAATGGTGTAGCAGCTGATGGACTATGCAGAATTGGCATAATTGACACGCAAACTACGTGACAAGGATAACTGTGACTTTAAAGATGAATGGGAACCTTTTACGAAATATTTGAAGAGGCAATAAAATGAACTGGACTCTTTGGCAGCTTTTGAATAAACATTCACAAACTCTTTATTATAATACATAGATAGATAATTTGAGGATCTTTACAATTTTATAACATGCAGATAGAAAGATACGTTGAGAAACCAGAGAAAGGAGCTGAGGGAAGTCTGTTTTCTGTCTGGGGGGGAGGGGGGAAATGGAGGGGGGAACAATGTGGATGATGTGTTTTGTTAAAATTACTGTGTTGAAATTTATACTAATCAATGGCATAGCTAGCCGCTCGGGTGCCCAGGGCAGTGCACACGCCCTGCACCTGGGGGCGTAGCAAGCCGCCCATGGGGATGGGGCGAGCCAGTGCAGGGCACACTGCACAAAGCCTCTCCGCTGCCTCCCCCTCAGCTGTAGGATGGCTGAGGGAGAGGCGGTGGGCAGACGCAAGCACCACGCTGCCGTTTTAGGGTCTGCAGGTGCCCAAGCCACCCCGTCACTCCCAAGAGAGACACGTGGCTCGGGCACGCTGCAGGCCCCGCGGTAAGTGCCACGGTGTGGCGCCCAGTGCCAGCCGCATTTCGTTGCATTTGTTGTGAGACCAAAAAAGTTCCATGAGCCCATTTTTTTTTGTTTTTTGTTTTTATTTTTTTATTATTATTTATTTTTTAATTTTTAATTTTAATTTTTGCCCTTTTGTCACCCCCCTCAGGGATGACACCCGGGACAGCCCGCATCCGCCGCATCCCCCTTCCTACTCCATTGCTTAGAATAAAAAGATAAAGGGACCCCTGACCATTAGGTCCAGTCGTGACTGATTCTGGGGTTGCGGCGCTCATCTCGCTCTATAGGCCGAGGGAGCCGGTGTACAGCTTCCGGGTCATGTGGCCAGCAGGACTAAGCCGCTTCTGGCGAACCAGAGCAGCACACGGAAACGCTGTTTACCTTCCCGCCAGAGTGGTACCTATTTATCTACTTGCACTTTGACGTGCTTTCGAACTGCTAGGTTGGCAGGAGCAGGGACCGAGCAACGGGAGCTCACCCCGTTGCGGGGATTCGAACCGCCAACCTTCTGATCGGCAAGCCCTAGGCTCTGTAGTTTAACCCACAGCGCCACATGCTTAGAATAAGGGCTGTCAAATCCCTGTGGGGAGAGGATTGAGGAGGCAGCCTCACCAGCTTTCTGGCACTTGGGGTAGATAGGAAAGCTAAAATAGCAAGAGATAAGGGGCTGAACTTTTTCATCCTTACCGAGTTGTCATCTACCAGTCTAAAATCCAGGTACACAAGGTCGGGGAGATAAGCGGCGATGAATGCGGAATATACTTCATTTTCGCACACTGGGTTCCCGGTGAGGTTCAACGTGCGCAGGTTTTGGAACTGCCTGAGATAGATCACCTGCGGCAAGGTGACAGAGAAATATAGAGAGCCATGAGGACAAAATATTTATGGGGAAAATTGAGATTTTCACAAAAGATGAACAAGAGGAAAGGGGGTGTTCTTTGTTGAAAAATGTCAAACTTGGAGTCATTAAACACTCGCAGACTCTTAGACTTTTTACTGAATGAGAACGAGATCCTGCTGAGGTATCTCTTGTGGTTGGTGGCCCCCTGGTTCAAAACACAAATGAACCCAGCAAAAATAAATTATTACATGCTGATACATATAGCACACATTGTGACTTCTGGACCAAAAAAACCTGAGTACTGGTTTCTTTCTAAAAGCAGATCCATCCCAACAGAAGGAACCATTAAAAGCAAGGATCTTTGCTGCACAGTTGCAGTTATGCCAGAGGTTGTGAGGGAACCCCCCCCCCCGCAAGTTTCTAAACCTCATGGATATCAAGGGAAGTTAAAACAACCAAAGTTTCATCTGCTGCAAGCATCACATCTATCCAGGTTCTGGGAAGGGCATCCTCATGCAGTTTACTAGTCTAAAACTACAATCCACAGGAAAATGCATTTTTACTGCCTTACAGTGAAATCCTATGTGTGTCTACTCAGAAGTTAAAGGGATACCACAGCAGTGGAATTCACTAAGAGGAAAGATTTAATATGGAAAACAATTTCCCCCACTTCCCCTTCTCCTGTTGAGCATGGAACAGCTTCCATGAACACCCTTCCCCCCGGCTACACACACACTTCACCAGAGGGTGGGGAGAAAGATCACCACCACAGGTGTTCACTGGGGGTTAAGGTCAACTCCTTCAACCCCTTGGAGAGGCAGTGTGGTGTTGTGGTTAGAGTGTCAGACCCAGAAGGCCAGGGTTCAATTCCCCCCTCAGCCATGAAACTCACTGGGTGACTCCCTTAGGCCAGGAACTGCCTCTCAGCCTAAACTACCTCGCAGGGATGTTGTGGGGGATAAAACGAGGAGGGGGAGAACCATGTGTGCCACTTTGAGCTCCTTGGAGGGGGAAAAAGTGGGATACAAATTAAATCAATCCAGCCATCAATAAAATCCTCATTCCCAACTGTAACCAAGTGATAAGTATGTGTAATAACATCTGCGGACGCTGCTGTCTCTCTGCTCTTGACTTTCTTTCCCTCTCCCTATCTACTGCTGTAATTTCTATTTTAGATCACCTCTCACCATATGAGCCTACCTGGACCCTGCAGTCATCATCTTTTTTGTAAATAATTTATTATTATTATTATTATTATTATTATTATTATTATTATTCATTTTCAATTAAAGACTTTCAAAATTAATAACAAACCAGATTGAATCTTGCCACATTAAAACACAAATAATAAAACCAATTATACAATCCGAATTAAATAAATTTCAGGGAGGCTTCCCATGTTCTGGATGTCGGGAGAAATTTTCTCGCACATTTTTTTTCCTGCTTTCTGCTCTGTGGTTTCCCCTGCAGTCATCATCTGAGGCTGTTCTCTCCATGAGAAGTCCTTAGGGCTGCAACACAAGAGCGGGCCTTTTCTGTGGTGGCTCCCCACTTGTGGAATGCTCCCTCCTGGGCGGTTTGCCTGGCACCTTCGTAACTTGCCAGGCAAAATCATTCCTCTTCTCCCAGGCCTTTGGCTAACAATCTATGGTATTTTAAGCTGTGTGTAGGGGCTTTTGTATTTGTTTGTTATTGTGGTTTGTGGTTTTAGATTCTTAACTGCCATATGATCTTCGGATGAAGGATGGCGTAGAAATTTAATAAATAATAATAACAATAAGAAGTTATGAGGTGGGTAGTAGGGAAGATTTGTCTGTGTTTTACATTGCTTATGTAACTCTGTTAAGGCACCATGCATTGTGTGATAGGAATAAAAACAGTGGGATACTTTTAAAGAAGAAAAAGGAAGGAGACTTGGTTCACCATTCACAAATTTTAGCCTCTCGAAGCCCATTCTCAGCCCCTCCGGTCCCTGTTTACTGGCAGACAGTTGCCTACAAGTCCTGTTTGCCCCTTCTCCTTTGTTGCATCCTTTAATTACTTCTTCCTCTTTACTGCACTGTGTTATGATTAGAACAGGGTACCTAAGAAGGCAATAGGGAGGTGGACAGTGCTGTTTCGGATAAACCGTGACTACTACGGGCACCAGATGTTACTTGGGCCTAGTGAAGCTACTGGAATTTAATTTGTTAGGCTAGTAGTTTCAATGGAGGACTGCTAAATGTCAAGGCAAGAGCTTTGAAGACAGACTGAACACCCCCTTGGCTGATTTTGCTCTCCTTGTAAATATGCAGCTACAAACAAGCATTGGGTGTACCCTAGGGGCATGATTTCAGTCCGCACAGGAGAGTTATATTCATTTAAAATACTGATACCCAGCTTTTTTCCAGTCTGCAACAAGGGGATAAAATGCCAGCCTACTGACAGTGATGTTGAATACTGTAAAACACTATATATCAATGTGGCTACTGCAAGAAGTGCTGCAGCACAGAATTCAGAATTCATGCCAGCCATGCCCTTTTCCTGGATACTCTATTCCATAACCACCCTGTTTTCTATCCATCTTCATCACCAGTAAGCATTCTGTGACCAATGAGCACAATCAGTCTTTACTGAGATGTATTGCACACATCCACCCCCTTCGGGGTTTATCTTTCTAACCACCCTTTTCTGTCCTGCTGCAAACCTCTAGAGGGGTTCCTTCAGTGCTTGCTTATTCCTTCTTCTTGGGTGTAGATGGTGCTGTTTTGGCAACATAAATACTGGCACTGGGTGAATGAGTTCGCTCCGATTGTACACTGAGCACAGATGTTTTCTAGTGATTACGACAGGAGATTTACAGTAGATGAAGAAAATATATAAAAAATCCTGCTCCAACAGCGACTCACTAGATGGCCATGGGCATGTCACTCTCTAAGCCTCAGATCCTCGGCCATGAAATGGAAGTGACCATCTCTGCCAGAGAGGTGTTGGCGGACAAAGAGAAGTAGCAGCTTCAGCCTCCATATGTCTCCTTAGAAGTAAGCACCACTGAGTTCAGAAGAGAGTAACTGCAGAGCGAGAGTACACAGGATTGCCACTAGAGACTTTATACAGCTTTATTAATTAAACTCTTACATTTTCCAGAGTTTGTATGTTATTATTTCCTATAGAGAAGACTTGAAGTTCTTGGAGCGTGTCCAGATTCTCAATCTTAGAAATCCTGTTGTTGTACAGACTAAGATCTTGCAATTTAACGAGCGCATCTAAGCCTTCAATGACTTCAATATTGTTGAAGGACAAATCTGGGGGAGCAGAAAAAGAACATGGGAGGCAAGAGCTCTGAGAAGGAAACCATTCAAATCCTCTTAGGGAACTCTTTCCTATTCACAGAATCAGTTTTTTTCTCTCTGTTGGAATCAATAGGTAGGAGGTGACTTAGCCCTCCCTGGAACTTCTTGCCCCTTTTAAGTATCCTATGTGCCTCTTCTCCAAGGGGAGCTGCCCTACATTTTGAGAACCACTGTTCTAACTGGAATGTTTCAAATGCATATAGGTTTCAGGGGAAAAAAATATTTTCTATCCTGGTTCTGTTTTCCCCCCAACAGGAAATCATATATCCAGCAAATATGAGAAAGAGGGAAGACTCTGAAGAGAATGTTGTTCGGCCTTCTTCTAACAAAAGGCAAATTGATGAGGTCATTCTGCCTTTTCAAGGGGCTGGAGTGGAAACAAAGTGGAGGTCAGTTTGGCTGGGAACAAAAACTGTCTCTCATCAGGCAGTGCTACCCTAGGAATCTCAAATGCCATCTTCATTCTAGCTGCCATTTGATGGCTGGTATGGAATTATTATCTTCAGAGTTTACAGGTTCTATTCAACTAGGCTTTACTCAGTGTGGACGTTCATTAATTGGCGTTCATTAATTTCAGTGGGTCTATTCTGAGTAAACCTTAGTTGAATGCCACCCTATGACACCAGTCTCCAACCTGCACAGGCAAAATTCCTGATCAACACTCAAATAGAATTTGCGGTCAAACCCAACTAATGTCAACTTGGGAGGGGAAGGGTAGCCAAAGAAGCTTCAGGACCTTGTCTGGAGTAGCATATTGGGGGCTGCTTGACACATGATACAATTCCAACATGGAAATCACTTCCAAAATACACCAGGGTGCAACCACCAGCTGGAATGAAGTGAAGGTTGCTCTTCATTCCTACACAAAAATTTCACAGCATTTGTTGTGACCCTGAATGCAACCATCTTACCCAGCCAGACCAGATGAACCAGAGTATCCAGTGCCTCAATCTTCTCAATGATGTTGTTGTCCAACTGCAATTTTGTCAGGTTCTTGAACTGCCAGAGGTTGTCAATCTTCAGGATATCTGAAGCCACAGGAAGGGAGAAGTAGAATCATGCAGCTGTTCTGGGAGCCAGGTCCCACCATATGTAGAGATAGGGAAGAAATTTGTTCAGATTTCCTTTTAAAGCTAACCTACTTAATTCACAGGGACGCAGGTGGCACTGTGGGTAAAAGCCTCAGCGCCTAGGGCTTGCCGATCGAAAGGTCAGCGGTTCGAATCCCCGCGGCAGGGTGCGCTCCTGCAGCTCGGTCCCAGCGCCTGCCAACCTAGCAGTTCGAAAGCACCCCCGGGTGCAAGTAGATAAATAGGGACCGCTTACTAGCAGGAAGGTAAACGACGTTTCCGTGTGCTGCGCTGGCTGCTGGCTCGCCAGATGCAGCTTTGTCACGCTGGCCACGTGACCCGGAAGTGTCTCCGGACAGCGCTGGCTCCCGGCCTATAGAGTGAGATGGGCGCACAACCCTAGAGTCTGTCAAGACTGGCCCGTACGGGCAGGGGTACCTTTACCTTTTACTTAATTCACACTTCCCAAACCAATATGTGAACCGAAATCTGCCTATCCTATGAAACTTGCACTTCTCCCAGTTTTGCAATGCAGGTCTCAAACAAAAAATACATACCAAAAAAGTGTAAATTAGAAAAGGGTGCCCACAAAAATGCATTACATTAGGGGAAACTGTGTACCAAAATGCATTATATATGAGGAGAAATGCACACAGCAACAATGCTTTGTGCAGACTTTATTTTTAAAAAGCTCTGCACCATACTACCTGATGTGGAAATGGGGCAACCTAAACTTAAGATAGGAAATCTGAGATACTGGAATTCATGGGATTTGTCCATCCCTTGGCATAAGTGGGAGGAGCAGAGAAAAGGGAGAGCCAAGGGAGAGCAGGAGACTGATAGATGGCAGAGGGTGATGAAGCTGGAGGAGCAGAGATTAGTTCAAGTATCTTCACAATCCTGCCTAAAAGCAGATGTTCAACCACTAACTGTCCACATGGCAAATCTCCATGTTGTAAGCACTTTGTAGTAAAAGAGCCTTGATCTTTTTCTTTTTTTTTAAAGTCCCTGTTTTGTATTCTGATCCTTACTTCTAAAATCAAGCTGTAGCGCCAAGACATCTTTGAAATTGATGCCTCTTTTTTGGCCAGCAGGCCTGCTTCTTCTTGAGGTCCTTGCTCCTCGACGGCCTTCTGCAGCATCTCGTCATCGATTACATTGGGCTCTATGCTATCATACAGTCGACTCATCTTGAGCAGAAGACGTGCCCCCAAGATTAGAACTCAAATGGATTGCCCTGGCCTGTCGCAGACACTGAAACAGAATGACACATAATGACTCATTCACATAGTAGGAGCTTCTGGGAGCTGTCCCATACCGTCTGCATAATGCCCACCTACCCACCAACATACAGTCCACCAAACTATCCACTCTTCTACGCATATTCCCAGCTGGTGCCTCATTCTTCTTATATATGGAGATGGTACAGGCAGCTTTGTGTGAAGAAAGGGATAAATCGTGGAGGACATGGCTGCCAGTAATGGCAAGTGAACAGAACCTCCATATTCAGCAACACTCTACCACTAATAATAAGACACTGCGGACAAGCAATGAAGGAAGGCTATTGCTTCCAGGCCCGCCCTCTGAACTTCACAGCTTCTGTCAGGAGTTGGCATCCTAGTGCCAATTCAGTGGGGGATCTGACCCTGTCCTTGCTACTCCAGCTCTCTGCAGTTCATGCTGATTCCCTTTCAAAGTGTATGAATGGTGATAAGAGGAAGGACGACTAACAGCCTCTGTACACTTTGCTCTCTCGCTTTGGGTGGTGGTGCGGGTTGAGCCCAAAGGGTGACAGCAAGTTAACGAGCAGTGGTGGCAGCAGCAAGAACCTAAGAAGAGCTTGCTGGCTCAGGCCAATGGCCCATCTAGTCCAACATCCTGTTCTCACGGTGGCCAATCTGATGCCTGTGGGAAACCAGCAAGAAGGAACTGAGCACAATAGCATTCTCTTGTCCTGTTGTCTCCAGCAACTGCTATTCAAATACATTATTGCCTCCAACCATGGAGGCAGAGAATAGCCATTGTGGCTTGTAACCATTGATAGCCTTCTCCTTCATGAATTTGTCCTTTAAACCATCAGGTTGCTGGCCTTCACTGCCTCCAGCGGAAGCGAATTCCATAGCTTAACCATGCACTGCATGAAGAAGCACTTTCTCTTTCCTGTCCTGAATCTTCCAACATTGAGCTTCATTGGATATCCATGAGTTCTAGGGTCAGGAGAGAGGCAGAAAAACTTTCTTCCATCTACTTTCTCCATGCCATGCATAATAAACTACTGTCTTACTCACCTTTTCTCTGAACTAAGAAGTCCCAAGGACTGCAACATTTCCTCATTAGGGAGTTTCTCCATCCCCTTGATCATTTTGGTGGGCCTTTTCTGAACCTTTCCTAGGGCTCAACAATATCCTTGTTGAGCTGAGGCAACCAGAACTGTACAGTGGTACCTCGCAAGACGAATGCCTCGCAAGACGAAAAACACGCAAGACGAAAGAGTTTTCAATTTTTTGAGTCGTTCCGCAAGACGAATTTCCCTATGGGCTTGCTTCGCAAGACAAAACGTCTTGCGAGTTCTTGCGAGTTTGTTTCCTTTTTCTTAAAGCCGCTAAGCCGTTAATAGCCACTAAGCCGCTAAGCCGTTAATAGCCGCTAAAGCCGCTAATAGCCGTGCTTCGCAAGACGAAAAAACCGCAAGACGAAGAGACTCGCGGAACGGATTAATTTCATCTTGCAAGGCACCACTGTAACAGTTTGGAGGAGGAGGACCACAGTGGCTGCCTTACATTGAGTCATAGAATGAAAGAATTGTAGAGTTGGAAGGGACCCCATAAGGTCAAGTCCAACCCACCACAATGCAGGAATCTCAGCTAAAGAATCTATGGCAGATGGCCAGCCAAACTCTGGTTTAAAATCTCCCATGGAGGAGAGGTCCATCTAGCCTCAGTACACTGACTGCAGCGGCTCTTCAGAATTTCAGGCAGGCGTCTCTCCCAGCCTTACCTAGCTGGGGTTGCCACCTGTCCTGTATAATACAGGATTGTCCCGTATTTCAGTGTAAAATGCTACGTCCCTGTATTGATACCGTTTTTGTCCTGTATTTCAGGTCTTCTCCTTTCTCTCTGCCAAGTTAGGGATCCTCTCCCAAATGCATGTGTTTGAAAGGGTGCTGTGACAGATCAAAGTATTTGAGCTCTGGGGGGGCCAAGCATAGAGAGATCTACAAATTCATGTGTATCTGCATGTGCTTGTTGACAAATTCCAGAGGGGCAATCCTGTGAGGCTGCAATAGAGCGTAACAGATTGCTTTTGAAGTCACATCAGCATCAGATTGAATAAAATAAAATCACTCCGACCCATATTTTGCCAGAACAAAGGGCGGCAAGGCTACCTGGAGATGCCACCGGGGACTCAATGTGGGCCCTTCTGCTTGCAAGGCAGACGCGCTGCCACAGTCCTTCCCTACTGAGGACCTACCAAGGGAGGGTGTCCACTTCAGAACCTCCACCTGTCAGTCTGGAGCGGAATAGCTCTGCTTCCCCTCAACTACCTATGTAATTGAAATTAATGCAAAAGATGGAACTGACCCACTTCCTGTATAATTGCTTTATAACTACAAGGCACCAATTTAAGCCAACTCCTTTTGCTTTTAAATGCCTTACTGTCTGCTTTAGTCTACTTGTTTTGATCATCAAACGTTGGAGGGGCAGAGGATTCATTCCAGTAAGGAAGGAATATTTTTAGGGTGTCTTTTCAGTAGGTAGGAGACCTCCAGGCGGATTCACTTCCCAAGCAGAAAGTCACAGATCCCCAAATGGGGGGCAGGGGCAGTTCAGTGTCGAAAGCCAGCTACGTCTCCAGAATGTCCATGTTGTCCAGCTCACTGCGGAGATGGTCAACGTATTGGTTAATTTCCAACACACGACTTCGGTTTCTTTGAATTTCAGTCTTGTGAACCTGCAGGGATTGAAACAGTTGGTCCAGTTCACACTTAGCGCTAAGCCGCGGTTTGTTTAACAGACCACAAGTTAGCCATAGATTGCCCCACAGACGGTCAAACAAATCATGGTTTGTTTCTGTAAAGTGTTTTGTTTTGGAGTTTTTTCCCCCTAGCTGTGCTTGCCTCGTGCATAGCTGTCAACGTTTCCCTTTTCTTGCAAGGAATCCTATTCAGAATAGGAATTCCTTGCAGAAAAGGGAAACGTTGACAGCTATGCACGAGGCAAGCACAGCTAGGGGGAAAAAACTCCAAAACAAAACACTTTACAGAAACAAACCATGATTTGTTTGACCGTCTGTGGGGCAATCTATGGCTAACTTGTGGTCTGTTAAACAAACCGCGGCTTAGCGCTAAGTGTGAACTGGACCAACTGTTTCAATCCCTGCAGGTTCACAAGACTGAAATTCAAAGAAACCGAAGTCGTGTGTTGGAAATTAACCAATACGTTGACCATCTCCGCAGTGAGCTGGACAACATGGACATTCTGGAGACGTAGCTGGCTTTCGACACTGAACTGCCCCTGCCCCCCCATTTGGGGATCTGTGACTTTCTGCTTGGGAAGTGAATCCGCCTGGAGGTCTCCTACCTACTGAAAAGACACCCTAAAAATATTCCTTCCTTACTGGAATGAATCCTCTGCCCCTCCAACGTTTGATGATCAAAACAAGTAGACTAAAGCAGACAGTAAGGCATTTAAAAGCAAAAGGAGTTGGCTTAAATTGGTGCCTTGTAGTTATAAAGCAATTATACAGGAAGTGGGTCAGTTCCATCTTTTGCATTAATTTCAATTACATAGGTAGTTGAACCTTCAAAAATTGTAGGCTAATGAACAAATTACCATATTTTCCGTCCTATAGGACACACCGGCCCATAAGACGCACCTCGTTTTTTTTTGGGGGGGGGAATGAATAAAAAAAATTATTTCCCCCCCCAGCCGCGGCTGCCGCCCCAAGCCTTGCGCACACCTGCCCGAAGCACGGGGTGCCCTCCGGAGGGCGCCCCGTGCTTCGGGCTGCAGCCCACAAGCCTTGTAAGCCCTCGGGAACTCCCGCCGGGCTTGCAAGGCTTGCGGATAGCTTCCTGAAGCTTGGAGAGCGAGAGGGGTCGGTGCGCACCGATGCCTCTCGCTCTCCAGGCTTCAGCGAAAGCCTGCATTCGCCCCATAGGACGCACACACATTTCCCCTTCATTTTTGGAGGAGGAAAAGTGCGTCCTATGGGCGAAAAATACGGTAAACCCCTGATTAGAAGACCCAATTAGCATTGGTGCGCTGTCTAAAAAATGGTTGGCTCTGACATTGATTGGACCCTCATTTCACAGCATGAATGGAACCCATAGATGGGGCAAGTGACTGGCCAGTGGTGAAAGGCCTAAGAAGAGGGGAGAGGGTCTACTCAGGGAGGGCAGAACATCTGCACTGCGCAGAGGAGCCTCTCCCCAGCCAGAACATTTCCAGATATAGTTCTTGGGCTTATGTGGGGGCTTGCGCCAGCCCACTGAGCCTTACTGACGCTCCATTTGGAATGAAAGGATGACCTGGAACACACTGACACTCCTTTGGCAGCTGGCATCTCAGGGGGAAATTAGGATTAGCATGCATGCTATGGTTTAGGAAGCGTGTTCAATGTATTCTTGCATAATGTATACAAAGGGAGAGCCCTCCTGTACTGCAGCTCCAAGCCCATCCCTGAGCAGAATCTCTCTCCATAAGACGCTCAGCTGTTAAATGAACGTGGGACCAGCTTCTCCAAATCTAGGCTCCTACAAAGGACATTTTCCACCTTCAGAAGGCAGATAACCAGCAGACAAAATAGGTAATAAGACCAGGAAACAATGTGAAGGAGGCTGCTTCAGGTGGCCAAAGTTCCCCTCCGTGAACAGAGAAAATGGATATGTCAGGCTACTGGCCAAGACTACTTCTTGACATGCTAGCTTTCTGTGTGCAAGGAAGTTTGTTTCAAGATGAAGGAGCCCTTGGAGAATGAGGGAGCTGGCCAAGGTACCACATATGGCCTCCACAAAACAGCTCACATCTTAAAACCGAGTCCAAGGCATTGCCAGAGATGGTTTAGTACTATTGTTAGTTAAGGTTTGTTCCTATTTAAATTTCCCAGCTTTGCAGCTTTGCACCTGTGCCATGAATGTAAAAGGCAAAGAATCACAATTTTCCTTTCCACACCAACAGAGGAAATAAAGGGTGGTTGCAGCTATTTTCAACCCAGGCCAATTTGTAGGGGTGTGGAGTGCTTCTAACTTTTCATGTGGTTGACAGCCAACAAGGGGTACTGCTGTGTCTCCTGAAAAGCTCAGAATTCCCTCCCCAATGAAGAAGCAGACTGCAGAACAGCTGGGCAGAATCACAGCCCCAATTCTTTAGGGGGACCTTGAACTTTTTCCTTAAAAAATCATATCATCCTCGTTGTCATGTGCTTGGACTTTGCCATTATTTCTGTAAAATTCCCATTCCTGTTTTCCTAAAGGCAGGTGTATCCATCAACCAGTGGACAAAGCTGATAACCCCCAGGTCTGAGAATGGCCAGAACCTACAGGGTTTTGACCACAGCTCCCTTGGCCGGCCCCCTCCACACAGTCCTGCTCTCTCACTGCATTCTCTTATAGGTCAACCTAAGCCCAGAAATCAGGTTCAGACCAGCTTTGCCTAGAATGGTCTTTACCCAGATTAGCTCTCCAGGGGTCCAACTCTGCAACCCAAAATCTTTTCACTTTAGCTGAACTTGGAGTAGATGCAAAGTAAATGTTTGGGCCAGAGAGCTCTGGCACTGAAACCAACTCCTTTTAAACAAACAAATGCACACACACAAATCCATATTGCATGTAGAGGCACCAAACAGGAATATTTAATCAAATTGTAAGGGAGGGGAGAAGAATGCTTTTTTCTCTGCTGGGTACACAAAGGGGTGAAAACAACCGCCATAGCAGGCTCTGGCTTCTTTGGAGACACAAATGCCTGCTATGAAACTATGGGAGGACATGCAATGGTTAGGGGGATATAGGGAGACTTAACTCTGGTTCTGGTCTAGGTTTCAGCCCCCTCCAACTGCAGATAACTTGCTGCTGCAGCTTAATGCAAGGAGAGGGGAGAGACAGCGAGGAGGGCAGGACAGTGCAAATGCACCAGATTTTCACTATACCACGTTTGCTATAAAAGCAGCTGTGATTCGCCTGCTGAGAGGTCAAATAGGTGCCTACGCCCCTCCATGCTGTCCAAAGTACCCAGCAGCATCTTCGCCCCTTGTGCAACGGAGGCTGCCAAGACCCCACTTACTTCAAATGGGGGAGCACTGATGCCCACAGTGGAAGCCATTCTCGTTTGGAGAGAAGCAAAGGGATTGACTGCTCTCTCTTGATTTGCCAGGAGCCCCTAGTGAGCCACCACCTTGGGTAAGAGGTGAGGCTGCGCCACAACTGCACACCACTGACTGGTCCAGATTCCAATCAAGCTGGGTGGTGGGCAGCATCAGCCCAGCCGAAATGAACATCCTGCAGCAGCTGTGCTTAAGAGGCTTGCCTCCCCGTGGAAAATGTGCACCCTGCTGGAAAACTCAAACTGGGCTGCTGCTAGTGAGCCAGGGAATCAAGGAGAATAGGGGCCACAATGGTACAAAATAGTCGCAGCTGGATGGTGCCTGTCACTTTCAGGAATGAACAGATTTCCTCCTTGGAATTCACAGCTTGGGGGCATCTAAGGGTCCTGGCAGAAGGCCAGGACTCTCAGCCTGGAAGGGTTGGAGGACAGGGTGTGTAGTATGAGGAAGGGAAGTCTGCTTGGATGTGCCAAGGGCTAGGTTCAGGATGAACAGAAGGAAACGGATGCCAGGCATTCCTGCCCCCTCGTTCAGGGAGAATCGCCACACCCAGTCAGTCTAAGGACCATCAGCATCACCGCTATCACCAGGTCAGCCTTGGACGAGTAGTGCGATTCCATCACCCCACCAACACCAGTTCCCTCTCTTCTCCACCTTCTCCACCCGCCACTCAGTCGGGCCTGGATGTTCTACAGGTCTGTCCAGTGCCACCGGCGCCCGTTCCTTGTCCGCCGCAGAGTCTCAGTCCTGCAGCAGCTTGTGCTTGACCGTGGAATTCTCTAAGCAAAGCTGAACAAAAAGGGCAGCAGCAGCTGTGCGGGCCCGAAGTTCGTACATGTCATAGTCGTGGGCCCACTCAACGTTCCCCCAGTGCTGGATCTGAAGGAAGATGAGAAGAATAATCAGACCCTCACTGGAAATAGATCACAACACCATAGCTGGGGGCAAAACAGAGCTTAGATTTGCCACATGTTTCTCTTTTTCTTTTCTCTCTCTTGCTGTTTTTGTTTTTATTTAGATTAATTTATTTTATCTTACTGTATTATGAAAAAGCTTTAATAAAATCTTATTATTATTTTAAAAAAGATTTGCCACGCTCTTGAGCAAACCCAGAATACCTTGATTTATTATGTAACTGCTGCTGTTTTCAGCCTCTGGGATCTTTTTTTAAAATTTATTTTTATTCAGTTTCCAATATAAAGTTTTAAACATACATTTTTAATATTGTCACAGATACATATTTTGGCTTCCTTCAGCTCATCCGCGAATCTTCCGTTTTCTAATCTTCTATCCGCAATTCTAAATTTAACATTGCCTTTTATTTTAAATAAACCTATTCCCTTGTTCCCTTTTTTACAACGTTTCTAATACTTATTTCTTCACAAAACTTCCTGTAAACCATTTTCAGCCTCTGGGATCTATTGCTGTGCTTGATTTTGTTGCAACACTGATTTTATTGGGGGAGGGCCTTTATTTCATTAGGTATTTATTTTTAGAAAAGTCACCTTAGCTGTTTTTGTTAAAAGGTGCGATACAGAACTGAATCCATCAGTGTCATAAACATTTTTTCAGAGTCACAGGCTGGTCTTATCTGGCAGGCAAGTGCATAATGGGAGCAGACGGTCCCTAAATTAACTTGGCCCCAAAGCCCCAGATCTCTGTCACAACGAGGTTTACCTGGAATTCTTCCTCTAGACGAGATAGCAGGACAGCTTGCTCAACCGTGAGGTGCTTGTCAAGCAGACTCATCGAGAGAACCAGAGACTTCAGCTGGGTGATCATGTATTCTATGCCTAGCCGGAGGGGGAAACACCCCAAACCAGAAAGAAGGAGGGAAGGAAACCTGTCATTTTCATGTGCAAATTAATCTTGGGCGACAAGAAGAGCAGTCAAGAAAAGGTGAGGAGACACCTAATGCCCCATTATTCCTGTGTAAGAAAATAGGACCTATTAGGCTGCAGAATTCAGGTATCTCTCTTTCCTTTACTGGAGACCATGTAGGAAAACAAAGGTGGCTCAAATGGACACAGCAGACATTTTGTTAGCACCTGAAAAAAGATACCGTACTTTTCCGTGTATAAGACGAGGTTTTTTTTTATTAAAGTATTATGTTTAAAATTCGGGGTTAGTGCATAGGGGGGACGTGGGATTGGTTGCTGCTGCGAGTCGGAGTTTGTCCGCGGCTATTTTGGCGTGTTATTGGTGGCTGCCGCAAGGGCTGGTGTGGATTGGCTGTCACTGTGTGAATAGGGTGGTGTGTTTGGTGGCTTCTGCCGGCGCGGGGACAGACTCTACAACTCTAAAAAAACTCTATAATCTGGGCAATCTCCCCCCTTTTTCTTAATTTTGAGTCCCCAAAATTAGGGGGCGTCTTATACAGGGGGGCATGTTATACACGGGAAAATACGGTATATTTTTTTCTGCTTCCCTCGTAATACAGTGGTACCTTGGGTTACATACGCTTCAGGTTACATACCCTTCAGATTACAGACTCCGCTAACTCAGAAATAGTACCTCGGGTTAAGAACTTTGCTTCAGGATGAGAACAGAAATCACACAGCGATGGCACAGCAGCAGCGGGAGGCCCCATTAGCTAAAGTGGTGCTTCAGGTTAAGAACAGTTTCAGGTTAAGAATGGACCTCCGGAACAAATTAAGTACGTAACCAGAAGTACCACTGTACCTGGATTAAAACTGAGGGCTGTAGATTCAGGACCAGCCAAAGAAAGTTTATTCACGGGACACATAATTTAATCTATGGAATTTGCCTCCACAAAACATGCTGAGGGCCACCGCTGCTTAAACACAGAGCTGTCTTTCCTATTGGGCTTACTGGCGCGCTGCGCCAGGGTGCTGGCCTCTCAGGGGTGCCTCCCCTTTCCCTGCACGCCTGCCAGCTGTGCCCCATCAACCATAGGGCTGGCGGAGGTGCAGCTTCCCAAGCCTCCGCGGGAGGAGAGTGATCCCTGCAGAAGGCTTGGGAAAAGGTCGACAACTCTGGGAAACTGGGGGGCAGGGGGGCGGCCATGCCGGAGGGATCTTTGCACCTAGGCGCCGGATATGCTTAAGACGGCCCTGCTTAAACAGCTTCAAAATAACAATTATTTTGTTTTTTTAGATTCGTATCCCACATTTTTTTACTGTTGTGCTCACATCAGATTGGACATGGAGAAGAGGCCTGTTCACAGCCATCTAAATGCAACTTCCATATTCAGAGGCAGTCTGTCCCTGAATACTCATTGCTGGGGATAAACAGGAGGGGGCTGTTGCCTCTACATCCAGCTTGTGGGCTTCTCAGAGGCCACTAACTGGCCACTGTGGGAAGCAGGATGCTGAACCATATCCTGCAGGGCTCATCTTTAAAAAAAAAATAAGTCTCTCTTAAAAAATGCAGAAAGATCCCCCAGTGTGCCTCTCCCGCTTGATCTCACATGGTGGGAAAGCAACCAATGAATTCTTAACCTCAAAATACATTTCTAGCTAAAGCAGAAAACCGGCAGATGCAGGGTATGGCGTAGGACTGACAGCAGACACAGTCCCAGGACACAGCCCTCCTTTTACCTTGAAGGGCCCAGCTGTTATACGATGCCAGGTGGCTGACAAAGGTGTCCTTCGTGCTCTGCGGGATGCTGGGACCCATGATGCTTGTTGATGAGCCAATCACAACATTGTACCTGCAAGCAGAGCAGAGCTTAGATAGGCCACACTCTTGAGCAAACCCAGAACGTCTTCATTGAGAAAAGTATCTCTGGCTGTTTTTTAGCCTCTGGGTTTCTGGTCAATTTTGTTGCGAGGCTGATTTTTATTTATTTATTTGGAGAGGGCTCTGTATGTGTATGTGTGTTATATATATATATATATATATATGAAGTCACCATAAATACATTTGTAAAAAGTTGAGATAGATATACAAAGGAATCCTGTCACATCCAAGAACCTCAAAAACATCCCTCCAAAGCCACATGCAGCCTATGCAAAGTCTGTGTGTATGTAGATTTTTTGTGGGCACTCAAGATTAGGTACTCATACAGGAAACTTGGGGATGGATAGAAACAAACCCTCTAAAAAATAAGCCTGTTGCCATTGTAAGAGCAAATGCACCTCCAGATTTAATCTAGGGCACACACAAAAACAAAACCTATCTAGCTAACAGAAGTTTAGAAAGTGATAGTCCTTCAACATATATTTGGAGGAGGAAGTTGGCAGCCAAGAGTGTTGAATTCCTTTCTCCTCTCCAGTCTTCCCTAGGAAGGCTCAAAAATGGGCCTAAGAAATCTAAATAGCACCGCAACCAACACAGTTTAACTTTCGTGCCCTGAGCCACAAGCATCCTCTGGGGACAAGGGTGTGTCTGTGCATCATCAGCATTTCCCTGGCACTGACTTTTTGCTTGAACTTACCTTTTCTCTGCCCACTCGATTATGGGATCCCACTCATTCTTCTGCAGTTCCACCAAGGCAGGTGGCTCTTCCACCCGGTAGCTGGAATACCATGGAAGCAAAGCAAAAAAAAGAAAAGAAAAAAGGACCATCAAGCACAACAGGATTAGGTTCCACGCAGCTAAGCTTGCACCTGTGCCTAGCACCTCCCAAGATTCAATCCTGCTTTTCCAATTCCTGACAAAAAAAGCTGTGAATCCCAATTTTATCACACACACAAATGCACTCTAAAATTTTCAAGTTGACTATGCTGTCCCAGCTGTGGCATGGTACTGTTACTCATGGTCCTTCCTGAGTAAAAGCAAGTGTGGGGTGTCTCTCTCAAGTTCTCCAATAATTCCCTCCCCCTGCCAGCCAAGCCAAGGTGATGGTGGGTTTTCTCATCCCCTGATCAGATAATTTTTTTAAGATCCAGCTTCTAAGGGAGCCCCTTCCCAGAATGCATTTCTACCAAACTGTGTCCGTCTCCAAGAATTTCACAGCTGCCTTGATGAGCTGATCTTTGCTTCGCTGCGACGGGTTGTCCAAAGCTGTGTTGCACAAGGTTGTCTGAAAGGCAAGAAAGAAGCTACAGAAATCGAGAGCTAGACTAGCAGAGTGACACAGCTGAAGCAATGAACAATGAGCAATTCCCCATTTAAGTCTCCCCACAAGCTTTGAAGTTGTAAAACAGCTTGTATCAATACAGTCATATTCCCTGTACAGAAGTCCTTGCAACGGCCACCTTCTCCAACCTGTTGCCTTTCTGTTTTGGACCACAATTCCCATTAGCTCCAACCAGCACAACAATTTTGGTAGAGGCTGATGAAAGCTATACAGTGCTACCTCGGTTTACAAACTTAATCTGTCCCAGAAGTCCGTTCTTAAACCGAAACCATTCTTAAACCAAGGCACAATTTCCCTAATGAGGCCTCCTGCTGCCAGCGCCCTTCCACTGTTGTTAGACCAAGGTAAATTTCACAAACCGGGGCACTACTTCTGGTTTTGCAAAACCAAATAGTTCATAAACAGGACTGTTCTTAAACCGAGGTACCATTGTAGTTCAAAATATCTGGAGGGCACCAGGTTGCAAAAGGTGAAATGCAGAAAAATAGCACAATGTGGAGCTGGATGGGCCATCTATCCCGACATGCCACTTTGTAGGGTCTTAAAAAACACAAAGCAGAACATGCAGACATAGTTGAGTGGAGTACTCAAAACTGTATCTCCCACCTGCAATCTGATTTATACAGTTCAGTCAAACATTAGCCGACATTAGCTACCAGGGGCACATCCTGCTCTGCCTAACAACTCAAAGAGAACAGATTGGCTGCAATCTCAACCCTCCATTTGCTTGTTCACATGCCCCACCCTCTCCTTCACACACCAGGTGCATTGTGTAGAACTTGATGGTGTCCTGCTGAGAGTCCCATTCGGTCGCCACAGCCAGAGCCAGAGTCTCGCTTGGCACCGTGAAGAGCTTGGCTTGGGGGGTTTTCAGTTTTCGGTGGTCCAAGTTGATTTCAAAGCCACCTGAAGAAGAAAGGTTAAGAAAAACCCACTAAGCCTGCAGCTTTTGAGATTCTGCTGGACACTATCTTCACACTGTCCAGTCACTCTTTGCAGTTTTAAGGACCAGTGGCTTTTGATGGGTTTCATTTATTTGAGAAGTTGAGAGTCTCACAGTGACGAATTCTGCATCCAATATTAAATTCTTGAATGGTGCCGTGATGGAAGTTCTTACTCCAGTGTTTCTCAAACTTCGGTCCCCAGCTGTTGTTGGACTACCACTCCCATCATCCCAGACAACTGGTCTTGCTAGCTAGGGATGATGGGAGTTGTAGTCCAACAAGTTGGGGACCCAAGTTTGAGAAACACTGTCCTACTCATACCCTATCGCTGAAAACCAGTAAATAGATTTCTTAACAATAACTAAACACTTCATTTATTGATTTAATTTCCCCCACCCTTCAATTTCAGCAAACAATACCAAGGTGGTCCAAAAGAAACATAAGAAAAACAAAATGTTTCAATAAAAGAAGGTCAAGCAGTGACAGCAAAATTATATGAATGGTCAGAGAAATACCAGTGTAAACATGTGTGCTTTCAACTGCAGCGAAAACATCCTGACATTGGAGCCACATATGAAGGTATCAAAGTTTTCTACAGCCACCTCACAAACAGAACTCTCTTCCACCAAAGATTTGCCAAAGCCTGAGTAAAACTTTACCTGAATGTGTTGCAATATCCCTCTTCTAGGTGCATTAGAATCTTTTGCAACACACAGGAGCCAGCGTGGAAGGCGTGGCTCCACCTGTTCCACCACAAAGCTCACCTTGGCAAAGTCTCTGCCTTTCACCTTAACATAACCTTGAGCTGGGATGGAGAAGACGTCCAGATGAGCCTGTTCTAAACATCTGCACGACAGACAAACTACTACCAGTACACAGAGGTGCTCACCTTCACCTTGGGAGATGCTGACATTCTGGTAGAACCTTTTCCTTTCTGCAAGAAAAATACATATCTCTATTTAAGAAATAAATAAAATATGTACATATCCAATGTTCACAATCCAGACAAATGTAGATATGTCCAGATCCATTGAAATCAATAAGGCCCAGGGGTAGTAATGCTTCTGAATAGCAGTTGCTTGAGAACATAGGAGGAAAGAGTGCTCTTGGGATCAGATCATGCTTGAGGGTTTCCCACGGGCATCTGGTTGGCCACTGTGAGAACAGGATGCTGGACTATATGGGCTGTTGGCCTGATCCAGCACATTCTTCTTATGTTCTTTCTTTACATTGTACTGGTTTCTTTCCCCACTCCTGCAATTACTGAATCTAGATCAAGGGAAGTAATAGTGCCACTGTATTCTGCTCTGGTCAGACCTCACCTGGAGTACTGTGTCCAGTTCTGGGCACCACAGTTCAAGAAGGACACTGACAAACTGGAACGTGTCCAGAGGAGGGCAACCAAAATGGTCAAAGGCCTGGAAACGATGCCTTATGAGGAACGGCTAAGGGAGCTGGGCATGTTTAGCCTGGAGAAGAGGAGGTTAAGGGGTGATATAATAGCCATGTTCAAATATATAAAAGGATGTCATATAGAGGAGGGAGAAAGGTTGTTTTCTGCTGCTCCAGAGAAGAGGACACGGAGCAATGGATCCAAACTACAAGAAAGAAGATTCCACCTAAACATTAGGAAGAACTTCCTGACAGTAAGAGCTGTTCGACAGTGGAATTTGCTGCCAAGGAGTGTGGTGGAGTCTCCTTCTTTGGAGGTCTTTAAGCAGAGGCTTGACAACCATATGTCAGGAGTGCTCTGATGGTGTTTCCTGCTTGGTAGGGGGTTGGACTCAATGGCCCTTGTGGTCTATTCCAACTCTATGATTCTATGATTCTAATCAATATGAATCTTTCTGTTCAAAGATACACAACAGTCAGCACTCTGGAATGCTTGACCCTCCCACCATGGTTTTCAACTATCTATGATGATCTTTACACAGTTAGGTTTTTCTTCTTTTCATCCATTGCTTAACTGCTAGCAATCTAATTTTTAATATGCATTTAGATGTGCCAGTATATGTTTTGCAGCGGCAGTGAAGTACCACAGATAAAAGAAAAGAGAGTGTAGGTAGCTCAAGAACCTCCAATTTTAAATGCATCTCTTAGAAAACAATCTTTGGGATAAGATACTGTAATAAATGGTCAATGTATTTTACATACAATACATGGTGTAGCTCACTGTCTAAAATGTAAGCGAGTGGAGCCAAGCACCCCAGAGGAGCTGCCACTCTTTCCATTGACTTTCTGCCTATCAGCTGCCAACCAACATCATTTTAATGACTTTGTCCAGCCCATTTTCTCAGTGAATTACATCTCCCAGAATGCACTGCCTGCAGATGTTAGATGCCATCAGATTGAAAGAGAGCTCCCTCTAGCTGCAAAAGAAAAAAAAGAACTTCTGCATCTCAAACCACCGATAGTAAGCTGCTGTTAATTGTTTGTAGAAAGCACATGCTGAGTTCTAAAGTCTTCTAAAGACATCATTTGTTATCAAGGAGGGTACATTTAAGCCTTCACGAAACAGAGAAACCAAACTTATAAGTAGCATGGCTCTGTCTTGAAGATCAATACAGCAGGATAATTGTCATCAGTGCGAAGGGAGATCAAAAAACCATCCAGGTCCTAAGACTTTATCAACTCTTAAGATTCTGTGAAAGGCTTAAAACCAGATCAGATCACACACGCAACCCACTGCACACTCGGCAGCAACAATGAGGGAAGCCTATTATCTTTATTATCTATTTTATGACCAACTTGTGGGCATCCTAGAGGCATTCTGTTTGCTACTGTGAGAAAATGACACCTGAAAACTATAACATACACTTTTTTCAGGGGGTGGGGGTGGAGAAAGATTTAAAGCTGGGGTAGCTAAATCCCCGTCTGAGGTTCTGTTGCAGCCCGCCCCCCCCCCCAAATTTTTCTTCGGGTGAAAATAAATTGCCGTCCAGTCACTCTTCCCTGTGTGGACTCTGCTGGGAAAAATGACCTGGCAGGATAGCAGAGTAGCAACAACGGTCCTGCTTCCGTGTTCGTTCTTATCTCTAGTAGCTTTATTTACAGAGTAATAAATCCATCAGACTCCATCGGAAACTTCGGCCATTTCTCTGTGCTTTCCAAAAGCACTCTCACAGCAGCTTCTAAACTGAGCTGCTTCTCTGTCCGTTGCAGAGACAGATCTGAAGAGCGTCAGAACAACATCCTGTGACACACTTCTCTGCATCGAGCTCCTCCCAGCTCCTCCCAGATCCAGATACAGGACACCAGTGAGTTTTAACCCTGTCAGTTCCAAACTCCACAATTTTCTCCCCCACCAATCTTCAGTAGCAGTGATAAGAAAAAAGAATTAAAATAGGCATGGCACATAAAGTAGACTTCTGCATGGGTTAGCAGTTTGTTTGCACGCAGCCTCTTCTGGCCACCCCTACTTCTGGCATACAGGTCTGAGGGAACTGACCAAGGAGACCATGTAGCCCTTGGCCCAAAAACATTACCTGTTCCTAATTTAAGAAAGGCTATAGCTCCGAGGTAGAACACATGCCATACTTTAGATGCAAAATCTCATTCCATTTTGAATTCCCAGCAACTCCAGATAAAATTAAGAAAGACCCAACTGAAATACTTTATTGTTAGCAGCTGCCAGGCACCATAAATGGCACTGAGCTACATGTAACAATGCGCTGCCTCAATGCTGCGTTTCCTGCATTCCAATCCTAGCTATCAAAAAGTATGAATCCCAACCACATCAAACCCAGGATCAGCCTGCAACCTTAATTCTTACCTGCCTGCGGTGTGTAGGGTCGTCTTGACTCCACTTGCAATAACACTGGACCACGAACGAAGACAGATGGCCAGAGACGTCCGACCACAAGGGAGTGTCTTGATGACAGGCGCTGTAAACCACCCCACCACATTCTGGTATTTGGTAAATTTAATAAATAATAATAATAATAATAATTTGGGGCAATGAGGTCAAAGAAAGGGACCAAGTAACTATGAGCGATTCTTCAGAAGTAGCTCCGCCTTTCCTTATGTGTTATGGATACAGGTATCATCATAAAAAGCTGACCTAAGTTTATAAACGTATATTTTAAGGACACAGCAAACTAGAGCTAGGCTGTCTAAACATGGGAAGAGGCCTGGAGGGTATTGTGGGGGGGTTGTTTTTAAAAGGGAGAGGATAAAAGGAGGTCTCGGCAGCAGGCTGCGCTAGGGGAAATTTATGTCGTGGGACCCAAGGACAGCCCCTAATGTAGACCCTCTCTTGGCTCCAAAGGAATTATAGTGAGATTTCCCTAAGCAGTAAAAATGAGAAGCCCCCGAAGCCAACTCAATAAAGGTTAAAATAACAATAATTTAAAAAACCCTCTTCCTTTCCACCCTCAAAATCTTCCTTTTTTTGCTCGCCCGCCCACTTCCTTATTCACCCACGCTCATGGGCGCCGCCATCTTTCTATGTCAGGGGGAGCGCGGGGGAGGAGCTACCAGACGCGGCCAATCAGCATCACAAACGCGTTTTGTCCCCTGCGCCACGCCATCTCCCCGCGACGCGGCGGAGCGAGCGAGGAGCGACTGAGGGAGTGGAAAGAGAAAAGCCCGGCGGCGTCTTGCCTTCCTTAAAAAAAAAAAAAATCCCTTTCCCTCCCCCGCCCTCCTACCCCCCACGTGACGCCGGGCACCCAATGGGGTTCGAGCGCCGCCGCACGGCGGGCCAATCATGAGCGGCGGGAGGAAGAGGAGGCGGCGGCGACGCCGCTGAGGGGGAGGAAAGGGCTGTGAGGGGAAAACAGAGGCCGAGCCAGGCCGAGCCGCGTCGGAGGCAGGCCGGCCGGGCGAGGGGAGGAAGGCGAGGACGGTGCTCGCTGCCCGCGCCGCGCTGGCGCCGGGGGACCCGCCCGAGATGCCGGTGCGGAGCGCCTGCCGCTGCCCTCCGGAGGCCCCGGGAGGAGCCTCGTCCGCCGCCCGCCTCGAGCCGCCGCCGCCCATCAACACGGCGCAGCCCGGCGTCAGCACCAGCCGCCTCTACAGCGGCGCCAAGTTCCGCGGGCAGCAGCGCTCCAAGGGCAACGCCTACGAGGTGGAGGTGGTCGTCCAGGTCAGCAGCGCGGCCGGAGAGAGGCAGGCAGGCAGCGCCGCCCAAACCCCACACGCCTCTCTCCCTCCCCACCCCCACCCACACACTAGGACTGCGGAACTCCCTGCCTCAGGAGGCAGTGGCAGCCACCAGGCCGAGGACGGGGCTCGCTTCGCCAGCCCTGTGTGGTTGTTTGAGGAGAATGCCTAGGGGGCCGAGGTCCCTTCGCCCCCCCCCCCACATAAGAGTTGAGGGAGCTAAGCCCCCCGAAATTCATTCAAATGGTGTGTGTGGTGGGTTATGTGGGGCAAGGCTTATCTGGGAGGGGGACCCCCCCATTTATATTTTTTACAAGTTGACAGCCCTGCCATAGTAGTCTCGCCCCCTGCACCTGCTTCCCTTCTCTGGCTTCGAAAGAAGGTCGGGCAGATTCACCGAGGAGAGGAGCCATCGGTGTCTACTAGCCACCATGGCTATCCGTGTCAGCAAATGCTTGCAAATACCAGCTGCAGGAGGGGCTCATGCGCTGGGGTCCTGCTTGTGGTCTTCCCTGTAATGAGCATCTACTTGGCCCACGGGATGCTGGAGACTTGGTGTGCCTCTGGCTCCTCTTCTGTACAAGGACAGGACGCTGAGGACTAGCTGCGCTGCAGGCTCTTCTTGGCGTTCTTAGGACTTGGCAACCAGCTTCTTCAAATGGATGGCTTGTGGCAGATGGGAGGAAGGGTTTCTTCATGCAGCAGGAGCCGTAGACTTTAGCTGGTGAACTCACTGCCACAGGTTGCCTTGACAGCTGACAGCCTGGGTGGCGTTTGAAAGGAGGCTAGGTGCACATAGGAAGGAGGATAAGGCTTGTCAATGGGCATTGTCCAAAATGTTCTGCCTCTGCTGTTGAAGGCAGTGTGTCTCAGTACGAGCGGCTGGGAATCGCCGATGGGGAGAGTGCTCCGGCATTTAGGCTCTCCTTGCAGGCTTCTTATAGACCTCTTCTTAGCTACTGCGAGAATAGGATGCTGGACTAGATGGGCCACTGGCCTGATGCATCCGTGCTTTGAGTTTTTGTCACTTTGCATGGCTTGCATATTATCGAGCTCGGCTGCCTCTAACAGATTTCTTCATGAGCAGCTTTCCTGCTCTCACTGCCTGCAATAGCTTTTTCACAGAGGCAGAAGCAAAGCTGAGTGCTAAATAGAAATACGTTGGGACTGAGTGCGGTCCTCCGTTGGAACGGAATGTTTGAAGATTCAGGACAGATGAAAGGAAGGACTTGGTCACACAGCGCATTGTTAGACTGGGATCTGCCTCCCACAAGATGTAGTGAATTGCCACTATTTTGCATGGTTTAGGCAGTGGCTTGGATAAGTTGGTGAGATAAGGCTGTCAGTGGCTATTGCTTATGACTGTGGTACTATCTCCGGTATCAGAAGAGATGTGTCATTAAGTTCAGAGTGCTGAGGAACATGATTGGGGAGAGTTACGGTTGTGCTCACTCTTGTGGGCTTCCAGAGGCATCTGGTTGGTCACTGTGAGAACAGGAGCCAGATACAATGCAACTTTGTCTGATTCAGGAGGGCTGCTCACATGTCACTAGCGCAGCTGTGATGCAACCTACTGCCCTCTGCCACATCTGAAAGAATGAAACCTCCCTCTCACCACAGCAGCTCTGCTGGTGTGGTGGTGGTTTATTTTTCAGGTTTTTTTAAAGCATTTTATTTTTATTCTGCCCATGTAGTACAAATGCACACATCACTATTTATTGTATTTATATGCCATTTTTCAGGGCAAAGCCCATACCCCCAGTAGCTTACAAAAGACGATTACCCACATACATATAGTAATAATATACAGTGGTACCTTGGGTTACGTATGCTTCAGGTTTAACAATACGCTTCAGAGTTACAGACTCCGCTAACCCAGAAATAGTGCTTTCAGGTTAAGAACTTGTGCTTCAGAACAGAAATCATATGCTCCCGCGGCGGGGCAAGGCCAGCAGGAGGCCCATTAGCTAAAGTGGTGCTTCAGGTTAAGAACAGTTTCAGGTTAAGTACGGACCTCCGGAACGAATTAAGTACTTAACCCGAGGTACCACTGTAATATAGCTTCATATGCTAGCAAGAACATTGTGCTCCCAAATGACTTGCAGTTCAATCTGCCTATAATGCTTCCAGTTATCTTCCATTCAGGGTGGCTTGCAACATCTTATGATTTTGTTTTTTAAAAATCCCCCAAAGATGGGGTCAACAGTTTTAAAAATCCTAAAGCTTCATAAAATAAAATCCTGTCAGAATAAAAATGTCTTCAGTGGCTGACAAAAACAGGAAAGGAGGGCGGACACACTTTGCAAGATGAATTGCCCCATAATTTGGGTGTAGCCACTGAAGGACCCTTCTTCTGGCCCCACCCAGCTGTACTCTCTCCTGCCCTCGCTGCATGAAATACAGAGCCTCTCCCTCTGATCTAGAGGTGGGCTGCCATCGTTCACAGACAGGCTTGCCCAGGAGCAGGTCTCAGTGGGAGTGCTTGCTCCCAAGCATACAGTTGTAGACCAGGTTTTTAAAGAAAGGTGTGTCAGCCCTATGTCTTCCTTCTGGAAATTCTACAGTATTTTGCTGCTACTAGGATGGGTAGAGGGGCAGTCTTCTCCCTCTCACTGAATTTGAGATTAATTAATCTCAGGGAGCTTGAAAAGGTCTTTGTCACTTGGTACTGCAAGAGGTAAACTGGGTGAGGAAGTAGTTGAAAGAGTAATGGGGCTGGAAGTGATGCTAGGGTACTCATTACACATTTAACTTGGAATATCTAAAGCACGCCCAATAAATGCATTCTTCAAGGAAGCCACTCTAGTAGTCCTCCATGGCTTGGAGTTTTAATGGTTAATTTTATCTCTGTTCTGTTCTCTCTCTTTTTGGTAACCTTGTACCTCACCTGGAGATCGTGGTATTAAGCAATATATAAATTGTTGAAATAAAATAAATAAGCTCTCTGTTTCTCCAGTGACAAGATGTGTGAATAGCCCTTACCCATTCTCACTTTAGGCTATACGCGTTGTCTACTAAGAAAGGATGATTCAGAACTCTCCTACAACCCATTTCATTCTATAAATGACGTTTCTGAACATGTGACTTTTTTTCTCAATGGCAAATAAAGCATTAAACTGTTATCTCAGTAAACTTAATAACTGGCATCCTGATCCTAACACACTGTGCGGCCAAATAAAGACTGGTTTCCCGTAATCCTCAGAACTTACAGGCTATTTTTAAATGGAGTCGTGTCATTCTCTTCTCATGCTGGATAAGTGAGATCACTCCATTACATTTGGAACTGAGCTGTTTTGCATGTCGCAGCAAATCTTATTTATTCGTGCAACTTATTGAATGAAAAGTATCCTTGGATTTTGATGCTTTGCCGTCCTTTACAAACAATGGTCACAGGTACTGCATTCATGAGAAGCACAACTCGGGGTTCCTTGGCAGTCTTCATTCCTGAAAAACTCAATGAGCAATATAGGCTTAATCTTTTTACCATATTGCCCGAAATAGCTGCAACCTGAATATAAGCCACATCTTTAAATTGGAGGGGGACACACAAAAAAAGGAGATTATTATCTGAACATAGCCACTCCATTTACGATATAGAAGCAATGCAGCTGCAAACTGCTAGCTTTGAAAACAAAATCATGATGGGAATGTTGGGACCTTGTCTGTGGGAAACAGAGGGACAGTCATCACAGGAATGCACCGGCAATTAGCTCAGAGTGTAATTATGAGCTCTTCCTCTTGTGTTGTACCAGGAAGTACAGAAAGTCTTTGTCACTGGACTGCTGGGAGTTTGAAGAGAGCAGACATGTTTTCTGTAATGCTGCAAAGACAGAAATAAAAGCATGTAAATACATTCTGTCTATCTCCTTTTACCTGCCAAGGGGAGCAGGAGGAGAGGGTGTGTTTGTTTTCCCACGTTTGGAAGAACTCGCCTATCGAGACTAGCCTGCTATTCTTGCCTGGGCAAATGCAGCCCAGGAGGTCAAACAGGAGACCAAAGCCCGGTCCTGGAGAGTTGCCAGTTTCTCCCGATAAAAGCTGCATTTCCGACACTCCATTCCTCGCTGCCTCCTTGGGCTGCATACTGGGGGTGCGGAGCCGCCACTTGCATTGCCAGTGAACTTTCCCCTTTCTCATTTCTCTCCCTTCCCGGCTTTGCGCGGAAAAGGATGGGACTACACACACGGGCAGTCACCACTTTTCCACGCTCTGCACTGTTGCCCGCGCTCCTGAGCTGCACTACCCGTAAGGTCGCGAAATATAAAAGCTGTGCTTTAACTTTTTACAATGGTCGAATATTGAGGGGAAAAGTGAGGCTTATATTTCATGGCCAATATGTACAAGTGG